ATGTGTGTTACGCGAGCAACCGCAGTGTTGCAAAACTAACGGAATTTTTCTGTAATTATCAGTTGCTGTGATCAGCGGCTTGGGGTCGCTGCGGTTTTCTCTCCGGGGAAGCTTCGTCCTCGCGGCGGCGTCCCTACTGGCTTTGTCTCCCCTTGGACACGTTGTCTCGCTGCGCTGTGTAGGGCTGCGTGCGGTCTGGTGCTTTGGCGTCCCCGGTTCATACCGTGCGCCAGATCAGCTCCTTTTAAACATTTGTCACGCCTGTGTTTCAACCAGGGCTCTGTCCCTGTGCATTGTTGAATGGATGTTTATCTTGCTGTAATTTTGTATATTCCTTTTATTTTAACTCCTAATTTGTTTTTGTCTTTCTTTAGTTGGAGACTGGTGGTGCTGGTGTCCTACCCCTTTGTTTGCTGTGTCCTGGGAAGCGGGATCCTCACTAGGTCGGGTGGTTTTGAGTTTGTGCTTAATTTGGTGCTTAACACCACACCTAGACTTCTCCATCCACTCGGCTCCAGATTTTCTTTTAGAAGAATGAGATTGCACTCATTTTAAAACTATTTAAAATAAAGCTGTTTTTCTAAACCGTGAACTGCGTCTCTTGCCTCCAGTAAACTTACCTGTGCCTTGTGCTTCCCACATTATTTTTCGGGGTGAAATCACAATTTACATCCTGAGTCAGGTTTTATTAATGCGAGAACACTTACGCTGACCCGCTGAACAGGTATTTCCCTAGCGCTGTTCCGATGCTAAACGCTAACCCTGTTGTCGTCGGTAGCTGCCAGGTCCCGTTCTGCACCTCCAAATCCCACGTGAACTCATGCCGATGTACGTAAAGTGACAGTCCGCGCTCACCCTGTGTGCGGACCATCTAGCAGCAGGAAAACCTCCCGGACTTGAGACTAATTACACTTTTCAACAAAGCAATTTGTTGAAATAATTCATAAGCCTAGTTTATGCTTCTGCGTTTTCAGAGATATGCAAGAGCCCCTTGCGTGCGTTTTCACACCTTTGCGTGCGTCAACCCGTTTTCTAGACTAGCGTCAAAAGCTACGCAAGCCGGGCTGCGATTGGTCCGCTAACTACGTCCTTTACGGAGTCTCAGATTTCAGTCTTCATAGCCAAATACCGCCATTATTAAAATGTTTACAAGAGAACGGATCAGATTGAACTTGTCGGCAGAAATGCGTAAATATGACCGCTTATACAACTGGCGGGCTATAAGGACGCGTGGATGGCCTCTGATTCATGGAGCGGGATCTCCTGTTTGCCGGTCGAGAGGTGCACAAAGTTGTGGCGGAAAATACGGGACAAATGTGTCCGCGATGAAAAGCAGTGGCGATGCACGAGGCAATAAAGTCTATGATAAATAAACAAACCATTGACTTTCACACACAAAGACGTGACTCTTGGTCGTCTTCAACAAAAAAAAAGTTACTCCACCTGTTGTTCTGGAGGTGAGTTGCTGTGCAAGACTTTTAGAACCATGAATTGAAACGAGTGCACAGAACGACGCAGAAGCATGCGCCAGCCTTTAGGAGGACAACAGCGAAATATTAGTGATGAATTATAAGGTCAAATTCAGTCATTGTTTACAATGAAATCCCTTTAAAATGCCATTAGGAGCTAATGTGCTTCTCACTTCGGATTCGATTTGAAGGGAAAAGGTCAGCAGTTTCAAGCTAATTGCAGACAATCAGACTTTCAATGTGTAACAAAGGCGAATGTCTCGATATGGTTTGTCAGAAAAAGAAAATCCTGTGATAGTATACCGGGCAAAGTCATTTGTGAGTAATCTTTAAATATTATTTAAATATAATATAATTTTCACGTTGGATGTAAATGGTCCGTAGTTACAGAATCATTTCCCCACGGGTTGTTAGCGGACACTCAACGTGCAGAGGTGTCAAAAGTATTCACATTCATTGAAGTACAGATACTAGGGTTTAAAAAGACTCCTGTAGAAGTTTAAGTACCAACTCAAGCTTTTTACTTAAGTAAAAGTATAAAAGTACTGGTTTCAAAACTACTTAAAGTATAAAAGTAAAAGTAATGTAAGAAATTCCATTAAGGACAAACTCTTAATGCGTAACCTCGCTCACACAACACGTCAGTCCGTTACAATGTGATCAGAAGGTGCCTGCAGATCACGAGCAAATACAGAATCCCTTTGTGTTCCTTTCCAAAGCCGCATTAAGACACGCATCACTTTATTTAATACGCTGCTTGCAAGTCGCTGTGTTGTGCCAGACGCTCAATAAAACATTTAGGACAAACCCACGGTCATGAAGATACTCATCTAACATTACATGGACTCTGCGTGAGGAAGAGGAGGAGGGTCCATGTCGATAAATACCAACTTTCCACCGACCACTTTTCCCAGCCGGTGTCGCTCCGATCTGCCGGTGTTCTATCATTTTCTACTTGTCGAGAACTGCTACTTTGTAGTATTGGGCCGAGTCAATTTTCCAGGTTTCCTTGACACGCCCATAATATTTTACAACCCTGTCGGTGAACGACGCGTTAACGGAGTAACATCCTCAAAATCCCGATTATTTCCTCTTTTGGCCACGTTAAGTACATTGAGCGTGTAGATTGTACAATGACTGTTCTCTTGAAATTAAATATTAAATAATTGCATGGACTGTGTATCCTTGCCTCCGTCTGATAGACAGAGCCATCGATTTATGCAGCAATAGCAATTCTCGACAAAGCAGCAAAAATCGACAGAACACCGGCGCATCGCGGAGAAAACCAATCGGGTGTCTGGATGCTCAATGTTTATACTTCTCATCCAACCACAATCACATTCACTCTGTCCGCATAGCGGCGTTTATCTGGAGAAGCCGGAAGTAACGAGACTGTTTTTAAACAGAAGTAAAAAGTCGTCTGAAAAATAAATACTCCAGTAAAGTATAGATACCCAAAATTTCTACTTAAGTACAGTAACGAGGTATTTACACCTCTGTCAACGTGTCACTGAGAGGAAACTTTCTGTCAATCTAGATCATCTAATCAGATTCACAAGCCAATCGGAACGTCTTGATTTTCTCTCTGACGCCTTGAGATGTCCTATTGATCAATGTGTTTCACTTCACTGCTTCTATGTCGTCAACACTTGTGCGCAGCTTCATTGGACGACATCTGGGAAGAAGGCGCTCCACACACCTGCTGAGGGAACATCTCTGCTGCGGCTGTGGGGGGTGGGGGGGCGTATAACATTCATACGATATCGTAATGGGTTAATGCCCCTGAGACGGATTGGTGCATCTTGGAGGATCAATCATGCTGTTCATGCTTTCTTCCTGCATTGGTATACGCACCCTTCACTTTGGGACACTGGGACTGAACGCTAAACTTTACAACCAGATCCTAATTACAATAGTCACCTTTCGCACCAAATGGGAAAATTAGTTGAATTTAGACCAAACAGAGAATTGGTGGATGCACTAAAAATGGTAAACAAATCTACGTCCTGTGCCAGACTTGGTCTTATTCAGTTTAAAGTTGTCCACAGTAACCCCTCCCCCCTCAAAAAAGTCCAAATATGTAAGATGGAATAGTCACGTGTCAAATTAAGTATAGTATGCCATGGCAAAAAAAGCTACAATTCTCTGTCCTGACGCTCCGAGGTAGGAAACTTCTCAATATTATCTGCTGCACTTTGTATTTTCCTCTTCATGTTTGTTATGAAGGTCGTCCCAGCTCCGACGTGGACGTTGAAGCTGACATTTGTTGCCTTTGTTGGTTCACAGAGAAAAGACAGGAGGTTTTGGGTGAGAAGCAGACTTCAAGGTCAAATTGTGCATAGTATAATGCAATGGCAAAGAAGCTAATTAGCAATTAAGGGACTTGATCATCCAAAAGATTGTTGCAACTTCCACCTAAACTCATCTTCTGTTTTTGCATAACAACCTGGGTTGACTTCTCTGAAACAACCAGTGGGGACAAAGCCCCCACTACTACCTCCATGGTAGCGCACTCAAGACTTGGCAGAGGTGGGATTTGAACCCACTAGCACTTGTAGAGGTTTTGGCCACTACAGCACTACACCACTACGCCACCAGTCCTGCTCACACTTGAGGAACTTTATTTCTCCTATTTCACCGTGAGAATGTGAGTTAAACCTCAAAACTCAAAACTAAGCCTCTAATCCACATCTGGGCTTGAACCATCAACCTATAGGTGCAGGCATAGGTTTGAGACAGCAGCTCTTCAGCTGTGCTACCTCGCCACTCACTAAACAAGTCTTCGTTTCTCGTATCAAAGACTTCATTTCTTGTATTTGACCTCGAGTTTACGAGCTAAACCGCAAAAGTCTTTCAAGGAACGTCCCCTTGAAGCGGCTTGAACCAACAACCTCAGACAGCAGGTTGGAGCCTGCAGCCCTTCGGTTGTTCCCTTGTGCTATTCAGCCACATGCTTCATAATGTCTCTCATTTCTCCTATTAGACCTTGGGATTGCTGACTGAAACCTCAAAAGCACTTCAAGCTTGATCCTGTGACTGCACCCAAACCCTCCTTCTGGGAGAGCAGGTTTGAACCGTGGACCATCCACACCTCAACCTTCCTGCTATCTCCCTGCACTGTTCCGCTGCACACCCGTGCCGCTGGACTTTGTCAAGTCAATGAGACGAACCTCAATACTCTCATAGACTCACAGGCTGGAAGCCACATCCGTTCTGTACCGTTATAATACAATTGCAGGTCAAGTAAAGTCATAATATGGCTAATAAGGTCATAGTTGATTTCACTACTTCTATGACTGTTGTTTATTTCACAAGTTGTATGCGTTGTAGGAGGATCCTCTGAGGTTCCTCCTCAGCAGAGTGAAGAACAAATGCCAGAAGAAATGAGCAGGTTTGTCCTTCAGGGATTAGCTCACCCAGATGAGGAGCTGATGGGAACCAACACACGGCACCCTGAGGAGAAAGGATCGAAGCCCAAATGTGGCTCAGGAGGTCGCAGGTCTGCTTTAATTCTGCCAGAACTCAATATGATTCATGTTTTCAACCACTTGTTTAATGTTTAATATATAAATTGCAGAACAATGTCTCCTTCTTGAGAAGATTTTTGAAATTATGTTTATTTCAGAGGTTTATTTGTTTTATCTGTTTTATTAGAGCTGCATGAAGGCGGTGTTAACAAATAGCTCAGTCAGAAGAAGTCAAAAGGCAACAAAGAGGAATGTTATAGGGGGAATGACATGGTGGTGGTGTCCACCCGGGTTCGAATCCCACCACAGCGAGGACATCAGTGTGCATCGCCGCGGTACAGTAGAGACGTCCGGGCTTTCCCCACTGTCAAAGTTACATCTCAGAGTAACTGCAGAGCAGAAGAAGAAACCTGTCGTCCTCAGCGCTGGAAACTGCGCCCTCGTGTGGAGAGAAAAGAAGCGAAACAAAGGACATTAGTACATTTTATGGAAAACAATATTATGACTGATCATGTAAATCATGTTAGGGGGTGGCATGGTGGTTAGTCACCTCACATCAGGAAGGTCCTGGGTTGGACTCCGCCCAGTGGCCTGTCTGTGTGGAGTCTGCGTGGGTTCTCTCTGAGTACTCTGGCTTCCTCCCACAGTCCAAAGATGTGCCCTGGGGATCAGGTTGGGATCAATTGGTGATGCTAAATTGTGTGAATGGTTGTATGTCTCTTTGTTAGCCCTGCGATTGGCTGGCGACCACTCTAGGGTGAACCCCGTCTTTTGCCTGAAGTTGGCTGGGATAGACTCCCGCGACCCTGTGTGGATAAGCGGTTTGCTGGTGGATGGATGGATAAATCATGTTAAATAAACCACCTGTTAAACTCGTTTCTTTTATGATATTAATGAATTGCTAGAACTAGATACTATAAGATATTATCTTACTTTAGACTACAGACATAATATACACTACACAAAATGTTGCATCATGCTCTGTATCCCCGTGATTCAGTTTAGATTTTTTAACCCAATAAATACTCATCCCCACACATCATCCCAAGTGATAGATAGAGGACGCCCCCCAGTGTCCAACACGAGGAAATCCTCTTTAAGGATGGATAGAAACGGCAACTTCAAATGAGTTAAAACATGTCTGGCCGGGTGAAGTGGGGGCAGGGAGGTTTTCATATGCAAGGTTGGGGAAGTAACAGATGCTGCTTCAAATTAGGGTGTACTGTCACTTTAAGTACCATCAGCAGGAGCATCGCGATAGCACCGAGTCCACGTGTGGTTTGGAGTTACAGCGCGGGAGTTGGCGGCTACTGACAACACAGAGAGTTTTATCTTTTAGTATCAAGGCTGCTCGAGATAACTACTTGTTCTGCGGGTTAGTGTAAGAAGTCATTAATTAATAAAGCTGAACCACCGTGTAAGTTAAGATGTATGTTAACTGTTGAAGGGGGGTTAGCACAGTGCACGTGTAAGCTAACGTTACACGTGCACGTGGAGAGTGAGGGTTAAGGGGTTGTGTCTCACCTTCACAGTCCAACAACGTTTCCTTTTTTCGAAACATAAGGCATGAGACAGAAGAGAGTGAGAAGAGTCAGTCTGGTGACAGGTGGGACAGACAAACAGCATTGGAACAAAGACGGAGGTTTGGACCTTGACCATCACATTCGGGTGGGATATTTATAATGCAACACACGCACATAGACACACACACAAACACACACACGGAGGTACGTGTGCTCTTACCCAGTGGTTTGTTCTTGGGCTGGATGCCTCTGCGCGTGGTGGAGAGCCTCGCTCCTGATCGGCCTCGGGGTTCATTCTTTGGAATGGACACCAGGGGGCGACGCAGCTGCAGGATGACACCCACCATTAGAACCTCCTAGAAGTTAGCGTTGCAAATGCGTCAAAATGCTCTCCACACATCTGGCGTATTTGTCCATTTGTTGATGAAGAAAAGACATTCACAAGTTGATTCAAATTAAAACCCTTATTTCATTTAAGGACTTTTGAAGGTTTTATATGTAGTGACTTGTTTCCTTAAATCTCGCCGCTTTAGGCTCTATGATCATTGTTCATACACCCACGTGACGAGAACAAAAGGCCACCGCATCCCAGCTCAGCTTGTTTTCTGTGCCCACGATAAGATGTTGCCGCTCCTCTACCCGTTCACTCACTACACAACACAACAAGTCACAAGACAGCCAATCACAGTGCTGGCGTGACTGACACGGTGACAACACAACAAGGGATATTAGTTTTCAAATTCCCCCTTCTCCTAAAGTGAGACACTGTTAAATCATGATTGGTCAGATTGCAGGTTTGCAAAATTCGACAAAACTACACAGAAAACAAAAGTGTCCTTATATCATAGTTGCCACCCCAGTTCCCTCTTGCCCCTACAGACCGGTGCTCCCTCTGAGCCAGCGGGGCTCGTTCTGACGTCATGGAAGAGGACGCAGACGGGCAGGAGTTTGTATTTTTGCCAAACTGTGGTGTGAACATTTTATAACATTCTCTTCGTCCCACCTTTTATACTTTTGTATTATTTAAAGCATTAAAATGTGAAAAGTGATGACGAAGTAGCATAAAGAATAGTAGCTCTACTCTTGTGGAATTCCTTTTTTCAGTCCGGTGTTTACATTCTTAGTTTCTGCAATACGCTGCAACTTCAGCTGCTTTTAATGTATGTAACCTGCAGTACAAATACGGTTTATTACCATTATTATTAATGATTATATTGAGGATTGAGGCCTCTTGAGGATGAGGATGAGGGCGGGGCGGACGGCCTCGGACGACCAGTCGGTGATGGGAAGCATCTCCATGATGTAGCGCCGCAGCCCGCGGCTCTCCATGGTCAGGGTGTCGTAGGGGGCCAACTTCAGCAGGGCGTGGGCGATCTCCGCCAGCCTGGGAAACACACAGTGTACCTCAGCAGTGATATGGAGCCACACAATAGAATGAATGACCTAAGGAATGACAGATGTAGCCAGAAATCATGTAAAATTGCATGGAAGTAAAGGAATATAAAATCCTGCTGCAACATCAGGCCCAGCTTAGTTCTAAAATCCACACGAATGAGTCACACCCCTCAATCGAGCAACTTCTAGGAAGACAATATACAAACTTGTATCACCAAGTCTGGGTTCCTTGAGCAAACCTCATCACCTCATGTGGGACTTGATGTCCAGCAGCTCCAGTGCCGTGACCCGCGGCTCCCCGGCCACGTTCTGCAGGATTTTGAGTCGCGGCCCGCAATGTTTGTAACAGCGATTCCCCGGGCCGCCGGAACTCTTCCCTGGCGATGCGCTCATCCAGCTCCTCCCTCGGCATGCCCTGGCCTTCCTCCAGCAGGTGCAGCTTGTCCCTGAGGTCAGTGTTGAACCCTAGCCGACTACCAGGGCCAGTCACAAGAATCCTGCTCCCAGAATATTTATCCAGCCTTATTAACGTACATCAACCCTCCAGAGCCCTGAGGTCAGCTGACCAGTTGCTTCTGAACATTCCTCGGCCGTTCCTTAAAACGAAAAGGAGATCGAGCCTTCGCAGTAGCGGCCCCCACACTGTGGACTGCTTTGTCGTCTTCTGTGCGGTCTGCGACGAGCCTTTCTACTTTTAAAACACGCCTTAAGACCCACTTGTTTACCTTGGCCTTTGGCTGAGTTAAGTCCCCTGTATTGGATATAGCCAGAGATAAAATGCCACAACGTGAATGTGCTAGTGACAGTTCACCTAAAGAGCGTCAGCGTAGAGGCTTCTGAGCCTTCACAAGCTCCAGAGCGTCCACAGCGTCCTTGGTCTCCCCCTCTAGAGAGATCAGCAGGTCAAACAGACTGGTGCTGGTCTAGAATCGCAAGTAAAGACAGAAAGCAACGTGTTTATTAAGTATCCAATTGATTGGAATATACTGTGTGTGTGTGTGTGTGTGTGTATGTGTGTGTGCGTGCAGTCTCACTGTGAATTCCAGCTGTGGAGCTGTCAAACAGCTGCAGGACAAAGGGTTTGCGGTGGAGGATGTAGAACTGCCGGCAGCAGACCTCGATGCCTCAGTAAAGGGTCGAAACGAGTCGGTCGACGCATCGACGCAGACGCATGCGCCAGCCTTTAATGTGAACGAGGCCATTGGTGCTTTTATTGTGAAACCCGGTGAGAGCGGAAGCCGCCTCGCTGCGCTGCGTCACTTGACGCGGTCTAGTCGGGTCACGCTGCATATCGCGCCGGATGTTTCTCCGCCCCCCCCCCCCCCCTCGCGGCGCCCATATGTGATGGAAACATTTGTCCATTTCTCCACCGAGACGGCCGCGCGGCTCCATCGGCGAGCCCCTCACCGGGTGAGTAGCGCGTCAAGGCCTCCGGCCGACCGGAGCCCGTCAGCGGGAGGGAGCCGCAGGGAGGTCGTGACGGGGAAGGTTTGCGGTGACCGTGCGCGCGACCGTGCGCGCTCCCCGACGTCCATAATACAACTAACGCCGGTTCACTGGGGAGTGAGCGACCCCTCGCATCCTTTTATTGTTTGAGAGCCGCAGCACGGCTGCGTCATAGCATCCTAACTTAACGTGAACTGGCTGTTTGGAGAGTTGTCAGTGCTTTGGTGAAATGAATTGGGGTCAGTGGGGTCAGTGGACGGGTGGAGAGGTCACGAGGTCAGGGGGGGGGGGGTCTCCTTCTGTTGGGTAAACTTGGGATAAATTGAACATGCAAATACTTTTCAGTTTTTGTTTTAAACTGCCATAAGGGTGTTAATATAGAGAAAATTCCCTACAACAATTCCAATTGTTGTGCAACTGTTGCTGCTTTAAGCAACGGTCAACTGAGGCGGTCAACTGAGGTATTTTTGGTTTGGTGAGCGGTTTTAAGTCACTTAGGAATGTATTTCTTCCTCATAATCGCTCTTTGCTACTAAACCTGATAGCTTCAAGTTTGTTCAAAACAATCATGCTGCTGCTGCTGCTGCTGCAGTTGTTGGGAGCAACACACACACACACACACACACTTGTCTGTCAGGACAGATGGTCAACATAGTGTTCTTCTGTGTGTGGGGGGGTAGTAGTGTGCAGTCAGTCAGCTGCTGTGGCCTCATCTCTCTGGCCGACTCCGACCACATCTTTATTTCATCAGGCAGTTTGCTGCTGAGCGGCTGAGCGGAGGCAACTCAAACTGAAACGCAATAGACAAAAAAAAAACAGACTAAATGAATTGTTTTCCAGTTATTCAGATCCATTCATCTGCAACGTTCTGTGTTTGCTTTTCTTTGTCTTGTGAGACCGCAAACTGAATGTCGTTGGGTGTTGTACTTTCGGATGGACACTACATGCAATCCTGGGGCTTTAAGATGTAATCATGGAATAATTGGGAAAATTTGATCCTTAATTATTCAAGCAGAGAAGGAGAAAAGTGGCGTGTTTGTGAAGGTTGAACCAAATATTTGGCAGTTTTGCTTGACAAACCACTGAAACGTTGATGAAAACACTGATGTGCTCTACGATCCGCACAAAACTCCATTTACTCACCTTTCACCTTTATGGACTTCCAGGCCTCCTTTTCTATTAAAACAGAAAACACCCTTTGAGATTGTAGAGGCCCATTTGCACTCCGCGGCGAATTACTAAGTACAGCGTTCTTTCATTTGAATATACATCTCTAGACACGGAGCCGGCGCCTATATTTAGTCTGCTGCAAAGCACCTGCAGGCGGGTAAAAACTTTAAAGTTAAATAAACGCATTTGCATCAACGACGCTGATGTAAATAAACGCTTTGTTAAACCCGGACGTAACTTTGTCGTGATATTTGCACACAGGCTGCGTAATCACGCGCTTCCGAGTCATCTGCCCCGAAGTGTGCCGCAACAATGAAGAGCAGCTCCCCTCCTCTTCCTCACTGGGACATAAAGCATTTTGATGCGTCTCCGGCCCCCCACACTCGTCCCTTTCTCCCCTTTCAGGGCGACTCTCCTCTTTCCCCTTGCACTCTCTTAAAGGCCGCGCCAGTCTGTCAGCCAGACACGGCCTTTTTTCCTTTTCTGTTAGGAGCACCCCCCACCCCACCCACCCAACACAACCACCAACACCACCACCACCACCACCACCACCCAAGGCCCGGACAAAGGGCGGAGCGCGACTGTGGTGCTCTGTAGACAGGTGTTGTCCATTGCTGCCCCGGGCCGTAATAGCATCAGCGCTCACACTGCAGCTGCCCTCCCCGGCCTCCCATTGTGTGGCTCCATTGTTCAGCCGCCCCCCCTCGTTGATTCATCGGCCACACAGGGGAAGCCCTTTCAGGCCGAGGAGAGTTGTGTGTGTGTGTGTGTGCGCGTCTCTCTGCCGGTGCACGTTGAGTACGCGTGCCTTGGGGAAACCGGGTGTTGCAGGCATTTGCCCCGCAGCCACTCCCCCTGCCTCTCTGCCCCCCCCGCTTCACCCCCTCGTCCCTGCGCCTCATTGTGAGGCCGCTGCTCTCCGATTGGTGGAGGAGCAGCCACTCTAAACGAGGGATTGGCAGACATTGTTGCTCCATCTGTTCTGCCACTCACGCGCCTGCTCCAGCGTAGAGAGAAAAGCCCCCCAATAAACGGAGCGCCGTGGAGGGCAGCGGGAGGACGGGGGCGTTCGTCTGGAGCTGGATGCTGCGCTGTAACCTGCAGAGGACGAGCGGCCGCCTCGGATGTGGCTGCTGTGGGAACTTTAGGGCTCGTGGCTCCTCTGTTGTCACTTGGCGTGTCCGGTTTTCATGGAATTAAATGAGCTGATCAACTTCCTCCATTGTTTGTTGATCTTTTAAGGCCCGGTAAGTGTGTTTGCCCATCGGCATCTTTGCTTTTTAGCTTCCTTGTTTTTGGCAGATAAACTGAGTACCTGCAGTGAGTTGATGTGGAGGCCCCTGGCTTTAACCCCCCCTCAGTACAAGACAGGCTGCAGCATTATAATACACTTTAATATTGACCTCCCTGGATACTTAACTGACCAAAGTTACCGGGTTTTGAAAAGTTCAGACTGTGCGAGCTAAAAGATATAGTGTGAGTTTGAGCCGGGGGGGAGGGGGGGAGTTTAACCACCACATCGGTGGTTCTTCATGGCTGTAGACTTCAAGGCGCAGGACACACCTGCTTCAGTCTGCAGCTGTGGCTTCAGTTTCAGACAGTGTGATCTGTGTTGATATGAAACTCTGTGTGTGTGTGTGTGTGTGTGTGTGTGTGGGGGGGGGTTCTTATGTGGGTCACATGAGGCTTGAGGAAGCAAACATAGAGCGTTGGCTAAAGATGTTGTGTGTGTGTGTGTGTGTGTGTGTGTGTGTGTGAGAGAGAAAAGGAAGACACCGTTGCAAGTACCTCTCAGCCCGACATCTGTTGCCCTGCTGCCCGGCAGGAAAAGCCCCGCGCGCCATCTAGCTGCAACGACTTATTGCGCGCGTCCCCCCCCCCCCCTTCTTTTTTTACAATAACCTTTCCACAGTATCATTCATGCAGCAACACACCCGCCAGACAACCGCCTCCGCCCCACTCTCCTCTCCTCTTCCAATCCGAAAGCCTTCACCCCCCTGTCTCACCCGCACCACACACACACACACACACACACACTTTTTACACAAAGCTCCCACATACAAAGCGCTGTAAGGACTGTGTTACATATTCATTACTGCCCCCATCAAAGCCAGCAGAGCTGCTGTGTGTGGGGGCGCGCTGATGTTTGAAAGATGCACCCACTCGGCCCGGAGGTCTGCGGATGGCGCGATGAGTCCGTTAACACTTTAGGCTCGTTCCGGGTGTCCCACTATGCCCGTGATGCATAATTCGGCGGAGCTGGGACCACACCCGAAGACTTTTAGAATCTTTGGGCTGATCGGATCCCTGTAACTAAAACAATGGGATTATTATATTATTATTTGTACAGAACGTTAAAGAAAAAAATAAAATGAGGTTTGGTTATCAAGATGGTTCTTCAGTGTTTTATTCGATGATTTCCTTTAGTTTAGTTGGATCATCTTTCCATGTTTCTTGGCATTTTATTGACGCAGTATGAAATGTTCATGTGTGCATCGTTGATGCCACGGTCCCAGTCCTCATCAGTCCTGCAGGTCTATTGTTGCTACTTAGTGGCGGGGTGGGTTGCCAATGAGGCACACTTAAGCCCCTCCCTCCCCCACACCAGATCTTTTTGGTGTGTGCGTGTGTGTGTGTGTGTGTGTGTGTGTGTGTGTGTGTGGGGAAGGCCCGCCAACGGAACGCCTCTGTCTTGGCATTTGGAGGGGAGAATGCTTTCAACAGCTGTAGCTTAGCAACAGTAGCTCGCCGGCGTTGCTAGGCAGCCCTTTTTCATAAAAGGCCCACTCACCCTTCCAGCCCCCGCCCCCGGCCCACCATCTTCAAGTCACTTTCCCTTCCGTCATCGGTTTTGTTCTGATCACATTGGTCCGTGTTGATGTTTGAGCGAAGAGGCGCTTTAGGCAACGTCCAACTGCACATCTACATCTCCGTTTTGTCTGTGATGGTCCTGGAGAAGGAAATATCACCACCACCACACCACAGATTCGCTTTTAAGGGTTTCATGTGCTCATTCCGGGAGGACACCAGGTTGGTAACGTATCACTTTCCTGACCTCCGACAAACTTTCCAAAGTGCTGAACCTTTGACACCAAATCAGATCCACCCGACCAGGTCCCGTCTTCTTGGTGCTTGAATGCACTAAGTTGATCGTTGGCCTCAGAGCCCCTCTGTGTTTTAATGAGTGACTCCACCAGCGCCGTGGGGAGAAGCATCGGGACCTTAATTACCAGGTAGAATGTGAGGGGGAGGGGCCCCGTCTGCCCCCGTCCCTAACGGCTCGCTGCACTTTTTTGAACAGTTCGCCCTCTGTTCCCCCTCAGATTGATGTGCTGGGAAGTGGCCCTTTAATAACACACTGGGTCAAGAAAGACTGATGGGGGGGGGGGAGACGCGGGAATCCATTAATTAGGGTGAGAGGCCCCCGTCGGCTCTTTGTGTCAGCCAGTTTGTGCTTCAGCGGCGTCCCCAACGGCCCGAGCGGACCAGTGAGGGACGGCGTAAACAACCGCCGTAGCGTTGGGAGGAGAGACGGATTGACTAAATAATCTAAAGATCTTCTCCCCAACATCATAGTTCTAGTGTTATAACTAGTATGAGTTTCATCAGTTGACCTGGTATTGTTCATCTCAAACATTTCCCACTGTAGTTCGAGTGACACAAAGGGCGTCCAAAGTGATGCGGTCTCCTCTCTGTCTCGTCCTTTAGGGCCCCATGATTCAAGCTCTGTGAGACGGCAGCAGTCAGGCCTGTGTGCTGGATGTCTGGGACGGATCCATGGGCCAGAAGGACCATGTGGAGGCGGGAGCGGGCCACATCCTCGACCTGGAGCTGGATTTGGAGTATCTTCACGTAGCGGGGTTCAACCGGCAGGCTGGCGGCTCTGACGGGCCCCCCGCTATGGAGGAGCAGGGGGAGCGCTCTGCAGATTCCCCTCCCCCCGCTGCGGCGGAAGAAAACCCCGGGTCCGATGCAGAGCGCCAACCGCCGGCGGCTTCCAGCGCCCCCCTCGCCGCCGACCCCGACCCGGACGGAGGAGAGGGAGGGTTAACTCCCAGTAAGAACGCCCACCAGCCCCTTTGTAGGACCCCATGTGTGGACTTGGGCACTGAGGGTCCTCCTGAGCTCCCGGCTGAGCTCTCGTCGGAGCTCGAGCACGAGGCGTCGCCCGCCTCGCCATGCAAGCGCCCCCCAGAGCCTCCCCACAAACCCTCCTCCTCGGAGCCGGCGCCCGAGGCCGGCGGCAAGGAGTACCGGGCAAAGCTGGAGTTTGCCCTGAAGCTGGGCTACTCGGAGGATACGGTGCTCCTGGTGCTCTCCAAGCTCGGCCCTGACACCCTCATCAATGACATTCTGGGAGAGCTGGTCAAACTGGGCACCAAGTCGGACAGCGAGCAGCCGGCCGGATCGCTGGCCTCCACCTCGTCCACGTCCTCGTCCTCCTCCTCTTGTGGCTACTCTGATCTGCTGGACAGCCAGAGGTCGGACTCGCCCTGTCCGTCAGACTCTCTGAGTGACCAGGACAACCTGCGCCCGATCGTGGTGGATGGCAGCAACGTAGCCATGAGGTGAGCGGACGATGGTCACAGTATAAAAAAGACATAAAGACAAAAGACATATGACAAATCATTGTATAGTGTCATTTTAGGCTCACTGAAAATTAATAACCTTCAATTCCCCAAAGCATTTAACACATTTGCTATCGCCTTCTTCTTCTCCTCCTGGTAGCCATGGCAACAAAGAGGTGTTTTCCTGCCAGGGCATCCAGCTGGCTGTGGATTGGTTCCTAGAGCGAGGTCATCATGACGTCACGGTGTTTGTGCCCGCTTGGAGGAAAGAGCAGTCGCGCCCTGACGCCCCGATAACGGGTCAGTGCGAGGCGCAGGCTTGCGATCAAGAGATAACTCTCGCGTAGCAATTTTCTAAACCTTCCGCTGTATATCCGCCCCTCCCTACGTAGATCAGGAGATCCTGCGTCGCCTGGAGAAAGAAAAGATCCTGGTCTTCACTCCTTCGCGGCGTGTCCAAGGTCGGCGCGTGGTTTGCTATGACGACCGCTTCATCGTCAAGCTCGCCTACGAGTCAGACGGCATCATCGTCTCCAATGACAACTACCGAGACTTGGCTAACGAGAAGCCCGAGTGGAAGAAGTTCATCGATGAGCGGCTGCTCATGTATTCCTTCGTCAATGACAAGTGAGTGGAGGAAGTTTAGGGAAGGGCCGATTCTGTCAATATAATAGATAGATAAAATTATGAAAATTACAGGTGTAACTCCAAAAATGTGCACGTAAAAAGCCTGGCATCCTTAACCTAAAGGTCATATAACCTACTTGTCCTTTCAGATTCATGCCCCCAGATGACCCTCTAGGTCGTCATGGCCCCAGCGTTGATAACTTCCTGAGGAAAAGGCCGGTCATGCCCGAGCAGAAGAAACAGCCTTGCCCATACGGTGAGAACTATGCACAAATCCCCTAACTGCACACGTGCAGAAGCACTGAAACATCATCTATTGCAGGTTGCACGTTGATTTCTTTTGCATCACGTTTGTCCAAATCATGTAATGAAGCGGAGACCCTTTTGCCTCCAGGAAAGAAGTGCACTTACGGCCACAAGTGTAAGTACTACCACCCAGAAAGAGGTGCTCAGCCTCAGCGAGCTGTGGCCGACGAGCTGCGTGCCAGTGCCAAGACCTGTGTCACCACAAAGACCCAGGGGGACACCGGCTTGGTGAAGAGCCACAGCGTGCCAGCTGGCAGCTTTGAGGCCAAAAAGGGCGCCCAGAAACGGCAGTCGGACCCCAGCATCCGAGCCCTGTCGTACGGTGATGCCGAGGAGAAGCTGGCCAAAGGGAGGGCGGAAAGTCAGAAGAACAACAACAGCAGCGGCGGGGGCGGAGGCATGAGCATGTCCTCGGCCTCAGGAGACCCTCTGATTAGTTTCAGCCTTCCCCCGGACCAGCAGTCCAGAACAGTGACTCCCCATAGTCTACCGGGCCCCAGCCACGACCTTTACCCTCACTGTGAGTCCCCCGACCTGAGCTACTACTCGGTGACGCGTGCCTACTCGGGCCTGAGCCTCTCCTCCAGACGCAGCCCGGACTGCCGCTTCCCCAACGACACGGACATGCGGCTCGGCTCCGTGGGCTCGGCGGGCTCCGAGTGCGGCAGCGAGAGCAGCGCGAGCTGCGGCAGCGGCAGCTGCGACTCGTACGGCGAGAGGCCGTGCGCCGGGTGCCCCCCGGAGACCTCGCTGGACGACGGCCTCCATTTCGCCAATCCCCACAGCCGGCTGTATCCGCACCGCGCGGCGCCCAACCACGAGCTCTGTGGCCTCCATCCCGCCGATTACTCCAGCGCGCAGCACGCGGCCAACGCGGGGGCGCACGGCTACCACCCGAGCGCGCCGCGCGGACCGAACTGCGCTCGCGATCAGCCTCCTCCCAAGCAGCCCCTCTACCCGCTGCCCCCGCACCTCCAGCACCAGCCGCTGGCCGCGCGCTCCAGCTGCCCGGGCGATTACCACTCCCTGCCCCAGTCCAACCCGCACGCCCCCGGGTCTCCCCTGGGCCGCTGCCTGGCGCCGACGCGCCGGGAGAGTGTGTCCGACTCGCACCTCTACGAGCACCTGTCCACGCAGCACCATCGCCACCGCACCAAAGCTTTGCCCGGCTGGGACACGTACTACCGGCAGCCTCCGCTGCCGCCGTCCCGGTACGAGCCGTCCGCCTATCAGAGTCTGCCGGACACGCGGCAGGCGTCCTGGCACGCCCCTCCCTGGGCACAGGACGGCTACGGCCAGCACCACTCCTCCCACCCGGCTCTCCACCCGTCCTCGGCGCATTACTTAAACCACCCGCCGCCCCAAGCCCGCTCGCCTCACCCGCCTCATCCACCCGGCGCTCCTCTCCCGCCGCCGTACGCGTCCCACAGCGCTCACCACGCGGCGCCGTCACACGCCCCGCCCTCTTACATGCCGCAGCACCCAGAATCGCCTGCGCACAGCCGCTACGTGGACATGCGGGAGAAAGTGTACGCCGACCTGTGTAACATCTTCCCCTCGGAGCTGGTGAGGCGCGTGATGGCCCGGAGCCCCCACATCACGGACCCCCAGCAGCTGGCAGCCGCCATACTTTCAGAGAAAGCCCAAACGGGATACTGAAGAAGAAATCAACAGCCGTCATGTAGTCTCGAGAGGAAATAGTGGTTTGCGTCAGTGGAGTTTGGGCCTTTTGTAGCACTTGAAAGCATGATAGATTTGCATGGTTGGATTTTAAATAGTGGCGTGCTTTTGGATCGTGTTTGAGGAGACCGTTTTGTTCTTTTCTCACGACGTTGATCAGACAACGCGTACGTATGAAGGATCTACAATGCAGAGGATGATCCAACCCGAGCGCTGGTCACGACGCAGCGACAGCTCATCCTTTAAGGAGCGTAGGGGGAGCGAGTCCTCCTGTGGCGATTTCCTCAGACCGGCCCAGTTAGTCTGATGTCGTAGCTTAAGATCTGTCTTTCACACGCAGAACTTGTTATGCCTCAAATTCGAAAAGGTGCATTTTTGTGTTACAAGTAAATGATGGTAGAGTTCTTGCATTCATAATGACTGATATGTAGGATCATTCAGGCATTTCCACCTCCTTTATGACTAGAGTCTGACGTAATGTGCACCCACATTGTGACAAGCTACAAAGCAGCATTTGAAAATATTCTCTCTACATGTGTTCGGTGCCAGATGGGTGGGATTTTCTTCTTCATAATTAATGAGAAAAGAGTCGGGTATATTTTTTCTGCTGGTTCATTTGATATGTGGGGAATCCACAGCAGGAGGTCCGTGTATCATACGAATCTGTGTTGTGAGGCTTTCGCCATGTTGGTTAAAGTTGGTGTCTGAAAGACGGTCGTCTTATTTGAGATGACGTCAGTATATTTTGGTCAGAGTTGTAGCTGTAGAGATGGGTCACCCTGTCGTGTGTACCTTAGTTTTAGTAAGGGACATCTCTTTTCTCCCTCTCTCTCTGGCCCTTTTACTTAGGGTCAACTCTGGTATCTGCTGCAGACAGAGAACATCTGGACATCAGTAAATCAAACGTGTTTATTGTAAATATATTTAACAGACTCCCCTGGTGTCCATTTGGCGCAGGCATCTGCGGCAGATCCCAGCGGAATCCTTGTTAGACAGAGAAGAACCTTGTTTGATACAAATTGTATCATTAACTAAGTCGCTGATGTTATATACAGTACATCCATCTAACACACCCGATGTGGGGCTTTATGATTTAAATGCATTGACAACAGTTACGCTCCAATCGAGAGGCTCCGGCTTTTAATTTTGTGGAAATTGCTTGAGACAATTATTTTAAATGTTATGAAACGGAAGGAGTTTTCTGCCTGTGTTCAGGTATCACAACTTCTTTATTTTCCCTTTTGGGTTTGAAGCTGGTTTATTTTCTCCAGGAGCTCAGATTAAATCCTGTGAGAAGTTTGCTGGTTAAATGCCCATTTTAAAAACAAGAGAACTAGTCTTGGTTACTCGCGCTGAGGTCGGGGTCAGATCATTTTGGGGCTTTTTGTGGCCTCTTTTGTTACCTCTTTAACTAACCCATTGTTTTTATTGATTCACGAATTGAGCGGACGGACCCCAACCAGGTTTCACATTCGGGTCAGTCCCATAAACCCCGGTGGTCGTTTTGAATGTCTGTCACACTAACAAAAGCTCTACCTGGAGTATTTGCAAAGGTATGAAGTGGTTTTTGCCTTTAGAAGACGAGGTTTTGAAACGACCCAGGTGTAATATGAAGTATAGCAGGATGTTTACATTACATTTCCAGACACAAATGTATTAATAGCTTCAAAAACATAGTTTCAACTCTTCCACACGCAGGAAGCTACCCGAGCACTTATAGGCCCGTGCATTATTAATTACACACAGATGTGTGACCGATCGCATGGTCCTAGAGTAGGTTGCACTTCTCTTAGCATAAACCTGTGAATGTTACGAGTTACTCTTCAGGTAGAGCCCAACCAAAGTGTAACGGCAGTTCAAAGTGGCCGCCGGCGGCTCCTCAGAGCGTGAGCTCCGTGAAGCCCCACGGGGTTCCTTTGCTGTCCAACGGGTCACATTGTACAATAACACGTGGCGTTGATGAGCGAACCTGTGTGTGTAGTGAAGAAGCGCCTGCTCTCCGGCCTCCTGGCACTGTGTGTCAGTGTGGCACCTGAGCGTGGGCCCAAAGTAATGCCTCTTCATGGCATTGTGCTTATGACACATCCAATACTCTGAACTATGTTCAGCCTACTGTTGTGCATGATTTTGTTTCCACGTGTGTGACCTTGTGTACATAGCGTTGTCTTGATGTTTCTGTGACGGCTCTATAAAGCGGACTTGTGTTTCTGCTTGTTAATCTTTTATTTCACACAGCAGTTAGTTGATTTCAGGACAATGTGTGTTTTCTATAAGGCTTGATATTTACTCAAAAGGATGAGGAAGCATCTCGCTCCTCCGGTGTGCTGGAGGTATACAATGAAAATCCTATCAAATTATATTTCTATATTGCCAGTAGAATACTTGTGTAACATTCAACTGTAACTGTGATCGTTCATTAAAAATAGTACTGCTACAAAAAAGTGACATTGGCGTTGTTCTAGTTAAAGGCTAGTTCATCTATCGTTTAAACGGTTTACAAATACTGATTTATATTTTATATAGAAAACCACTTAACGTATACTTTTCTTGTAACAGTAATACATTTCTAAATATTGACTGCTAAGTATTTGTTAGGACAGAAATATCACCTAAAAAACGTTTCTTAAATAACATGGGGCACTTTGAAAGTTGCTGTAGGTTTTACATTTAATTATGTTCTAATTTATTAAATGTTTCAACTATTTTGGTCTTGAGGAATTGGCATTTATATCAAATACATTCAAACATCTTCAGGTTTTGGTTTCTCAAATATTAGGATTCAGTTTATGTTAATTTGTACTTTTACAACTTGCTATACTATGACCTTTTTTAAATTTGAATCATCCCTTTGAACAGTTGAATTATTTTCTCTGACAACAACGATACACTTCCACAGACGTTAACATTGAATAGTTATCAACCAAAGAAAGGCGATAATTGAACAGAATTACACAGATGGAGGATTTTGACGACACTCCGTTAGAAAGGTGGTTTTATTACATAATGTCCCACTCTATACATGTGTGTTCTAGCTATGTACAATCACAGCACGGAATTATATGGTTTACATGTAGGATCTGATCAAACAATCAATAATAGAGGTATACATATGTGTAGAGTAAAATAATATAGGGGGCAGGGGCGTGTCGGCATCGAGCACGGTCTCAGCCGCGGGCTGCAGTAAGCGGTGTACCTCTTCCTGGTTTAGTGAACATGGCTGATTTGCACAGAGAGAGAGAGAGAGAGAGAGAGAGACAACCACAAGGCACGGCCCCAAAGTAGAGGCAAAAATGAAGTCAGCCATGGTGATAACTAAAAGTGATTTAAAAAGAGACAAGACCTCAAATGGGAACAGATCACCTATAATGAATGGGTGTCTGCGAGTTCTAATTGTTTGCAGCTTTACGTTTCTATAAAAAAGGACGTCTTCATTTGCGCAGCCAAATGCCATATTCTGTCTGACTTTTTCTTATTTATTTTTAAAAAGGTGGGGACATACTGTGGCAGGTACATCCACCATCGTCCCTGTGCACACACCCTCAGTGTCTACGTACAGCGCTCCTAAGACGACCCGTCTTGGCTCTGTCGGATGTCGGCGACGCTCTCGGGGACCCGGGCCACCACGCCCTCCAGAGACTTCGTCAGACAGATCTGGCAACCCAGGCGAGACCTGTGGGCAGAAACGGTAGCACTCGAGTCATCGCTTTATGGTAGACGGCGTTTATTTAAACTAACAGAGGCTAAGCCTGCCCCATCCCGACGACAAGCAGGAGACCCCAATATGCCAAAAAAGTGAAGGCACCGCTAGTATAGTGTGTCGTAAAAACGATGATAAATCAGTTATGTTTTGAGTCATAGTACATACACTGTGTTGAAAAAAGTAATATTGCGTGTGTAAACCCGATAGTGAAGCATGTGAGTGAGTTTCTGTGTGCCACAGATGTGCACAAAAAGCATGTTGAATAAAGACAGAAAAAGTACAGAGCTGAGTTTCATAGGATGCAATGTTAAAAAATAATAAAAATGTCCAAGTTTAAATTATTTTTTTGTCTACAATGATCATTTCAGGTAACTTTGAAATTCCATCGCTTCTCTATAGATATGGATTAGAAGCTCTCTTAATTTTAAAGGAGAGTCAGCCAATAACCTCTAATAATAACTCTGCTGCAGCCTGGTCAGAGCTGTAAGACAGACTTAGTTTCTTACTAATCGTCAGGTGCCTGTTTGTATATTGGAACAGTTTCCCTACAAGTGTTGAGGAAATTAACTGCCGTCTATGGCCTCTTAGACCTGCAATCATTGATTTGACCACTTGGAGGCAGCAGAAAAAAGATCCGCTCATGAGGTTCATTCGGTTATCACTATAAAAAGGCCTTCCAGATGTTCCTTTGATAAATAAAATGGTGGATCGAGCAGCTTTGAAAGCAAGAGGGAAAGAAATGATGTCGTTACAAAGGCTCCTTTGTCACTCCCAGATTAACTCGTACTAATGTTACAACAATCTCATCTGCGTTGTGCAGTTTGTTAAACCTCTTAATACACAAGACTTGCATTGTACAAACTTGCACCCTCAAATCTCATTATGTCCGATCCTTACGTGTCAGTCAGGCCGTACGCCAAGTCGAGCATGTCCATCTCCTCGTCTGTGACCGGGCCTAGACTCTTGTAGGTCTCCTCGTCAAAGATTAGATGACACGTGGAGCATGCCAAGGTTCCCTCGCACGCTCCTGAAACCAAACACACACTTACTTCATCTGCTGGATGAGAATCAGCTCAGTTACAGGATTCTCAGTTACTGTATAGCAATAAACAGCAAAATAACCACACGCCAATATTTTATGTAAGGTACAAAAGTTCAGCAAAATGCAGTGAATTAAGTGTTTCAACTCCATTTTGGGGTTTGAGTGAGTTTCTGGTTTGTATGCAAGGGAAGTGCACACATACTGAAGCTTTAAGCGCTAAAATAATTACTATTTTCTTAAGTGCCCCCAAAATTATGTGAATGCTGCCATTTTTTTAAATTGATGGCTGTGTTGCTGCAAAGATACTTTTTATTTCCCTACATCGCAACACCAACGCGTGGGCGCTTACACACCAAAGCCATCAAAGTCGAGGTCTTCGTTGATGACAATGTCTAGCAGCGAGTCTCCAGGCGAGCCCTTCACGGAGATCTTCTCCCCGTCTCGGTTGATGAAGTTCACCGTCACCTTGTTGTTGGACCTGACAAACAAAACAGCTTTAGTCGACCCGTTTCTAAACCACACACACAAATTGGAGAGCCGCTTTGGATGGCTGATCCCCACCAGGCGGGTGGCCCGCTCCTCACTGCCCCCCAGTGGCCAGAGCTCCTCACTACACAGAGACCGAAGACACAAAGTCCACATTCCCACAAAGAGGAGTATTCAAAGAGTCTGTGGTCCATCACTCTACGATCTACTGATAGTCTCATCTTTTCACAATGACTTATCCAGCTGTGAACGAGTCAATTTGATCATTTCCAACCCAGCTGGATGACCACGCAAATAATCACAGATCAATGATAATGACCTCAGTTTTTAGCATCACATCATGATGCATCAAAAAAATATCGAAGGAATTAAACTTGATTTTGATTGACTGTCAAATTAGGCGATTAAAAGAGCGTTAAAAAAAAGCCTGACAGTTGTGTTCTGCGTTATTTAGCGATGTTGTATTATGCAACACTTGTCCGTTGTGCTTGTTTGTGTTGTACAGGCGGAGGAAACACATTCTTCCTCCACTAAGTCTTGCCTGTAAGCCGCTATATACACTAATGACACGTCCTTTCTTCCATGTGGAATTTTCCTGCTATTCCTCTGAAGGAACTCCGATCAAGGCATTAGGGTGATTTGCATGCGTTACAGATGTTAGAATTGGTACCCGGCAGAGGTTTGTTCTAATGCAGGGAGGCGCCAGAAGATCTGGATTAGCGATTATCCTTCTGCGCTCCTTAAAACCTGTCCAAAGGCTTTGAGTAGAAATAAAATGAGGGTTCAATACAATGACGGCTTTCTCAAATTCATACCACAGCGAGAGGCCGCAGCAGCTCGGCTTTTAACCAGGGATTAAAGTAAGATGAGGGCTGTGAACTGTGTAAACCATGTAACACATGCGATGGTGCGGAGCCAGAAAGAAGGAACAGTGAGTCCTTATTGAGACATCTCATTTATTGGGAAACTAACATTGTTTTGTGGGAGTATTTGTAGAACAAAAATGTGAAAATGGTCATTAAACCAGTTAATCAATTCAAAAGATGATTGAAGTATAGCATATTACTGTTGTGTTACCCGGATTTCAAAATTCACAGAAGCCATTTACAACGTGAAAGTGTCTGCTTTCCATAAGATTAATATTGAACTCAACAATCTAGACGTATCAAGACATGAAGCGACGGTTCCTTTCATGCCGATTACACATTGTTCCTGTGTAATCCGCTTGCAGGAAAAAAAAAGTGAGTTAACAAGCTGTAAATATTATCCTGCACCCCGTGACCTTTTGGATGAAAGACACGACGCCTGACATGGACTCACAGGGACAGCGTCAACCAGTTCAAGGTCTAGCAGGGGGGGCATTGTGCAATTCAACAAGTTGTTTGGCCCTGGGGAGCCGAGCCAGTGGCCAAAACCTTGGACCTGAAGGATGGATCTCTTCAAACTCGCCTTTAGGCCTCATCCAAGGATAAGACGATAAGCGACCAACTGCCACTCAGTTGCTTTTGTGACACACACACACACACGTCTCATTCAATATTACCAAACAAACACACGTCCACACGTGACATATTTTTGTACAGCTAGATATCTTCAGGTGTTTTTGTTGATTTGGGCTCTTTTTGAGACCACAAAACCACAAAACGTCACGCCGGTTTCTCAAAAACTTACGTTTTATGGTGACTTGCATCCGTTTAGTTGTCCTTTCTTACTCACGTGTTTAACGTATTCAAATATAAAGCGCAAGGATGACACCTGCCCGGCGTGTGCGGTACCGAGGAGGTCAAAATAACCCCTTTCCCGAATGATGGAAGAACAACGCACGGAACAACGGCTGCGTTTTTGAACAGCGGTCTCGGGGAGGCCAGCCGACGTTACCTCAGAGGCTGCGTGCCGCCGGTGAAGCTCCTCCGACCCGCCAGCCGGGCTCCCGAAGTTACCACCGCCGCCGTCCTCCACGAACGTTCCCGCAACCCGGCGAGGGGCAGCCTTCGCAACGCCGTCACGAAAGCCATTTGATGAAGTACACGCGGGGGAGGCTGAAACACACGGGTCCCCCTCTTCGGTCGAGCTCTCCGCTTCACAACGGGGCAGAAACCCGAAGTTGTCCGACTCAGCTACGCGGAGCTAGCTAGGCGAGCTAGCTTGCTTTTAGCTGCGGGGAGTCGCTCTGTCACTGTCACGTTCGTTGCATAACCGGTAACTGGCGGCGGGAGGTTGTTGTCCGAGATCCCCGAACGGTGCGCGGAGTGTCCCGTGATCAATGTTCACAGAGCTAAAAGCAGGCTGACCCTGTCGGCTGCGACCGGACTGCCCAGCTTGGTTTAGTAATCAGCCGACGTTGGGGATCCCGGTGTATTCCGGGGCAAGGGCAACGGCGAGAGTAGGCTTTACGACAACTTCCTTTCCAGAGTGTCAAAATAAAAGCGTGAGCAACCAGCGCAGACGGTGTTGAAAGAAGGTTGTAACTCGAAATCACACCACCGCCAGCAGGAGGAAATGAAGGACGTTCTCATTAACAGCTACTCGACACTTTTTCATAATTCATCGTCCGCAGTGTTTAGGACTCTTATTTTGAAAGCTATACTGACAATGTTCCTGCCCAGTGTTTAAACTCTAACTTGATGCCGCTATCAATAAAAAACAACGTCCTTGTCCGATTGACTTCTTGGTTATCCACGTGCTTGCTTAACGTTTCCCAATCAGGGTTTATGTGAGTTTTGAATAACAGCGTCAGCCGGAGTTATACTAGTTTTCACCTTTGGGGGAATCTTCCCCGCAGTGGAGCAGGTTATGATATTGAGAAACTGTGTTAACTAAATTGATAAAGGACAAACAACCAGATTTGCAATCAGATTTTCTTCATTCCTGCCAAACCGAGAAAGAAAAATAAATCGGATGCCACACGCGACCTTGATATTTGTTTGTGTTTGAAAACACGGCGCAGATAGGAACGGGTTTAACAGTTTACATGTACAACTACGATATTTTATTGAAATTATATCTTTTGTTTATGGTAAATTCATAATCCGGTGGAGCCTCCTGTATCTTCAGACTTACACACGGCTCAATAATTCTGGATAAGGTATTCACAAATTTGAACATGATTTTATTTTGAAAAACTGGAATCATGGGCCCTGAGGTTTGTCCTACAACCCCTGACCACTGCCCCCACCTCCCCTTCCACAAACAACCACCCCATTCCACTATTAAACCAAGGGTCATTCACCTTCAACATATTTACAAAAGCATGAAAACAGGATGTGTACAGTACATTGACTGTACAGGTACAGTAAAATATGATATCAAGGTAAAATGCACTTTATAGGCAGCTGTTGACATTTTGTGCCAACGCTGCATTCAAAGTGCATCCAGTAACAGCCTCAATATGGGAGTTTGAGTTATGGCCGTTCACGTTATTATCTGGGTCTGATGACTATGACAGTTATGTATTAATGGGACTTGGGATCGTTTGCCAAGGTTCATTTCTTCCCTCGGGTGAGTAGCACCATAACTGACTAAGTTTATGTTCACTATAAAGTCCAGGGCAGTGAAATAGTTTTAAATGACTGTATTTTGTGGCGCTTACAGGATATACAAGTTTTTTTTAAACCCTCATTTTTAAGCCCCCACGCAGCCCTGAGGTCAAAGTGCGTCCAGTAACACCATTAATCTGTGGGACACGTAAATCAATAATCCTATTTACTGTTATCCTCGGTTTATGACTGAGACAGGTATTAAAGGAGCGCCTTTCGTTTTTTCCACCATTCCATCTCTGCGGTCTCAGGTAAGCAGCACAAGAGCTGACCGTCTAAAGCTTTACCTCCACTATCGACGCAGGGCAGTGAAAAGAATCAAGCAGTTTTAATTTGCTCGGTTTGTTCTGACGTTTACAGGATGTTCAAGTTTTTGCTGCTGTTCCTGACGCTGTCAGGTGAGATCTCTTATTGTATGGTTGTTTGATACATGAAGTGGAAAGATGATTCATTTATGTGCCAGCATTTAACTTAGTGAATGCTTTAATTTGCAGATCATGTGAAAATATCAGTTAGTTTTTTTGTCTTCCTGTAACATATTTTCTTGGATGTATTTGGAGGATATACTACCCCCAGTGACAAAACAGAGGCTCTTAATGAGTTAATGAGTATATATGTGAAATGCCCCTCGCAGGCCTCCAAGCTGTTCCAATTGCAGTCCTTCGAGGTTTGCAGAAGACGTCTTCAACCTACCAGCTCCCCGATGGCTTTCGACAGGGCACCGAGCACACCGACGTCCGTAAACCCATTCCGGACGGCTTCCATCAGGGTACTGAGCCCTCCAGGAATTTCCTTGTTGACCTCAACACTGGCCTAGTGCGGAAACGCATCGGTGAGATGAGCAGGAGAGTGGGTAAGTATATATAATCAAACCCAATCAAGAAACAAATACTTCAACCATTTGTGTTCTTACAATGTACACTTTCCTCCTCTAGGTTCTATGCAGCTTTCTCCAGCAAAGGGATTTGGTGAGATGGAGAGAAGACACTGGCTGACAGATGAGGGTGAGGAAGCTATTAAGGGAAATACTATTCCTAAGTTACTATGATGCTGACACAAAGAGTTGGTAAATATAGTAAACTCACTAAACTTCAACATCCTAGCATTGCCACTGAGAATCTCCTTTTTTTTCTTGTATGTACTCAATAGCATCTCACTCTCCCTGAACAAGCCTGTATAATCTATTGTCACCTTCCATTCTGTTCTCCAGTCCCGGTTGATGTTCCGACCCTGAAGAACGCTGGTGGTTGGGTCCGGGTAGATGAACCTTCTGTTCCTCATCTTCAAGATGGTTTTCGACAGGGAACTGAACCCATTAAGACTATCCCAGAAGGTTTCCGACAGGGAACAGAACCCATTAGGACTATGCCAGAAGGTTTCAGACAGGGAACAGAACCCATTAGGACTATCCCAGAAGGTTTCAGACAGGGAACAGAACCCATTAGGACTATCCCAGAAGGTTTTAGACAGGGAACAGAACCCATTAGGACTATCCCAGAAGGTTTCAGACAGGGAACAGAACCCATTAGGGCTATCCCAGAAAGTTTCAGACAGGGAACAAAACTTGTAAAGTCCAGCCCAGATAGCTTCAGACAAAGAACTGAACCCATTAAGACTGTCTCAGATGGTTTCAGACAGGGAACTGAACCCATTAGGACTATCCCAGAAGGTTTCAGACAGGGAACAGAACCCATTAGGACTATCCCAGAAGGTTTCAGACAGGGAACAGAACCCATTAGGACTATCCCAGAAGGTTTTAGACAGGGAACAGAACCCATTAGGACTATCCCAGAAGGTTTCAGACAGGGAACAGAACCCATTAGGGCTATCCCAGAAAGTTTCAGACAGGGAACAAAACTTGTAAAGTCCAGCCCAGATAGCTTCAGACAAAGAACTGAACCCATTAGGACTATCCCAGAAGGTTTCAGACAGGGAACAGAACCCATTAGGACTATCCCAGAAGGTTTCAGACAGGGAACAGAACCCATTAGGGCTATCCCAGAAAGTTTCAGACAGGGAACAGAACCCATTAGGACTATCCCAGAAGGTTTCAGACAGGGAACAGAACCCATTAGGGCTATCCCAGAAGGTTTCAGGAAGGCACCTGAACCCTCCACGTGTGAGGGAGAGGTCATCAACGGAAACTGCTATGAGTTCAACCCTACGCTGCTGGCCTTCCAAGATGCACAGGTTAGACGCATGACAAAACTCGCATTGCTAAAAAAAAATATTGACAGTGATTCTGAGTGCATGTGACCTATTGTGTTTTAGGTCTCCTCGTATTAAATGTTTGTAGCTTTACAGGTTGAATCTCAAACTTGTCTGTCATTTATCTTAGGCCTTGTGCAGATCTCTCGCCCCAAATGCTGAGCTTGCATCCGTTACCACTGGCGATCTGCAATCCCGTCTGGTCTACCTGGTGACCCAGGGTGGAGAGCGCAACCCTGTCCTGACCTGGCTGGGAGGCAGGGTCCAGGCAAGTTCCTTTCTTCAACTTCCCCCCTTTTAGTGTGACGTGGGGAAAAGCAATCTAAAACTGCCATTTTAATAGCCAAGTGCTCTTGGCTGTGACGCCAACAGAGGCCAAGGAGTGTCATCAGATATGTTATCAACAGGACAGATAGTGTTATTCTTACCTTGGTAAAACATTGACCGTTGAACTTTTATTTTCCAAAATGTTCCATCTGTTTCTTTACTGTCACTGAACAAGGACAGAAAGAAAAAGCAAAAACACCAGCAAGTAAAAGATTGGAAAACTGTCACAATAAGCGTCAAGCCTATTATATATGCATATCATTTATATACTGTGTGTGATGGCGTTGCACACCTCAGAACCAGCAGCCATCATGGGTAGACGGGTCTGAGTGGCGCTACAGCGAGTGGATGCCAGGTCACCCAAACCTTCACACGGATAAACCGGTCTGCGTGGAGATGTTCAAGATGGGTAAGAATACACTACAGACACATTAAGACGCACACAGATGACTGGATTATGTCTACTGTCCGCTGGCAGGCAAAGCGTGTCTTTGTGACTTACCCATAACCACACTGTTAATACAAAGGTTACTGATACAGTGAAACTCAGACAACCGCCGTGGTTACATCACAGAAAGTTTGATAAGATAAAATGTTGTCTGTATGAAGGAATCTTTGCACTGCTTAACTGCTTAGACATACTTCCTTTTTTTCCCCTGTCCCATTAGCACGCTTTTGCTTTTCAGAAATACCAGTAACTAGTCAGGCCTTAGAAAGACACGAGAACGGTGTGTGAAATTGCGGTGAGCCCACTTGTCTTCCACAATCCTGATCCCACCTTTTCTGCAGGCGAGAGCTGGTGGACGGCCGCCGACTGTGAACTGAAGAGAGCGTCCATCTGTTCGTACCAGATCACTGCGTGAAAACCACAAAGAAACAGAGCATGAAATGAGTTGTTTCCTCGAATACATCTGTATTCCCTCAAATAAAAAAATTGGCAATAAATGTGAAGGGAAAAGAGGATATTTTTTACTTTTTCTTCAAAGACCTGACCGATAAAACCACAAATTACACACTACTATTTCAATTTAGACAACTTTAATGATCATTTTCCACTTCTGTGTATACAAAGCAGTTTATACAGTCTAGGGAGCCCAGTTAAAACAATTTCTTACAATTTAGTACCTGGAAAGTGCAAAAGTACATTTCAAATACGCTGAAATAAAATTCATGCTGTACATTATATATTGTATTCATAAATAATCACAGATATACAAACATCCATTTGGTGACAGTCACAGAGAACGTTGCTAAGACACAAAAATGTATATTTTTTTGATTTCGCTTTGAAGTCCTCGGTTCTTGGCATCCGTTGAGACTGTGGAGGTTTAAAGTCTGGAATGCTGCTTTCCTTAGATTTACCGTAAGGTCGGGGGGGACGATGAGTTTTGGCGATGAGTGGAACACGTTTTCATGCCACAATGGGATAAAGGCACTCTGTTAGTTGCAGTTGTGAAAACACTCAAACAGTGGTCTATTGTCTTAAGGATAAAATGTGGATGAGCAAAGAAAAACATCTTTCATGGAAACCTCAGAAAGAAGGACACAGATTGGTCTTTGCGCCCCATCTTGCTTTGACATTTAAATAAAAACTCACGTCTAGAGAGAAAAAACCCAGAGAAGCCTGGTGTCCAATGCAAAGTCCATGAGCAATGACCTAAAACCATCAAGGTCTGCTATGCTCTACTGAATCAGAATTTGGCTAAAAAAAGAAAAGAAAAAAGAAAACACATTATCGGCATGTCCTCACTCACACACACAAAGATATGGTGCAGAGATATAAATCATCATATAAATCAAGTTTTGTGTAAGGACACATTCACACATTGAACAGTAGTCTTCCAATCAACCTCAAAAAGTCACGCAGGCCTTCTCAATGTTCCTATAAAAAACAAAAATAGACTCACTTCACAATTAGCAGGAAGGAGAATGAGATGTCAAAATAAAAGACGCCAGTCGTAGGAGACGATGTGAGCTAAAAGGGACGGGAGGGAGATATGGCGCATTTGAGTCCCAGTGAAGCGATAAGAAGACGAGATAAAGAGCTGGCAGAGCAACCAAGACGGGACAAAAAGGAACGGGAAGGAGCTGTGCTGCCGTTAACACCGACATCTCGTTAAGCCCTTGAGGAATTCGGATTTCTCCTTCTTTTGCAGGCGTCTGAACAGTCAGTACAGTTTTAAATATGCAATACCAGTGCATGTAAAAACTGCCATTTTCACTTATAAATAAGCATGGATTCAAGTAAATTAAAAACATTCAATGAAGTGTTGTGCGACTTTAAAGCCGCGTCTCTGTACTGCGATGGATATTCACATGAAAATGTAGTGTTTTGTCCGTAGTGAAAATATTGTCTTTTACAAAACCATATCTGAAATGACATGCCGACCTTAAAGACAGACGCTACAGATGTTTCTAGAACAAAACAAGTCAGCTAAATGGAAGAGGTCAATATAACAAGAAAAACAACCATGACTTCCATCACCGTTTTTGATGCTGCCTAATCTCAAAATGGACCAAAAAGGTTATGCACACAAACAAAGATGAAGTCGCTGGGGCACATGCATGAATACGACCAAAAAACAAACCCGGAGGAAAAAAACAGAAATCCATAAAACCTCCCCTCACACACACACACATATATATATATATCTCTATCTACAGATAGAGATAGAGATATATATATATATATATCTCTATCTACAGATAGAGATATATATATATATAAGAATGCCCAAGAAAGGCGACGAGTTTGGTCTTGTGAGTGGTGGAGCCATCTTACTGCATTTTAAGGCTGCGGTGTCGCAGCTTTGAGGCAACCATGAGAAGTCTCCGCCTACAGAGCACAGGCCCGCCAGTCTGTATTGAAGGCAAGCTAAGATGAGGGGGGGGGGGGAACAAAAAAGGCCCCTGGAAACTACATTTTGACAGAGCGCGCACACCTCCGGACAGACATTAGTATCACGTAAAAGTGACGATGGCTAGCCGAGGGATCAGGAGCTACGGTGATTGGTAGTGGTGCCGCTGAGGCTGGATTATAACCCTGGCGCCAGCGCCTTACGCTCAATCCAAAGCAGCGGCAAAAAAAAAATACAAAAACATAACTGATTCATGAACGTGCACGCACAGTAGACAGTGGAACGGTGCGGGAGGAACTGAAGGGAGTTCCTTAGACAGAATGAAGCAAACCGTCGAGGGATTGACAGGCAAGGAGGCGAACTGGGTGACAGGAATGTGGGATGCTGGTGGGAAGGAGGGTTTCGGGGGATTGGGTCAGTTGTGGTCGTGCTGCGTGTTGTAGACCGTCTCCCCCGAGGAGATCTGGGTCATTCTCTTGCTGGAGCCCCACAGCTTCCGTGTGATCTGACCCGAGCGCATCTGCGAAAAGCAAAGGAAGAGGAAGTGGGATGGAGGGGAGAAGGGCGGGGGAGGTGAAACATGAAGTCAAAGGAAACCGGGAAGAAAGAAAGGAGGGATATGATTCATGAGTGATCGATTAGTTCATTGCGGCTTGATTGACTTGTGAGGCAAGTAAATCAGCGGTTGACTCACTTTGGTGAGAAAAGATGAAAAGCAGAATGTTGCGATGGTTTTCATATAACTATTTACTGCCTATCAAGCCCATCTACACTACCGCACTATTTACACTATCAAAACACTGAAGTTGATCTTGACACAGGATTATTGGTTTGCATTATTAGATTGTGGCTACACTGTTTCTATGGCTTGGATTTGCAGAAAGGGTTAATTAGTTTTTGTTTCACAGCATATTTGTGGAAGTGGTGAAGTACACACAAACACGTCACACAATGACACTTCGGGTGAACAGATGGGGTTGTAGTTGGTCAACTGCCAAATCAGGTCAACATTGCAAGTATGAGGTAAGAACAAAACGTCCACCCAAAGACTTGAATCCCGGTGGCTCGGATATACTGAAGTCTGTGCGCGTGGTTCGATTAGGAACGAATAAAGAACTGTAGGGGCGACAACCATCCCTGAGAAGGAGGGGTGACTGTGGATTAAAAAGGTCTTTGAGGCCAAGCATTGCAACACAGGCAACATGTGCAGCAGGTGTATCTGTGTGTGAAACAGTGTTTGTCAAGGTGGGGGGCGGGGAACTAGAGCCGCCTGGGTTTATGGGAGCTGGGGCTGAACACCAGCTGGTCGCGCTGGTGTAGCAGGCGGGTCGGCGAGCGGGCCCGGAGCGGGGCCAGCAGGGGGGAGGCCAGGAGCGGCGATCCCTCCAGGCTCTGAGCGATGTAGTTCCTCAGCGAGCTCTTTACCTCCGCCGGCTTGCCCACGCCCACGATGATCAGCTTGCCGTCCTCCAGGCCCACCAGGACGTGGCTCTGCTCCTTGGTGACCGAGACGCAGCGGACAGGCACCCTCATGGCCATGGGCTCCGCGCACAGAGACAGGCTGCGCGGGGCGAGACAAACAGAGCGGTGACGCCGACCGACGGACGTCAGAAGAAGAAAAAAGGGCAGTTTCAGGGGAGTTTACCTGTAGAGGTCGCGGATGGAGAGGTATCCCTCCTCGCTGCCGATGACCACATACTCCCCAGAAACACACATGTCGGTCACCTGCTCCTTCAGAGGCTCGCTGCGGAGGTGCTTCCCATTGACGGAGTAAAGGTGGAGGGAATTTTTATCCTGGGGGGAAAACCTTGTGAATTATATATTCCGTCTTAATCTTTATCCCAAAAAAAAACGGTTTGAAAACGACCACACAAGGCGGAATTTGTGAAAGTGAAAACGTTCTCTTTCTTCCGAGCAGCATCTGTGTATAACTGCGTGCACCTTGAGCGTTGCTTTGCCTTCGAGGCAGGTGTGGACCAGCAGGTGACCCTCCCAGGAAACGGCGAGGTGGAGTATGGAGAGCGGCAGGGAGCTATCGCACGGCGGCCGCAGGCAACGCATGTAGTGGCCCCGACGCACCGTGTGGATGATCACCGTCCCGTCCTGGGGCACAGAGAATGGAAGCACACGTTAAATAAACAAATAAAAAACACAAACATGACAATATTCGGTACATTTATTAAAATGAAGAATAATCTAAGCTACATAATACCAAACATTACAATAAACTAACATTATTTAGATTAAACTAAACAATGTTTAAACCCCTACAAAGCTCTTTACCCTTTAAAGGCCCACAATTCCACATATCATGATACATATCCAGGTCAGTGACCATTAGTCATCAATCACATGGCAGTGAGCATGTGATTGAAAAACTCTAGAGTGGCCCAGTCTCTCTGCGCGTGCTCTTACCCGTGATCCGGAAACAGCCATGTCCAGTTCTGTGCTGATGCTGACACTGACCACCTCGTCCGTGTGTCCATACAACACCTGAACCGGTTTGGGATGAAGACCCACAGGAGCTCCACCCTGCACAAGCAAACAAGAACAAACAGAGAGCTAAAACACATCTAGGACGACACTTTCCCGAAAACAAGACCCCAAATTGAAAGATGGCCCTTTACATCAAAGTTATCTACACCAGTGGTCCCCAACCTTTTTTGCCTCACGGACCGTTGGAAACGCTTGGGAAATATGTCAATGTGGACGAGCGCACGTAATTAGGAGAGAATCCAGTCAATTTTCAAAATAAAACATTTTTCAGAAAAAAAGGAGTAAAATGACAAAAAATGATCACTGATTTATGGATGTAATTATTCACCGGTCCTGTAGAGCACCGTGTTTTTTAGGTCTGCATGTTTTAAAAAGACTTCATGAAATAATTTAGCAGATGTGTCATGGTGTACAAGCGAGCCCTGACTGTGCTGACCTGCTGCAGAACCTGCCACACCATGCAGGTTGTGTCTTTGGAGCCGGAGATCAGGTGGATGCCGCAGTGGTCTGTTGACAAGCAGGTCACAATGTCTGGAGGAGAGGAGGGCGAAACCACGGATTGTTACAGGACATACAACAAAACACTTTGCAGCCTTACAGTAGCAGTTATGAGGAGGGGATGAAAGTGTCATCGCCATTGTGCTTGGCCTGCTTATTTTTAGGATGTGACACAAGTCAGGACTTGAGGTGTATGTAGGGTGCAGGCCGGGTTTACCCATGTGCCGGATGTGCTGTCCCACAGTCTTGCCCTTAACCAGGGAGGTGACCCGCAGGCTGTTGTCCCAGTGGCCACCGCTGAAGAGCAGCTTGCCGTCGTGGGAGGCCACAAAGAGCCCAGCGGTTACCTCCACGCCGGGGGCAAACGGTCCGGAGAGGAAACGCTGGGTCCTGGGTGAAGATGGTTGAGAGGAAGACGGAGAGCACAGAGGTTTGGAGAGGACGCAATATGGCGACAAATGCAGCATGACATTGGTGCTGCTCTCCTGTAAATACTGCATTGTCGAAAGTGTTCTCACTTGGCGTTGAACACGGTGGGGTCCTTGATGAAGGTAAAGTAGTTGGAGATGTTCTTGTTGTAAGGCAGCCACCCGTGGGTCCCGACCAAGCAGTTCTGACTCACCGTGACCTGGAGACAGAGCACACACATTACATATTTCATTTTCATTTGGTTTACAACTTCCACAGTTTATAGGGAGTTAAAACAATGTTATAATGGACGTTCGTATCAGCACCCGGCTCACCAAGGTGTCAGGGCTTCCCTGGGTGATGAAAGAATGGGACTGATTCTTTGGCACCACGGCCTTAACCAGCGGCACGTTGTCACTGATGCCCTGCAGCATGACGGGGGAGAGAATTGAAATCACAGCTTGTATAGGGTTAGAGTTTTCGTTTAAATTATTCCTGATGTTTTAGTTTACTAGATTTATGATTTTTTTTTTGAGCAACACCGAGCAGTAGGAAGTTCAAACCTCAACAAAGAAGGACTTGAGGTCGCTGAGGTGTTCGAACATGCTGAAATGACACGAGTCAAGCTGAGCCTTCCTTTTCTCCACTTCCTCCAGAGGCAGTCGCACTGGATGAGGCTCCTACACACACACGCCCACACACACACACACACACACACACACACACACACACACACACACACGGGTCTCAATCCGATTCATCGGCACAGACACAGTACTTCATTGGCTTCACGTTGTGTCTGCCGTGTGTGTGTGTGTGTGTGTGTGTCTGCACCTTGAGGAGCTGGCAGGGCGTCTGTCCAAAGTTGCTGATCATGCCCTCCAGGGCCTTGCGCTCCTTTTCGTCTGTAATGGCATCCAGGTCGACCGCTCCTGCAATACACCAATCAAGGCCACAGACTTTAATTAGAAATGAACTCAGACATCCCAATAAATACATTATTACAAAAAAAATGTTTGATGATACAGTATCAACTATTCAGAAATATCAACATGGTCAACTGCAGAACAAGGACAGAATAAAATCCATGACCGTTCTGGAGGCTTTACCCTCATATGTGCAATAGTAGAAGACGTTGAGGGCCTCCACCGCCGCGGGGCCCCTCTGCTTGTAACCGAAGATGAGATCGATCCACTCGTGAAGGTGAGCCGACACGTACTCTGACTCCTGTTAGGAAAACACATGCCAACTTTACATGTTAAAAATAAAAACACACATGAAGCCACTACAAGCACAAGCTACACCTACATAGAAACACAGACCACATCACAATGCCTTAAATTACACTGCAGAAATACTCCACCCAAAACAATCACTATCAGTATCTGGACACTCTACTGATAAATCATTGTTTTCCTTCTACCTTTTTCTTCCACAATATCAATTGAGAAAGATCCCCAAGAAGCAAAGTAAGTAAGTAAGTAACTGAGGCCGCATCTCACCAGGGCTTTGCGGTGTTTGTAGATGAAGTCCTCAGGGGACTTGGCCCATTTGGGCAGAATGACATCGTTTACCCTTTCCTTGGAGATCTGCAGGCGACCCAGATCGAAGCCTTAAGAGAAAGAAAAAGGGATACATTTTTTTTTAAACACATCTATGCCAGAAGAAAATGCAAGCATGTGTAACAGAGTTAGAAATACACTGTCATTTTCAATGTATTGTATCTTATTATTGGTTATTATTCAACAATCTTGTTGAGCGTGTGTGTGTGAATTTTATTTTGATGAGTCAAATTTGCGGGAATTGCGATTCATCTCTCCTGCGCTTCCTAGGCTTCCGTAGTCCCGTTTTTCCTTCACAGAAGCGTTACTCTGTTGAAGACCCTGTGTGTAGGGAGCTGATGTGCAGAGACCAGAAGGCAATGTCTGTGTTTTATTGTCTTCTGCAGGAGCAAATAAATGCTGAAAAGATCAGTACCTGAGTCGACTATTTCCATGCCCTAAACGCATCTGTTACACATGCAAGGTAGTAGATAGTTTTATATACAATATGTTAAAGCATTTGAAAAAGAATCGCTCATTACCCGTACCGTACCGTTTTGGTTCTCAAGGAATTCTGGGAAGTAGAAGAACTCGGGGATGAGCTCTTTGACGTCGTTCGGGTTGTCCATGAGGGTCTGCCATGTGGCGGGGATGGAGTGGAACTGGCGGTCGGCACAGTCAAATCTGAGTGTTGAAACATCAGAAAAAGCAGCTTCTCTAAAATGTCCTGCGGTGGACTATTTCACAGCTGTCATTCCATAGTTCCAATGGGCATCGTCGCTGAAGATAAAAGGAAGAGGGAAGCCAAGGAGGAGTGGTGTGACGGACTGGTCTCCTTACCGTCCGCTCTGCAGTTGGATGTGCAGAGACGTGAAGGGCTCCACCCTGATCAAGTAGTGCATCACCCCGGCAGCGTTGGAGTAGTGGGTGCCATAATGGAACCTGTCGATGGTGCCGGTTGGGTCCTCGAAACTTTCATACCTGGTTAGCACATTTAAAAATGGGAATGTTGAATCTTCCTCTGGCTGCTTAAGTGATAATTTAATGATGAGAATAACTGAAGCATGGGGGGGGGGACAAAGCGTACTTCTCTCTAACAGCCTTCGCATTGCGTTCGTTGAGAACCGCCACTGGCTTCGATAGGTCCCTGAATACGCGGGGATCAGATAGGTCCAGCTCCTCTGAAGTGTAGTCAGCTAGAATCCAGGGAAACTGGTAACAACACACAAACAAACAAGTCGGTTCAAACATTCACTCGAGTCGGCACACTCGTACGGTCATGTACTCAGTGAGGAACTTACCACTGGATACTGAGCCAGGTTGTTGTACGTTCTGCCTGCAATCGTGTTGAGTTGCATCAAGTAGTCGAAGTTGGAAATCTCCCGGTTCACCCATTTCTGTGTAAAAGCAGTGCTTTCCTTAGTTTAATGAGAAATATTACAAGCATCATCAAATACCCTCTTTCAAAATGATATACTTCAAAACAAGTAATAAACAAGCGTTTCCTAACCTGTGTAAGTCCAGAGGCTTTGAGGAGCTCCTGGGGTGAGCGGGTTCCATAGAGGCTGAGGGATCGCAGCAGCAGCATGCGGCTATAGACCTTGTTCCTCACCTGATCACAAGCAACACGACCTTAAATTATCTCAACGGCGAGAGGGTACCGAAAATCTTACAATCAGATAAATTGAAACTTTATTCAACAGGAACTTGAAACTTTAAATTCATTACCTCCTTCTTGAAGTTGAGGAAGTAGTTGGTCTGGTCGATGAGGAAGATCTCCAGAGCGGAGCGGCGTAGATTATAACGTCGAAGGTGGACCTCTCTAATCTGGGACAGGGGCCATTTAAAGTCGTGGCCCACTCCTTGAGGAAACAGGTCGACAGTTAAGTGTACGTAAACGTTTAGTGATGTTTTCCACCACACGTTCTCCTCCACCCGCCTCGCTCCGTCCTCACCTTCCTCTTTCTCCTGGCTGCTGTCGTAGAAGTAGATGTGTTGGGTGGTGAGCTCCAGGCGGCCGGGCACCACGTCCACCACCGTCACCAGCTCGCAGTCCTCCCACAGCACAAGCTTCTCCTTCTGGCCCGCCTCCTCTGCTTCAATTCTGCGGGACAAAAGGAATTGCAGGCTGTAACTCACTACCTACAACAGGAACGCGGTTGTTCTGCAGAGGTCGTCTTCTGTGACTGACTGGTTGTTGGCGGCGGCCGGGTCGTCCTCTGGCAGCTCCAGGATGTCTTCTTCCAGGTCGCTGACTTTGACCTGCTTCGCTGCCTCCAGTAGCAGAGACTCTGCGTTGACCCGCTTCTGATGAACACCTAAGAACAGCAAATGAGACGGGAGGGTAATTAACAGAGAGAGGAGGCTTCCAGAGACGGTGGATGCAATCACACGGCAGTGCAGGATATTCATTTCCTATTAACTAAAAAAACGGTTGCAAAACCCTGCATACAACTTAATAAGGACAGAAGAACAAGCCCAGTGGATAATCCTCTTCTGGATGGAAGGGTGGGACATGAATTCGGTTTAAGGTCAGTCCTTTCTAATCTGTTTATGTGCTCATGACATACTGTACACGCACAGATCCTTTATCATCACATCCAGGATTTGCAACCAAAGTGCAGTTTGAGCATATGTTCAATAGGCGACACATCAAAGAGCCAACAGTGAGGCTGCTTTACCCAGGTTGTCTCTCAGAGCGCTGGCTTCTCTGTGTGGGTCAAAATTGTAATTGCGCACCAGCTTCAGCCTCATGCGGGAGAAGTTCTCTGCGCTGGACACGCGCCAGTGCATTTCGTCCTGCTGCCTGTTCGAGATGGTTAACAAAACACACGGGTAAATCGCAAATGAAGGCTATACGTATATCTCAATGTATTATATGTTGATACACTTTTGTTTTACAAAGTAGAGAGCAGAGCAGAGATGTTGGTACCTGTCAGCCCAGGGTCCTCTCTCACACACCAGCCCTCGACGTGCTGCCTTCCACTGCCTGAGGGTGGCGCTGTTCTGGCTGTGCTGCTGCTTCAACATGCTGTTGTAGCGCAGATTCTCCTGCCGCCCTCTGCGTGAGAAAGGCTCCACAAATTGCTCCTTAAGAGGGCAAATATACAGTGAGAACTGGTAAACTTTGCACCAGATTAGATTCAACTAGATGGGATCCGAAAATAGAAAAAGAAGAGGGAGCTTCAGTGATTATTTGTTTACTACGGATTCAACCAACCTGGAAGCGGATCTTGCTCTCACCCCTCTCCCTCTCTCTCTTATGCAGGCTGACCATGAACGCCTCGTAGCACTCCTTCCAGTAGAGAGCCATGGTCTCGTGGCCCTGGCTGAATGTCTCAATTTCATACTGCTTCATGTACGGGATGATCTGGAGACGACGGAGAAGTGAAAAGGACAACATTCACATTAACTTTTCCAATAAATCCATAGCTGAACAAGATTAACTCTAAAACTCCATCTCGTACATATTTGTCGAGGTAGACCCGCCACTCTGGGGAGTCGCAGTACAGCTGGAAGTCCTCGAAGAAGGACGGGCTGCCGTTGGTGTCGGGGAGCTGGGGGAGGTGCAGCTCGATGAAGAGGAGGCGGTGGACTTTGGAGAGCAGCGTTCGCAGCAGGGGGACAAGGAAGCAGTACGTCTCCTCCCTTTGCTCCTGGATGGAGCGCCGCAGGATGCCCTCCACCTTACCCAGGAGGTAGCAGGCCTCGTCCTGGCTGGACACCTGCTTGGTCTGCAGGATGCCGTTGAGCTTGGCTGTGGCCAAGGCACACACCTGGGACAGAGGGCCATGTGTTAATGTGCATGCACGGGCGTGGATTTGAAAGCTATGAATAAAAATCACACACAGGGCGGGACAGCCGGGAAAATCAGCTCACTTCAGGGTCCTCCTGCGCCATGAAGCCCAGCAGCAGCCGCAGTCCGACTTGGGAGAGCTGGAACCACTGAGCGCCGGCCGAGTACCACACCATGAGGCTGTCCATCAGGGTCACCGTCTCCTCCAGCACCTTCTCCGTCCACAGCGCCGGGTTGACTAGGCCCTCCGCCTGCAGGAAGTCCTGCACCATGTGAAGCAAACGCACCGCGTTCTCCGTGTGCTGCGGCAAGGTGGCGGCGGACGCCTCGCGGTTATCACCCACCGCCCACTCCAACATGCGTTCCATGAGACTATGGGAGTTGGATATCATTAGATATTGTCGATACATTAGTTCCCGGTACCGTGTTTTCAGCCACAGCCGGCTCACCTCAGCTTGATTCGGTCGACGGGCAGCAGCAGCTCGTTGGCGGTCGCCAGCTTGGCGAGGGCAGAGAAGACCTGGCCACGCTCCAGCCACGCCGAGTCGTCCGAGCCTTCGACCCCGCGCCACATCACGCACAGCAAGATCTCCAGCAGCATGTGGCACAGCTCCTCCTCCGCCCGCTGGGAGCGATGGGGACAAAAAAAAAAAAAGACAAAAAAGCCATTGACCCCTCTGGTGTTTTGCAAGGTAACAGGATACAGAAGAAAAGACTTCAATAAGATGACAATTGATGTCCCCGGCAGCGTTATTTCCCAACTCGCATTCTAATACCTCTCATCTCAAAGCCCTGTGACAGCCCGGGCCTCACCATGATTTAACCGCCTTTAATCTGTCTCTGGAATGTAGATGATACTGACTGTATTCTGCCGCTTTGTCACATTCCCCGGACCGAAGCTTTGAAAGGACATTTCTATTTCTGTGACTGACTGCTTCCTGCTGCGGGAGGAGACGGGCCGTCTCTCTTCCATCTCTGCACCCCCAGCAACGCCCGGAATAGAGCTCCCTGGATGAAAGTCAGCGTCGCCCACCCCCTGAGGTGCCGGCGGCATTTCAGCAGTGCTGTAAGAAGCTCTTGCTACGGTGTAGGTTCGAGGCAACCTTTGAGTACAGAGCTATATAAATTAAAATGATCTTACTTATCGGATCCTGCTTACTTCTGGGGGCTTCATGAAAAATCATTTTAGGGATTGTTGGGCGATCCAATCGTTTATTGTAAACAATCGCATATTGATACAAATAAATTAGTTCCCCAAAAAAACAGTATGTCGAGGAAGGTGAAGAATCTATTCTTAAAAGGATAAGCCTAGAAATATGTGATCATTATGGGATTTAAACAACTATAGCCAAAACACTGTCTTGAACCCTCTCAGAAGGAAAATCATCACAAAAGCAGCTGTCTCACCTCGGCGTTGTTGAAGGACTCTCCCAACGAGAGGTTGTCGCTGAAGAGAAAGCTGTCCTCCGTCAGGGACGAGGTCGCGTCGCGCTCTCCGGTGCTCCCTGGGAAAGGCTTAGAAGTCTCCAGCGGCGACGGCGTGCTGGCCTGGCTGCCGGGTGTTTGACAGCCGCCGTCCCCGACCTCGTAGGGCTGCAGGTGGGACAGATCCAGCATCAAGCCGCCCGACTTCCCCACCGCCCAGGGCTTGACGTGCGGCTGCGGCTCGGAAGAGGCCGAGGAGGATGGCGTGTCCAGCAGCGAGAGGACGTCGCCGCTCTCCAGGCTGTCCACTGAGCGGTTGTCGCTTACACTAATCCGGTCGTCCTCCAGGCGGCCGCCACTGCCCGCCCGCGCCCTCTTTTCCAGGGGCAGCTCCAGGCGGCTGGCGGTGCCTCCGCCGCGGCTCAGGTCCAGGCTGCTGGCGCTGATGGTGTCGGTGCTCCGCTGCGGGTGGGACCCGTCGCTACGCAGGTAGAGCCGCACGAGGGTGTCCTGCCAACACTGCTGCTTCGAGATCTGGATGGCAGCGTCTTGTTGGGAATGTAGCAGCTGGTACACCTGGAGACAGAGAGGGGGAGAAGGCTAAAGGTAGTGATAACTGCACGAAACCAAACAATGACTTATGAGTCGGGACGTACTCCCATAAGTTTGTGTGTGTCTGAGGCGGATGTAAGGACATAATGGAGCAAGAGAAAAAGGAGATACAGAGAAGAAAGGAAATAGAAAGTAATGTAGAAAGCATTAATCAACTGCTGACACCGTCAAGTCATTTCCTGTGTCTGCTGGTATTCAATATTGATAGTTGGTAGTGTGGACAAGTGGATGTGTTTTACACACCCTCTTGCAGACGAGGAGGCGCTCGCTGGGACCGGCCCGGTGAGTGAGCTGGACCAGGGCCATCAGGTCCTTGTAGTTCACCACATGATCTGTCGATTTTAGACACACAAACAGACTCAAAACATTTAACTCGAGTGAATTAGCTGGAGAGGTAACTACAGTCCTTACTGATATCAAATATTGCAGCAAGTAGAAATCTCGTGATCCTTCATTATCTCTTTAAGCAAGTCTAATAAAATAAAGAAGGAAAGCTGACCTGTATGGAGGACCTGGTTGAGGAGACAGCGGATCAGTGTGGGAGTGATGTGAATTTCGGAGAAGAGCAGCGACATGCCGGAGTAACCCGCCTCCCTCAGCCGCAAGCGCTGCTTATTCTTCTCGTAGACCCGGTCGCAGCGCAGCATGCGCTCAAACAACTGCGCAGATAAAGAAACAACAATTTTCCGCTGCCGTTAGGCCCAAAAGTAATTTTTCCATTAATTTTTGAGGAAAGTAAAGTACATTTGTAGGTCTCCGAGGTTGATGATGAACCCACCTTAAAGACGAGCTCCCGCAGTCGATCAGAGTACTTGTTGTTGAGCACGAGAGCGTAGCAGGAGTCGGCGGCACCGGGCTCGAAGAGGAGCAGGAAGAGCTGGTCCCTGGCAGGACTGGTCTGAAGAAGGCTGAGTAACAACTCCAGCATGCCACACAGCTGCAAATAGCAACAACTACATTTAATAATAATAATAATTTATTTCTGTATTCAGTGAGGTTTGCAAAGTCTTGAGGTTTTGAAGAGAGCATAACTGCTTCAGTTCCCATCAAAGACAACCGTATAGCAGCAGCCATAAGTAGTGAAAATATTCTAAATATAGGGTATAAATCAACACATATTGATTCATTTAGGTCCTCAAAAATATGTCCATGACTATACATTGCTTTACCCGTGTTAACACTCTGACTACGCATAAGTATCTCATAAAAACCTTCTTCAAAAAGATGCAAACTGTTCCTTTAACAAGCACAGAGTTGCATCTTCGACCCCAAAAAATCGAAGTGCTTGAGTTGCATGATTCATACCTGGAACATGTATGTGATGTTTAACTTATTCTTATAAATCCTCGGTATGGCTTGATGAATGGATGGAAGTAGTATCAAATGCCCAGCAGCGAAGGAGTATTCATGCATGTTATTCTGACCTTATGTTCATAGATACAGAAAGTGGAATAACAAGACGGGACAGAAGAGAGTGACAAGAGGAGGAAATTGATTTCACAAAAAGGGTGACTGAGAGGACAACAGTAGAGAAATTGTGTGGTCTGCCAACAGCCACTGAGGGATATAACTTACAGAGAAGGAAATGTTTTGAAAAAGAGAGGCTGCAAAAGAAAGCCACCTGAGGGGAAAATGATGCTGGCGACTTCTTGTACAGGCAATACTTCTGCCTCTTAGGGGGCAGCAAAAAGACTTGACGGCAGGAGTGGTTTGCACGATATGGGTCCTCAGAGAAGCACACACCGATAATAATATGACCTATTCCACATTTCTTGGTTGCTGGCCTGACACACCTCAAAGTAGCTCACACACAGTAAGATTGAGTACTTTGTATTCCAATGCATATGCAAGTCAGTATTTGTATATACAAAAGAAAAGCATTTCCTGGGACAAAATTTAATTTTATGAATTTTAAGCCCCGCCCCTCCTCACCTGCTCCTCGGGACCGATGGCAGCAACGTATCCCAGAATGCTTTGCATCTCCTCCTGCGACATGCCCTTGCTGATGTAGTATTTGATGAGGCCGCAGAGAGACGCCCGGATGGTGCGGACGTCGTCCTCGCTGAGGTCGCTCTCTTTGTTGCTGCTGCCCCTCCTGAAGGACGGAGTGGAGGAGGGGACATTTGGTGAGAAAGACACTGAGCCAGCCGGCCAGGCGGGAACTTTGGGGAATGTAATCTTACCCGTAATAAAGGCGCACAGTGTCCAAGAGGAACTGGACTCCATATTTTTTTCTGAACTGCTTCCTGTTGTCTTTGATGACGGTGGACATGTACTGGATATGACCTTCATTTGAAGGAAACAAAAAAGCAAAACTTAGTATGTTGACAGTCAGGTGACACGCACGCTTTCTGTGTTTGCTATAAGAGAACAGGTGGATGTGAATACATGCAATTTTGGTTCCCACAAGATATCTTTTAAAACAGAGATCTGACCTATGCGTAGAGGGAAGTCTCCTTTGTTCCAGATGTTAAAGTTGAAGAGCAGGTGTGTGTGAAGCTGCTGCAGTAGAACCTGGTTCTTCTCATGAGTCACCTGTTCAATCAGCAGCTGCATAGCGACCAGGACGCTGACGTCCACATGACCTGCTGGCAGCTGAACACAGACACAAACAATATATCGAACCATAAGTTCCATTATATTCACCATTACCGGTTAAAAATTCATGTGGTATGAACAGGACTCTTTTAAGAAAGAAGTACTTATTATGAATAGCCCCGTAAATAATGATGATGATGCTGGTTTGAATACAAGCCTCTGGAACATAACTTGCCTCCACAAACTACATTAGAAGTTTATTTGTTAGTTTTCTTTGTTTGTTTTGTTAACCATTTACAGGGTGTGTCTACTTTTCCTGGAGCAGCTATTAACAGAGCAAAGTCATTTTCTTTTATCTGAGTGGAGTCTTTTACTTTCCCATGGGGGAAATGCTGATTCAGCGGTATTTCCCAGACTCCCCCCACAGAAAAAATATAGAAGAGGGAAGAACGAGATCTAAAGTTAAAAAGAGTGAGCAGTCAAAGGAAACAGACAGTAACAAAGGAAAAGACAAACATAGGGGAAAATACTGTCTGAGGTGAAGTCATTTCAGGTCGAGCTTCTCTTATGTCAGTTTTGCATTTTTAAAGCAATTAATTCATGTTATTGCAGGGAGATAGAAACTACATGTGACCCCCAAAAAAAAGCTTTGTTTGGTTTAGTGCATCTCACACAAGGTTATTTCATGAGAAGACTTCGGTCTTCCACTCAAATGAAATAACCCGCATTCTATTTCTGTAAATATTTCATATATTTATGATACAATGTGATCCTTAGGCAGAATTAACTTGACTGATTTATGCTGATTGTGTGCAAATATTAAGATGAGAAAGAAACCTTCTGCAGCAGGGCTCCCAGTGTGCCGACGCCATGCGAGTGGAGCAGATTATCCTGGTTGATAGGATGCCTCTGCAGGAAATGCTTTAGAACCAACAGGAAAGTGGCCACCAGATTCTTCTCCAGGCGCGCCTCTGAAAGCAAAAAATGTAACCTGTTGCCACATGTGCCCCAAGGTTTTACGGTGCTATTTAGGGCAACGAGGAACAGAAAATAAATTGTTGCGGAGCCGACCTGAAGCCCTGTTGGACGGCAAAAGGACCCAATCTCCGTCGGGTGGCGTGGTCACATCAGGAGTAATTAAATCTGACCCGGCGGCAGGATCACTGGGCTGTTGATCCGGGATGATCAGAGTCAGCTGCTCCAGGATGGGGAAGAGCACCGGCAGGCCGCCCACACAGTTGATCATATCCTGCCGCAGGTACAAAGAACAGTATTTTGAAATTGAAACTGTCTGCAGTTCATGTTGGAATATTCCTCTAACGGCAGGACAATCACACAAGCCGCATGATCCCCCCCCCCCACCTTGATTTCCCAGTTGACCACTTTATTGCCAGTCAGGCGTCCATGCAGCATGTTGGGAGACAGATCGAGACAGATGGGGTTCCTACACGCCTGTTGACAAAACAACTAGGTTTAGATAGCAGTTATCGGATATCCTTTAAACAAATTATTTATCAATTAGGATATGATTAATTTTTAATGGATCATTATGATGGTCCATGATAGTTTCCACATTCAGAGGACTGAGTGATCCAAATACCTTGGGCGAGTAGTGAAGCAGCAATTTGGTTGAGAGGTCACCGAGTTCAGACTCCTGGGCTTTAAATGGAGAGATGCAATTTGGACCTGCGTAGAAAAGAGGGTGAGAGAGGGCAATACACTATTTTTATTCATTATCTAATCTCTGACGTGAATTTGACTGTTTTTTAGTCGTTAGTGAGACTGCTGTTCTAACATTATTACATTTTTCTGTCATTTGTAAATCACTCCTCCTCCTCCCTGCTTACCAGCACTACAGATGGCTTTCATGTGGTTGGGCTGCAGGGGTTCGTGGAAGACCATGACGCCTCCTAACTGGCCTTGCAGCGAAGTAGGACTCCCCCACTCACTGTCCTGTGTCCCTGCAGAGATGAGCTTGGTCAGAGACTCCGGCTTTCCCCCCAACAGGCCCCCCCAGGTCTGCGGCGACAAGATGGCGCCCAGCGAGGAGCGAGTGGTGGGGGTGATGACAGAGGAGAAGGGAGGGTCCGGGATCTGAGAGGGAGGCGGAGTGGTGGTCCGGTGGCCCGCTGAGCCGATGCAGCAGGAAATGAATGGCTGCGGGTTGAAGACAAACAAACACAAATAATGTGCATTTAAGAAACCGTTAAACACGTAAACTGCAGGTTACCATTGACCCAGTTATATCTGTAAAATTGAATCACTGGTAGCACTGGCTCATAACCAGTGCAGGTCTCACCTCTGTCATGCTGGGATACTTGAGGGGGGCGGAGAGTTTCTGCTGCCCATCCACATAAATGTATACAAGACTCTGTCCAAATGGCCTCTTTCCCGGTACGTGAACCACACCGATGCTGTGCTGTGAACAGAAATGCACACGGAATTTAGTCCCTGTAATCTTGAGTGTTGCTCTCTGTGATCAGACATTTGTTTCAAAAGGTTTAATTTTCTAAATATAGGGTAGTCCGTGTTGCCAGATTCCTTTTTAGCCTAGATGTCCCGAGGGAAGACTCAATCAATTTTTGTGCTTGAACATTTTAGCAGTAGTAAAGTGTATTTCTTTTTCTTTTCTATTGTATATTCTTGCATCTTTGCCTTTTTTAAATGTGTGTCTGAAGCGGATGTCATTGAACCAGACTCACCCAGAGCGAGTCACAGAAACAGTAGTCGGGCAGCATGACTGTGACGTATTCTTTCTTGGTGCACACGGCCACCACCAGCACACCCACTGAGCTGATGAAGGCCTCGAATCCCGTCCCCCCAGGGGTAAAAAAGCTGTGCGGCATAGAACACAAGAAAACAGTTTGAGTTTAATGGAACACAAACCCTCTGCTCTACTTTCAAGACCAGATATTAAGAGGACAACGTTTCTTTATCCGTCATCCACTCATCCACTCACCTGTAGAGCTGCTTCCTCTTGTCCTTGCTGGGTGGGCCCAGCTGGTCCTGGTCTAGCGACAACCAGGCGAGGAAGCTGAAGGCCGAGCCGGGCCAGCGCTGCACTGTCGGAACCACAATGCCCGCCATGCTGGGGGACAGGTCAAAGTACTGCATGGCGCTCTCCAGGCCTTGCTTGCGCACCATGGCCAGTAATGCCCTCAGGGCGGGACCCACATATGGGTGAACATGCGTGGATTCTGGAGGCCTGAGAAGGCGAAGGAGTCCCAGGAGCTCCCCGGCGGCCAACGACTGGGAGCCCAGTGAGCCCACCAGCCCCAGCAAACTCTCGGCGCACGCCCGGTGCAGCCGCTGGTGGCGCTCCAGGCCCGCCAGCGCTCGCATGACCATGGCGGCGTTGACGCAGGTGGCGCGGGTCTGGCGGTTGAGGCAGCTGAGGCGGCGGAGCCAGTCGGCCGTGAACAGCTGCCGCTCCGACGAGTCCAGCTCCGGGAGCCACTGGGCCAGCAGCAGCAAGGGCTCCACGTTGCTGATGCCCAGGAGCCCCACTGAAGTGTGCTCCCCCTCCACCGCCTGCACGCACAAATACACGCGATCAAAAGACACGCCAGAGCCGGCGGAATAACCCGGGGGCAGAGACGGCAAGGGCTTCTCACCATGTTCATCAGCTCCTTGAGGAGTCGCCGCGACGGCTGGCCGAGTGAGGTGAGCACTTCGTACAGATGATTGTAGCCGATCCTCTCCTTGAACACTTCCTGCAGAGAAAAAAAATGATTGAAAACACGTTGACAAAGCTTCCGTAGCGCAGGACATTAACCTCACTTGAAAGTATTTATGACCAAGTCACCTTTGCAGCAGGTGATTTGTGCATCACCGTTGTCAGGGCTTTGATGGTCGCCACGGCGAGGGAGTCTAGTCGCCCTTGCAACACCTGGGGGGGTCAGACTTGTCAGTCCCAAAGGCCAAATCCCTCGTTTTTAGTGTAGTAACATATGATTGGACAAAAGCCAAATCTCCTCTTATTCCACATGAATGATATAGCACATTTATAAGGTGACAATCGTGCACAAATTAATTAATTCAAGCCACGTTCATATATAAATATATATAAATAAGGTTTGTAATGCTAAAATGATAATGACAAACGGATTTAAGATGCCAAATACAACATGCATCACACTGAGAGGAATAAAAGAGACTTAAGTAGATGCCTTTTGGTTTGATTCAATTAGTTTGTGTGAGAATGTGAGTAAAATCATTGTTGACAGACAGACTTTGCGCTTTTTCCTGGCACAGACACAGATTCACACACAAAAAAACAAAACAAAAAAAGAGCATGCAACCCATAAAAACACGAGCCAGACCACAACAAACAATCACATCTCTGTCCAGCTCTGTCCAAGCTCATGTTGGGTGTCGGGTTAGATTAAAAATGCAGCTCTCAGGCTAGTTGGTCCTAAAGAGAGTCTTGGACCAGCTGGAGAAGGAATGTTGCGGGGGAGGAAAACAAAATCAAACACTTGAGTCCAGATCACCTTGAACCACTCTGAACTCTGAGAGATCACACCAGGCCAACGTGGTAGCATTCCAACAGGACCCATAGTGTACCGCAGAAAATGGCATGTGGAGGAAGGGGCTTGGGGGGGAAAGCGTGAGGAAACCTGAAGTAGCATTAAAATAAAAGAAAATGACAGAGCTGTGACGAGTGGTCACTCCACAGCAAGACAGCTAAACGGCCCCTTCTGTTTTTTTTTAAACTTCCGCCGTGGTGTTTTTCTTAAGTCTGTATTACATCTCTTCGTTGTAATTGAATCATACAATGATGATACAATGCTTTGGCCGACTGAGCCAGAGTCCTACAGGTGACTCACGAGTGAGGTCTATGAACCCGGCCGAGCAGACTGAAGCACAAGGCCACGGCATCGTGTTGCAGCTGTTCAGCAACAATGGCCCATCGCCAGTTTGTCCACCTGTATTCACATCATGCAGATCAATGGAGGGATAATGCCTTATAAAAAGGTGCCTCTGTGAGTAGAAGCAAGAACTACAAAGGGTAGAATGGAGGCTGATATACTCTGAGGGGGAACAAGGGACCTTTCTGTGCAGGTGAGATGATCCAGTGAAAGAGCCGTGACAGATAGTGGACATAAAACCGGCCTTAGATGTATCAGAAAACCCACAGTAAGTGATAGTACAAAGCAATAATTGATCAAACAGATGGTTTCTAAAGAATGTGTGACAAAAAAAATGGCCTTTTTTCTGAATGCGTCTAAATATTAGAAAAATCTCTATTTGATGCCTTACTAGCGGACTAGTTGCTCTTGTTATATACTAGTGAAGGAGTTTATAGCATCATGACAACTGTTAAATCAGAAAGCCAGTGTTCGGCCTCCATCCTAACTGGCTTTAGTTTCATATTTAACAGACAAGAAATAACTATGTGCATCATCATTTTCATCCAGCTCTCGGCAAGAAGTTACATTGCAGGTATTCCTCAAACTGTTGACCTGCTCATCTAATAAAGAAGTCAATACACTTGCCTACTTATGAGCTAAGCAACACCGTGTTGCCAACCAGACCTCCTACAGCAACCTGTATTCATGTGAAGACCCCAAACATGGCGGTGTAACAGACTACTGATGATGGTCAGACGACCGGATGCCAGAAATCATCGTCTGGCACGGAGCAGCGCAAGCGTCTTGCTGTGGAGGAGGCCCCCTGTGGTGAGGTGAAGGGGGCGGGACCTGGCAGCAGGTAAGTGGGGCAGGGAGAAGGGTGGCAGCGAGGGGAGGGGGTGGTTTCTCGGCGGTACCTGAGTGTCCCTCTCTCCTGTCAGTAACCTGTTGTTGGTTATATCTTTCTGGTCCTTGTCTGCCGCAGTGCACCTCGCGTTAACCAGCTGACACACAACAACAACAACAATAACAACGGGGCGACATGTCAACACAGCATGTGGGGAGGAACGGTGGGGTGGGGGTGTAAGTAGAGGAGAGGACAAAAGGCTAAAAGCCGTGGCCCTTCAGCAGGGGAGGGGTCACTGTGTGGAGGCGTGTTGGTGCTCCAGCCTTGCTGTGGGAGGTAAACATGCAACGTGGGCAAAATGCTTAAAAAATAGACAGACAACATAATTATCCCAAAATGACATGTTAAATAACGGAGGCCATATTCACAGAAGACCTTTAAGGCTCCAGACTATCCCAGTTCAAATAACATTTTTGCTCTTAAAGTCTAGCAGGACACTAAAGGTCAAATGTAACCTGGTCCTGGACCTTTAAAGGCTTTGTTATGTTTCTACCGCACTACACATAAGGAGGAAATGTCTTTTTTTCCCTACAGAGTATGATTTCACATATAATACATGATAAGAGATCAAATGCAATGTTTCTGACTGAAATACCCAACTGGTCAAATATAAAATTATAGTTCAAATTGCCTCTACATAAAAAAGCTGTGACAATAATATGCTGGTTTCATGTAATAATAATCAGGTACTACACATATAAACAAAACATTATCCATTCAGCAAAATAGGTTATTTTGCTTTGTTATTGTAAGATTGTAATAAATGTTATTGTAATAAATCTGTACATTTTAGAAGTAACAATATTGTAAAATTCAGAAAACCGCTACGGGAAAAAATAACTGCATTAACATGTCATTCTGGTACAATATTACGAGCTCAAACAGTTTTGTTGTATCATTATGGTGCAACTAAAAACTAATGACAATGAATAATAAAATAATAACAATGGAAATGAGCTCAAAAGTATCCAGCCCGCGCACACACACACACACACACACACTGGGTTGTGTCCTCTGGTTATATTTACATAGAAAAACCTTCATTGTTACCTTGCTGTTTTGCAGAAGCCGCGTCAGATGCTCGAAACAGTTACTGTTGAGGAAAATGGCTTGTAGAACCGGACGGTCTGAACACAGGAACATGTCCCTGATGGTGTCTGAGAGAAAGCAGGAGACACAGAGAGAAAGAGAAGCAAAGACAGAAGGTAGAAAACAAAGGAGGTGGAATAAGTCACACAACATGAACTCAAGCTGAAAATGTATGTTTTTCAAGATCACAAAAGTGTTTTCAGCGTCTTTTATGGCCGTACCTAGCATATTTACTTGCAGGGCCACAAACCGGCTTTCCCAGTGTCTGCCCAGCGTCGGCACTCTGCTCTTTGCTTGCTGCACCTGCGGTTGTTGTTGTTGTTGTTGTTTTTGCTGCTGTTGTTGTTGCTGCTGCTGCTGCTGCTGCTGCTCTTGAAGTTGGGAAGCTACGACGGCTGCCGGGTCGGAGTTGAGCAGCTTGAAGTAGTTTTCCAGCACAGAGGCGATCTCAACTTGCCGCTGGTCGGAGCTGGAGGCCAGGAGGCGCTGCACCACCTCCCGCAGGCAGCCCAGGGTCAGCAGCGCCTTGTGGTCGGGGGCCTCGCTGTCCCAGTCCTCGCCCTCGTCCGAGGAGCAGCCCCCCATGGAGCAGTCGGCCAGCACCCGCATCAACACCTCCATGGTGGCTGGAGAGATGGCAAGCTGAGCGTTCCTCTGCAAGAGTGCAGAGAAAAGTATTGTCGCTAGTCAAAGGCAGGGATTACACTAGACTTTGTTATTCCAACTGCCCATATGGCTGTTGGTATTCCAGAATTCCAGGTATAAAGAGCAACAATCTGACATATATTTCAAATAGCCATATAATATAAAACATTTTCCTTGCAGTTGCCACCAAACCTTTCCAAATATATGCAAGATGTAGGTTATGCTCGATAATATGTCACTCATTCATCTAATTGGGTGATGTCCCAGAGGACATTTTGACTGTTTATAATTTCCTTCGTCTTAGGTGTATAGGTGATACCGGCACTGTCAATTTCATATGGCCACGCGAAAGTTGAAACCTGGGTGTCATTTAAATACTTGTGTAGGTGCCATGTCTCTCCAAACACATCCGTGGCCAGCAAGAGGCAAGAAGGAATGTTGGTGAAATTAATCCTGTGACCCGCTAGTGAAAACTGGCGTACCTGATCACCAGCTACAATGGCTCCAAACAGGTGGAGTAGGCAGCATTTCAGGCTCTCCTTCAGGTGCTCACTCTCCTGGAAGCACTCTGGAACAAAGGAAGGGCACATAAAATCCATTAGTTTGATGTCTGGGAGGGATGTTTGCTACGCAATTACAACAAAACCACAAAGCGAAACTGAAATTCCTGTTTTTTTGTCTACAACCAAAACACATGGACACGCCTCTATTTTTTCTGTCCATTTCGTGTACACACACACACACACACACACACACACACACACACACAAACACACACACACACACACACACACACACACACAATAGCTAAAAGAAATCTGCAACCTGAGAAGATAGCTCAGTTAGCAAACACCCAGTTGGCATGAGGCAATCAGGACAGTAACCTCTGGGTCACGGAGGTTCCAGTCATCCATTAACTCATCTGTCAACACGGCCGACTGGGGGGAAGAGAGTGACATCTCGGCTCCACAAGGTCTGTTTCCCTTTTCGACTACAACTTTATCATTTGACCTATATTCAAATGAGCAAGATCCATACAAACACAGCCTGTCAGGTTAGGCTTTGGGTGTTATCTTTGGTGGGAAACCACAACGGCCACGCGGGACAGAAAAGGGAGTATTACTGAAGTATTTGAAGACTGTATTTGAAAACTGAGCTATCGGCTCATCTCGGCCGCCGGAAAATGGGACGCTGACACAAAACTGGATACAAGAGGAGAGGAGAGAATGACGGCGTGAGAGTACAAGATGGTGAAGGAAGGAGGATAGCTTTTTGTGATGGGAGATCACTTCCTCATTTGCACACATAAAAGTCAGGTGATGCAAAGTGAGGACCATACACAGCGAGCGCTGTAATACTGCTACAGTGTTTGCAAATGAGCTACGCAAACTCGCCCAACATCACGGATTAAAGTTCAGGGGACTGGAGAGAACAATATACAGTTGATGAATAGGCCTAGATGTGACTTATGAGACACAACTTACGGTAAAAGAAAGGAACAAACTCCACGGTGAGCGGAGCTGCCTTGTACTTCTGCCTGCTCCTCTCTACCGTGCCCAGCTGCTCCCTGGTGAAAAACAAACAGACCAGCACACGGGATGAGAAACACTTCCGGATGTTAAGAGTCACGTGTGTGACGGTATGGCGAAAGCAACGAGCTAGATGCCGGGGACGCCGTTACCCGCAGGTTCGATGCCTCCAGTTGCGGTACGGGTCGTAGAGGCTCTCGCAAAATGCTAGTGCGTGACGGACAAACTCCTCCGCCTGGCTCTGGTCCGCCATCTCTTTCTCTTTGGTCCTGCTCTTCAGCTGCAGCACCGCACACAGACAAACACACACACACACACCTTGTCACAACTGCTACTGTAGAGTCTCATTCAGTCACTTCCACATTTATTTTCATCATCTTTAGTTTACTATTTTGTTTGGCAGAGAGAAACTGAAAGATCTGAGCAAAGACATAAGAGGGAGGCCTGGGTTGGGGGGGCCACACCTGTTGAATGTAGAGTGTTGTCATGGTGATGACATGATTGATGTAAGAGCAGGTGCCGATCTCCTCCACATTGGAGAGGTTCCTGCCAGAAACAACCCATCACACACAAACGCACACAATCGGTTGCTTGCTATGAAGTGCCGTCTTTTACATCAACTTAGCAACGCACAACGATAAAAAAAGAAACATCTGTGGTGCATTTTTATTAGCAGACCTGCAGATGACAATGAGGAACTTGAGTAGCAGCAGAGCCAGGTTCTGCTGCTCGGGCTCCAGGCCGTCGGAAGCTTTCTGGACGCACTGCAGCAGCTGGTGGCGCAGAACCTGCAGGATGTTGTCAGGGAGGAGCGTCAACACCGGGGGCACCTCCTCGGGCCTGGAGACACATCACAGGGTGGGGGAGGGAGGGTATTTATGTACGTTACGGTGCCGATGTGGCTTTTCTTTTTTCAATGAAGGTATTCCTGCAGCGTCCACAAGGACAGCTTGACAGAGTTCTGCGTTCGATCACACACACAAACGCACACACGCCGCAGCTTTCAGGCATTCTTTTCTAGAAAAAAACATTGTCGATGGGAAAAGTGGGACAGATGTGGCAGCTGCAGAGGAAAGGAAGGAGAGAGAAAGAGGGGGAAAAGAGCAGAGAGAGAACATGGCTCTCTCCCTGATAAAGAAAATGTGACGGGGTATCAACAGACTTTCCTTATATCTGGGCTTTAAGTTGTGTGACCGCGCCGCATGAAAGCATCAGGTGGGCTATTCTGGGTGAAGCAGCTGTGCACGGTACGAGGTCACGCTGTGGCATGACGGAAACCAGGAGGGGTAGTGCGGAGCTAGAAAACTAAAGATGTTTTGTCCAAGTCTATTCACGGGGGTCGGAGTAATCAGGGTATGGGATGTATTGGAGACAGGGAAACACAACAAGTGGCATATTTGGGGTTTTCCTCAGGTATGAATTCTTTTACACGCATGTTGCGTTTACATTTCCAGTGAGTTTTGGACAAACAGAAGAGGAACTGGGTTTCTGCCGTCATCAACGGTAGTTTTTGTTCCTACTATTCCAATATGTTTGTAACGCGTTACCTCGACAGAGGCTTTTCAAAGTCCACATCCAGGCATTGCTCGTAGGAGCTGATGAAAACCTCCAGCCATAACTTCAGGTAATCCGGATCCCTCTGGGAAATGGAACGACAGGGAGAAAGAAGGAGTGAGGTGAGGGAGGGTCACAGACAGGGGGAGGGACACAGGGAGAGAGAGGACAAAAGAGTTAGTGGCCTTTGCTGACAAAAGCTGTCATGGTTAAAGTATATCAATTTTCAGCTGACAGGCCTTGTCTGCAGTACGGTTGAGTCAGTTTTGTGTGTGTGTGTGTCGTCTGTAACTTCTAATAGAAAAAAAAAAAAATGGCGTTTTATTATCCCTCTGAATGTGAAAGATGAACGCATCCTTCAAATGCTGGGGGCAATGTTTTTCCATGGCTTCAACATACCTAAACAGACTTATACATTCCAGATTAAGTAGGGCAAGGTTAAACGGAACTAGTGAGACGAGCTGCAGTGTGTACCAAACACTGTGTAAAGAGGTGTATGAAGCTGCCACCCAAGCGTGACAAACGCAGGACAGCAGGAATGTTTCAGGTGCAAGCGCGTGTCTCTTATCTCTCTTCGGGGCGTGGAGGCTCAAACAGGCACCTGTCGCAGCCGAGAACGAGCTCGGCTGCATTCTGGGGAGGGATTTCGAGCAGCCGGTCAAACCCGCATTTCCTACATTCCTGAACCAATGCCCCGAGAGGGACGGATGGCGGTGGCGTGTGGTTCGGCCCGCCGGGTGGTAAAGGACGGACATGCAATCGTAAACAGTTCCTAGTGCACGAATATCCTCAAAGCCATTTGTGTGTCAAAACGGCTTCGGTAGCACCGTAACAGTCCCAAAAGGCCTCTTACTGATGCCTGGGAGAATAAGCACATATCAGTGAAAACTGCAACTTGTGTAGCCTGCTGAGGGACCCTTATGGGTGAAGTTTAGAAAGCATTATTAATTCATCATACAGGAATACACGCCCACACCAGAGGATCCAGACATAAAGACTTTGGGGTGAGCCATCTAGGTCAAGGAGGGCTAAAGAGGTGGCAGCGGCAGATTAACACCAGGCAATGTATGTTGTGCATTCGGCGGTATAGTTTGTTTCACTCTTTTGGGCCACACTGGGCAAGTTGTGTTCATAGCAATGAAAAGAAGTGCGAGGCTGACATTGCAATTCCTTAAGCTGAGACACATAGCATGAATTTTCCAGGAAACATCATTCCAAACACTCACATTAGTCTGTCATCCTAAGAAGCCAGCAACTTTGAAACAGACTTATCACATTTCTATTGAGCAACCCTCGGAGACAAAGAGACAGATGGAGGACGAGAACACACTGCACCACTGCGGGTTCACAGCATTATTGAATGGCTCTATTGTGATTGGACTTGAATGCATTACTTTAATTTCCTGCCTTGTAGCCATTCACACCTGGAGGCTGCAAAAACAGTGCGCACCTGAAAATCCGATTTATACAATCCCCTACTTAGAGAGACGTAGATGGAATCATTTGCAGATTAGAGCTTGAAAGTAGAGAGAAGAAAAAATACACACACACACACACACACACACACACAGAACAAATGGAAAAACTGGGTTCTCTCAGGATAGCACTGCCATGTGGTGACAGAGTAGGAGAGGGCTTCTGTCTGCGTGTCACAGTGTTGAATCAGCCAGAGGGACGCAGGAAGCTCTCTGCAATGCCTATGAGGTCATCAGAACAAACCGGCGATGCTGATCGGAGTGTCTCTGTGTGTGTGTGTGTGCGTGTGCGCATGAGTGAGATCCATCTGAAATCCAAAATTAGCGGCGTGTGAATAATATGTTCTGCTGGGAGAGCGCAGCATGTCGCCTGTGTGCTTCATCTGTGTCATGAATTACATACTACAGTAGGGAAACATTGTTAATTTGTGCCTGCTGCAAAATCTGTTCTTGAGTTTAGCAACTGTATTGTCTTTATGTCCATCGTTGGCTCCGGATAATTAGATGATGATTTATGGCAGCGGCTTCACTCTCAAGTGAGCACGCCAGTAGCGGTGACTGGGTGACTGAAGGACTGTGTGGGTGTGTGTGTGCGCCCGCGTCTGAATGAATGTCTCTTTTAGGCAGCAGCTCTCAGAGCACAGATGCCCATTGAGGGTTTTGGACTGTGGCAAGCAGGGACACACCCTGCTCTGCATGGCTCCGTTTATCCATGGCCTGTATTGCTGGCCCGACACACAGATTATGATCTCGACGTATAAGCAGGAATCCTAACTCAACAACAGTCAACTTGTCCCCATTCTTAACAATCATCTGCGCAGACAAGGCCTATAAGAAGATCACATGCCTCTCTGTGTGTGTGTAAACATATATGTACACACACACACACACATCAGGCCCTATGCCAAGCAACTACATCACACTCCCACTGATTTGTTCACGCTGACCTCCGGAAACAAGGTCACTGGTGACACATTAACGTGCTTTATTCGTTTAAATGAGAGCAAAAGAAGAGATGCTTGTTGACCTGCGACAGAAGCGCAGACTCTGATATGTGATGTGTTATCATACCGACTCATAGCGTCCCGACCACAGTGTTTAATGTCTCGCCGCCTGATGACATAGTGGATATGTCTCGCAAATCTTTTAAAGGGGAAGGAAATGCACGGACAGAAATGACTTGATGGATTGATCTACGTCCAGTAGGCTCAACCAGCTGGACAGTTGGTCTTCTTCTTAGTTTGGGCCGGCTGTGAGTGACCTGGCAAAGAGTCACTGGAAACCGCAAAGTAAAAAAGGAAGAAAAAAAAGAAAAGAAAAGAAAAACCAGTGAGCGACGAGTCCACCGGTCCATGACGTCACTGTCAACGGGTGTATTTAAAGCAGCCGGTGGGAGGAGTGGAAACCACATGATGATGCACTGTGTTGGTGACATCAGTGTTATTCCATAGATATTCATAGCGCAGACATAGAAAATGAAAGAATTAATTCAGAAGCGATATGAGGAGCGCAGTAAGCGGCGTTGAGAAAAGAAAGCGAGCCCACGGGAACAAACTTTGCATACCTGCACCAAAGCCTGACTGTGTGGACTTGTGTTAACTCTGTAAGGAATTGTGTGCGTGCGTGTGCGGCTGTGCGCGTGACAACAGCGATTAGACTGTAACTAGCAACCAGTCAGCAGGCCGGGGAAAAGACCCGAGTAATCTACTTGAGCAAATATGTGAAACCGTGGCACTTCTCTCCTCCTCCAGCTCCAACTGCTCTTCTCCCACCTTCAATCCCCCCCCCCTTATGTTTTCATCTCCTCCCTCTCACTATTCTGCCTGTCATGAGGGCATGGGGCTTATGCAAAAGACTGTAATTTCTCTGATTCCAGATGAAAAGGCGACTACTGGGGTGACGGAAGGCAGAGGGTGGCGGTTCAGTAACTCTTAACCAGAAATCCCTGTTTGTGGACAATTAAAAAATAGAGTCTGTGCTCGGTGCTAAAGCCCTTCGGTCAGGAATTAAAAGTGGTTTTTCTGCTTTTAGAGAGCGCGATGGCGTTGTTGGTCCTGTGCCTTTGGAGACGACGTTCCTGCACGAACAAGCGGCGGGCGGCTTAGGGGGGCCGCCGGTTACCCAACGGCCTCCACCGTCAGCTATGACCTCTCAGCCTTCATCAACTCTGAGAAGCAACGCTGGGCATCTATTCCTAAACTCTAACCTCTGTAGAAAACATCACAGGGTCAAGGTGAGATGGTTGGGAGGATTCATGAGGAGCTAGGAAAAGACTGCTGTGGTTTTTAGTGAATCCGAACCTGCTTTCACTAAGCTACTAGTTATAATGCGACGGGACGAGACACTTGTTAGTGACGTCCGGCAGCAGCGGCGAAACTACAATTTCTCCAAAGATGGATTACAAAGAAGTGCGGAGTCATTCAGACGACATAAAACAACCAGGTTCAAAGTAGTACTTTATTAACAAGGTCACTTAAATGATCTGCGTTTCTCTTTCATGATCGTTATTTCTTCTATACTATTCAAATATTGCTGCCGCAAGGAATTGTGGGACGTGATTATCTCCTTTCCTTTCGTAAAGGAGGGTCCAGTGGTTCATATGCAAAAGGAGCTAAGTAGGGAAGCATTGAAGCTCCCTTCCAAAGCATTAGAGAATTCAAACAGCTCTCATCATGGCGACCACTTACCCTTCTTCCTGGTCATTTTACTCCGTTAGGAAGACAATTCGATGCACTGTTTACTCCTGCTTACCAACATTAACCACGGCATCACATCTGAAGCTTCTGGTGTCAGCAATGCAATGCGGACGGTATAATCCTCTGAGAGAACAGTGCAAGTGTTAACCTCTGACAATCATTACACAGATAGATGGCAAGCGTGAGAAATAATGTGCCCCTCAAGTCATCAAACCAAATTATGTGATGCACTTTAAATAGCTATTCTTTGTGCTCTGCTTAAATATGCCTTGTTGAGCCAATCCCGTGCTCAGCATTAGGACGGAAGATGTCAATAACCGATGATCACGAATGCACATGGAGTATGACTACAGAGGTGAGGGCTGAGGTCAGTTGTGGAACGATTGACCCGTCGGTGGGACAAAGGGGGTCTCACACCAGCATTCCTCATCTGATTAAAGCCACGTGACTGCAGGTCCACATCGCTGCCAACATCTCCCAGCAACCCTAACACACACATATACGTGCACATATTTATTGCGGAGCCACTCTGTCAAGCAGGACCTGACATTTCGGCTGCATGGGGGAGGAAGACAGGCAGCTACACGTGTGGATTGAAATGATTCTCTCTCCGGGCTTCTCCTTGGCCCCGAGCAGAGGGAGATATCGGCCCCGGCGGACCCTCGGCTCGTGGCCAGTACAAAATTAAACTATCCCCCTCCTCGCGAGTGTGATGCTTAGTCAATGCAAGGACACACGCCTCCCGGGAAAAAATGCGACGTGTGTGCTCGAAGGAAATTGCTGGCATTTTCACGAGTGGCTGTGACGAGCAGCAGCGTGTTCTGTTGTAAGCCCCAAACACCCACACTCCTGGCATTACATGTTCTATTTGTGTCAGCATTTAAGCAAAAAAAAAAAAACACACTTTCTCTTTTCAGGGATACCTCAGAGGGCCGTGCAGCGTGTGTGTTTGTGTGTGTGGCTGTGAGGGATTACAGTGCGAAAGCTCACGTGAGGAGCGGCTCAGACGGGCCGTTTTGATTGGACGCCGTGATGCGCGCATGCTTTATCGCAGAGTGAATTAAATCTAGCCAACAGCTGACTCAAGGGGTGCTGTCTCTGCACTGAGTGCTGTTCATTCATCTTCGCTGTAGAGAAAACAACAAAGCAGAATGCTACATGGCACTGCCCCGGTCACTGCAGCGGTACATTACAAAACCATCTCCAGCTTGCCGTGATTTCTACAGCCTGAGAAGACCACGTAGCGCATTAACTGTTGGATATGAGAGTTAATGGGAGTGGTATTATTTATTCAGCAGCAATGTGATGTAGGTTCCTGTCAGACCACAGCCCAAAAATAAACTCCCTGTAATCCCAGGCACATCTGTGAGTTAATTACCTAATCATAAGTCTCATTTGTCCCCTATCAATTAACGTTAAACGGAGCGTTTTAGAGTCCTGTAATATGCTGTTAGAGAGGCATCCTAAAAAGGGTAATATGGGGTATTAAAAGATGCAAAACGATGCCACAAAATAATGGATATCATTGACTTGGGTTTAATAAAATACAAGCTTTTGATTTTACTTACTAGTGATGACTAGTCTGCCACTGCATATATGCTTCATCTATTATTAAACAAACAGCTAGTAACACTAGACTCCATAATAATACCATGTGTGCGTGTGTGTGTGTGCGTGCCTCACCTTGGTGCAATAGAGCATCCAGACCTCGTACAGTCTCTCCTTGGATGCCATGGTGCCAGTGAGCGGCTCCCTCAGGCCGTAGAGTCCACCGAGGTCACTTCCCTGTCCGCCTCATGCTCTCCGCCGCCGACCTCCGACGCTCAGCATCACGACTCTCCCGCAAGATGCAACACTCCTTCGGATGCGATCCAAAGATGGATGGCAGACGTGCCGAGGCAGAAGAGAAAAAAAAACTGTCCCGAGAATTATTCCATGGCGGAGGACAAACCGTGCAGTTCCCAGGGAGGACTCGGCGCAGCCGGGCCTGTGTACTTCCACTTAACAGGCTCTTCCAGAGGGTTTTCCCCAGCAGCGTTTGCACTGTGAACGAAAACAACACGCAGGCAATTAGCGTTTACCGATCACGCAGGCGCCAAACACGCCGACAGCCACGACCAAACACCGGCAGCACCGCTGCTCCCTGTGCGCTGCCCCGCGGGCTCCGAGAGGAGACGGACTGCGGTTCAAAACCGCACGGGGGAAGAAAGGAAAAACAACACACGCCGTCAATAATGTCCCTTTCTTTCGTGTGCTAGCGGGTAAACGCAAAGCTGCCGAACCGGAGACCGCGGAACAACGCCCTCCGTTATCCTCGCCAAACAGTAACTTTAACGGTTTCAGTCGACCTTACCTGACCAAGCTAGAGTTAGCTCAAAGCTAGCTGTCAAAAAAAAAGCCTATTTCTATTTTTATTTTTTCGTCCTTCCTCCTCCTCACGTAACAGAGACCCCCGCGCGGCTACAGGCGTTTAATTGGAAAGAGAACATGGATACCTGATAATGCGCAAATAAAACCGTCGAGAAACTGAAAACCTCTCACCTGAGCAGCGAAGGACCCAACTGTCACTGACGTCGTCCGGAGAGTTGTTGGAACTGCGTCAAGCTGCCGGCGTTGACACCATCGATTCAACCGACGGCAACTTCCGGTCAGAGTACGTTTATTGCAAAATAATGAATGAAAAAAAACTCACAAATATGGCTACGACAGGAATGCATTGAAGCTGACAATTACAAGAAAATAGAATGTTTCGTATTGTCACTAGCTTGTTTCTAGTGTTACTGGTTTAATAAAACGGGAAAATGCGGTTGCGAATGAATTATTGCAACAACTGCTTTTAAAATGTCGCGCTTACCCATGCTTTAAAATGAATTTTTGGGTGAAATAAAAACAGAGCCTTTACTTTGGTAGGGGAACCGGATACATCATACATTACAGCAACCAGCTCAAAAATCCTTCCAACCAAGTGAAATACATTTAGGACTAAAGTGCAGTTTCGTGTTTCTTTTTTGGCGTGCTCAACTTGTTATCATAGAAGGCAATAATCGTGTATTACGGGGCCAAATATATTTATCATATAAATTTGGGTGTGTTTGCGACTATTTTTCCACTTTACGCTGTCGATGTGGAGCAACGTGGTTGCTAAGCGCAGGGCTCAGGTTGCAGCAGCGCTCCATCGGTTTGTTTTGATGTCTTGTCGTCATCTAGTGGAGTAGCAGAGAACTGCTATTTATGACACGTCTTATGTAGAGGTATTTCTGTGAATAAATGGAAGTAAAAAAACTGGGTTTAGATAAAAAGATAAAGCTATACCGTGTAGTATAAATGTAGTATCAATTAACTAATTCTACATGTCCCCCCCTTACTTTTACCACTATTAACCCGGATAACTGAACTGTTAAATACCTTTTGCCTGCTGAAAGTTGGTGGGTTGTTACAATTATTATAGATATGATAACATGATACACACTCACCTGCACGGATGACGCTGTCACCATCTTCTTGGCTGGTTTGGTCTCTTTGCGCGCCCACAAGACGCTTACCTCATCTGCTCACCTCTACGTGCACGAATCAAAACAACCGCTGACATTTCGGCTTTCAGATTATAACAATTTATTTCTATTATCTGATATATCTGATACCAAGCTAACATTTGTGTGTGGAGGTATTATTCACACGCATAGATTGTAATGTATAATACTTGTACCAACATTTGATAAACTTTGCAAAGCAAATGAAAAGGTCCTTTTTGTATTGTTTAAAACGATACTGAATTCGCACCACCTTTCTATTATCACACAACTACAAAAAAGAAAGTGATTCAAGGCTCAACAGGTAGTTCATAAATCAAATTTAGTAGTTACATATATATTTATAAGTATGTATACATAAGGCTTACGCAGCTACCATGTTTGATATGTAGTGTAGATCACAGTTCTCATACACAGTTCACTTAATCACAGTTACGGATGGATCACCATATTCAGAACGCAGGTTTCATAAATACATAAAGGCATTGTTGGAGAGGTGGTCACAGTAATAACTCATCTACTGATGGTTTCTAACTCGTACGTGGGACAGATGTTTATCTTATTAGTCTTGTGTTTTCAAATGACAATACACATAGTAAAACAGTGGATGTATGTTCAAACATACAGCAAACACACGTGGCATATTTGATTGGGGAAAGTTTTCGAAACATTCAGAGATGGTAAAAAGAGTTGTTTCTGATGCAAACAAGCCTCAAGCCAATAAAGCCTCAAGTTAGGGCGGGTGTGGAATCAGCGTAATTGATTAAAATTATACACATAAAGCATATTTTTGCTCTAAGTTGCAGAGCCATAGTTCCCATCGTTTTGTGTAATATGTTACCATGACTCACTTTCATCCCCGATTTTAAAGCCCACATTCGTTTCTGTTTGACTGAAGTACTCTGAATGACCAATTAGCACTTCCCATTTGCAATACAGCCATGGGTGTTCCACTCTGATGTAGATGAAAATATATATGCACGTGTGCTGTAATGATCTTCTCATGTACCTCAGTATCTATTCAGTCTGAATACGTAAAAACAATGTAAAGGACAAACCCACCCTGCATCGTCACTTGTGCCTCAGGGTTTACCTTGTCAGTAACTGTTATTATCTAACTCCCTGTATTATTTTATCATTTTTAAATCCAGTTAACAAGGTCCTCCCTTTTTGGAGAATACTTTGAGAACAGGTGCAGTAACATAAAAAATGATCACTGCCAATAGAAGTATGACAACCACATTGTAAAAAATGCATATGCTTATCACAAACTGCTGTTTTTCACAAAGTATTTGAGGGTGGACTTTTCCTTTAACTCTCTCAAGTATTGTGCGATTATAAGTCAACTGCTGGTTTGTGCAAACTCTGAACATATGCAGAGAAACCTGTGTTTTAAAAAAAGTATGAAACTACTTTAAAAAAATAAAAATAAAAAATAAAAATAAAAGGGCTCTGAGAGTCGGGGTTGATGACATGAAATCAAAGCACAGAAGAATTTGGCCTTGTTGCTTGCAATTGTCTGTGTTTTGGCTTGCTAGTAAAGAGATTTTTAGGGGAGGGGAGGACGGGGAAGGGGGGGGGTGTTAGGAAAAGTCCCACGCGGCCTCAGCGTAGGCCGACACCGTGGCGTGGCAGGACAGGGTGGGGGGGCAGGATATCGGAGGGTCCTCGCGGCTGCTGAGGGGCACTGCTGGGTACATGAGGCTGAGGAAGGTGTCTCTGGTGTGCTTCTTCACCTGTCACACAACGACACAGCTTTTCATTAAAATCACATTTACAGAAGTCAGTTTCAAGCTTCGGCCCAAGTATTATACTAAATTATGTTTGTGACATTAATGAGTAGACCGAGCTGAGAACCAAGAGGCCTATTGAACCCACCTGCTTGAAGAAGGCGTGTGTCAATAGCGTAGATGCCGACGGTCTGTGGATAAAAACATATATATATAAAAAGAAGGAAAACTCAAGTTTGTGCTCGCTATCGCAATGCAATGAAATCGTATTTGATAAATCAGGTCGCGCTGACCTGCGCTCGGGCTGCTGCTGCAGACACAGCTCGACCAGGTTGTGCAGGGTGACCGAGTGGTTTTTGGGCGCGGGGCTCTGGGGTCGGTCTGCGGGTGGAGCCGCGGCGCTGTGCGTCATGCTCCCGGTGGCAACGCTCTCCCCGATGCCGGAGTCCACCCCGGACCGCGAGACCTTCAGCCCCCCCAGCTCGCCCAGCGGGAAGGGAGCCACATCCAGCAGGCAGCAGTGGGAGCCGCGCAGCTTCTGAAGCAGCATCTGGACGGGGGATATTCGGCGGAGGAGGACAACGGCCTTTTAAAGCTAAATGTGCACGTACCTATTCTTCTTTTATATTTATATCCTAATGAGCCTGCCTGGGACATCGGAGGAGAAGTTGAATCCCACGTCCCTGTTACCTGAGTGGGGGGCATGTCCTGGAAAGGCACCCGGCCGCTGACCAGCTCACACGCCACGATACCTAAACTGTAGATATCAGACTTGACTCCGTAGCCGTGCAGGTCCTACTCAGGGCAACACCGGGGGGGGGGGGGGGGGGGGACAGGACGCGTCAGGAAAAGGGCACCGCCACATGTTTTTTTTTTTTTTAGATCTAGCGAGAACTGACCTGTCGCAGTAGTTCGGGGCTGAGCCAGGGCAACAGGGCGGGGCTGTGGTGGGGCATGTCGAACACCGTCCTCATCCGCTTCCCCTCGCGCATCAAGCTGTAGACACTGTGGAGCCCCGAGAGGTAGACATGCCCCTCACCAGACAGCAAGATGTGACTGGCCTTCACCCCCCTTACGGCAGAGGAATACGTGGACAGACATTAAGTATTTTTAAGCACTTCTCTCTCTCCCTTGGTAAAACAGATGTTTCACCCAACGTCTTCCCGTCTCCCACTGACCGGTGAACGTAGCCCATCCGGTGCAGGTACTCCAAGGCTTTCAGCGCGCCGTAGAGCAGGTACGCGATCAGGGATTCACTCATTCCGTCTGGGAAATATGTTCGGAGCAGAGCGTCTGCAGAGCCTGCGGACGAAGGAGAGAGAAAAGGACAGCTCATGGAAATACAAAATCTGATGGACAAAAGGCCAAGAAGGTGAATGGAGGAGCAGGATGGCTGACCGTAGGCCATGAGGGGCGTGAGGACCCAGAGTTTGCAGCAGGAGCCGAAAACCAGGCGAGATGTCAGCAGGTTGGGGTGACGGAACCGCCTGGACAGAAGAACCTCACTCTGGGGTTTGAGACAGAATGAGGTGTAAACACACCTGGATGGAGAGCATGCTATTATGCTAACCTTCAAAGTAAATCGCCACCAGCTCACCAGGAGCTGCAGAAGCTCTTCTTCTGTGCACTCGTCCAGGTTGGTTTGTTTGACGGCAACAGGCTGGCCAGTCGGGATGTGGCGCGCCATGTTCACCTGGCTCAGGTTATTGAAGCCCCTCCCTGTGGCACACAGAAATGGACTTCAAGTGAACTCATCCTTTCTTTTGACGGGTAACTATTTGCCTGACTGAGGAGCCAGCCATGTTGTTCTCACCCAGCTCAGACAGCAGCTGGTAGTGGGCCGGCTCAGCCGACAGCCCTGTGATGTCATCGCCCCCTGCCGGCCCTTGCAGGGTGTATTCAGAACGGTCACAGCTCTGCAGGGGAAATACATCATGCATTCGTGTATTTGGCACGTCACATAAGTAACTCAAACAAGGACGCACACGAGTGTCTTTCAATGTGCTTCTGGGGATCCCTGACCTTCATCTAACATCAAAGAGTTAATGTACAAGTGGGACGGTGGCCACCAGAGGGTGGCGGTATGACTGTGCAGAGTGAAGGGTTTCATGGGGGGTTGGGAAGGCATCGGACAGCTGCAGGCGTGTCAGATGCAGTTTCTCGTTGCCTTTTGAACATACCCCAGCTTTGTTTACTGTGCCAGGATTGTGCCTGTATCACTGGGTGGAGGCAGGGGGGGCAGGGTGTGGTGTGTGTGTCTGTGGAGGGAGTTGTTGACCTTTCACACCAGCAGTACATTTTAATAATAAGTACTGTGTTGAGAATGATTATATGTGGCTACAGATGAACAACATAAAACGGGCAAATCCCTGTGGAAATCCATCCAATCAATAATGTGGATTATCGGTGACTGTCTACTGTGGCTCCTTGGGAGCAAACCTACTCCCGATGATGTAATGGCAATGTTATCGGGGTTGCCTTGACTTCTTTGTCGCAAGAAACCTCTGTTGTAAACTGCGAGTATAAGACACATGGGAATAAAGATGCTTATGGGGGAAAAAAAAGAACAGCTGCAATGTGATTCCAGTCTTCAACAACTTGACAAAGGGTCAGCAAACATAAATGGATGGATGGACGTTGACAAAGTGAAGAGCATTCGTGTGACGCCTGTCTCCATGGGGACAGTCAGTGTGTTTACATGATGGTAGAATTGGAATCTTTGCTTAGTCGGACTATGCTATCTTTTGGGGGGAGGTGCTATTAAGCCAATATACATGGCAGTGAATAAATCGAATCATCGGCCGAAAGCATATCGTCATATCCGATACGATAGGTGGCGCTGTTTTCATTACTACTAGTTGTGATACAGCCAATTTCCGCTTGACCGCTTCACCACTACCACCAACAACAACAACAACAACAACAACATCAACATTACGAGAAAGATGGCGAGCGGAGAGCAAGGTGAAGCTACATCCCTCTACTATCTTTGCATGATGTTAATAGGAGCACAGCGAATGCGAATGCCGCTATTGGCTGATTTGATAACGGAGAGAAGACGCCGTCGGGATCTCAAGCATGCGCAAAGACGCAAAGTCCAGTTCCTCATCCGATTCACCGTTACATGCCGCAATAGCCGAACTACCAGCTGGATCGGATCGAGTTATCCAGGGGTGTTAGTCGGATCGTAGTCGGGCCGCACAGTCGGACAAAGGTGTTTACATGAAACGGATAATTCGATTTCAGTCCGACTAAGCCAGTTATTGGAATCCATGTAACCACGCTGAATGTCTCGGCTACTGACCAGGAACTGGTGGCTGACGTCCTCATAGCACTCCTCTATGTCCAGGGGCTGGACTTGAGTGTGGGAGATGCAGGAACAATCCTGGTGAAGGGTGGGGGAGGGAGGAGGAGCACAGGTGAGACATGCCCTACGGAACAAAGGAAGGGGTGGAGAGGACACGTGGGAACTTGGGGGAGGGGGGGGGGGGTGATACACGACACGGTCAGGGATGAGGCGAGAGCAGCAAGCATCTGGGGAATCTGGGCACTGACGCCGCATTTTCATTGGAAGTGGTGAGAGAACGAGACTCACGACAACAGGGCACAAAAAGAGGCAGCGGAGTGACTGATGTCCCCACAGAGCGCTGCATACATAATCAGATGACCATTACGTGTGAACAATGCTCAGCAGCATCTCACATTTTTTTCATCTATATTATGTATGTTGGGGCAGATGCGTTGGGTTTTTCAGACAAGCCATAGCCGTCTTATACACCTCAGAGAAAGCACACCTGGGTACTGGACACACTTAATGGTGCATCGCGAGGGGGACTGGGCTTCATCCCACCAGACCATCAACATCTATTAGATCGCAACCCAGCGACTTCACACAAGTGAGAAAACCAACACCAACAGCACCAATATTATTATTATTTTTTTACCAAGAAAGACAGGGAGTCCTTTGGGCGACGGTAGAATCAGAGAGGGGCATTCATACGACGAGGGTTCCCAAAGGAGGGGGGGGGGGGGGGGGGGTAACAGGAGACTAGCGTCGATTCCCTGCCCCCCCTCCCCCAAACTGGAGTAGAAAGCAGGCAGCGTCCGTCCGACCACAGACACTCATTCATCCGCCCGCAGCTCACCTGTCTGAGTCAGCACAAACCAAACGATATGAAACATGAAACATCCCCGCCAGGCCGGTTGAGCGACGACACATCGGGAACAATGAAGCCCAGGAAAACATTCCCCGACCAGAAGCTAACATAAAACTGTGTTCGGTTGTGTTGGAGATGTACTTACACTGGGTTATATAACATTATTAACGCCGCTGTACATGTAAAACTCAATTGCACGTCAAGGTTATGGCTAGATGCAGCCATTTTTTTGTTGAACCAGAACGCATTTTATTCAACCCGACGGTTGATGTCGTCAGTTAATGGCTAATAACTATTTGTCGAAGTTCGGGAGAGATTTTTTAAAAGCTGCAATGGACGTATATGGTTCAAACGTGATGCCGACGTTAGCTCAGTTAAAATACCTCTTTGTTTTAAGTCTAACGTCATTTGTTTGGAGTAACGTCACCCCGTCACGAAAGGAAAAGTCGCTTACCGTCTCCTCTTGACTGCAACTCGAGCGCTTCGACGTAAACAAGTTAAAAATACTAACAAGAGATTGGTTTTCCGAAGCGATGTTTTATTTACGAACTCCGTGGTCTTTCATTTACTTTGGCCCATATGACGCGATCTGTGCGAAATAAGTATCACGCGTTACAGTCGGTACCGAACCGCACAATATCCCGGCGCTGTTCTTTTTTCCTTTTTGACATGACTTTAAATTTGACAAAGGTAAATGGCGCAGAGTGAATACGTCACCGCGCATATTGTCGCGCGTCGATGACTCGTCGCTGTTCGCCGTCTCCTTCCCTTCCGCTCCATTGTTTCAGTTGTTGGTGAAGATATCGAAATACTCCGTATGTAAAACTGGAATAACAGATGCCGTGGAGTAACACCGACGCAGGGTACGTTTAAAAAAAATTAATAATCGAAAATCATTTTTTAATGTCCTTAGTGTTGAAATGCGTCCGCCCGAGGAACGCCCTCGACTAGAAACAGTGAAGCTGTCATCCTCACTCCACACGTGAAACGTTATGTTAGCTAACGCTAAATGCCTATTAAAATGATCCTACATTTAAATTAAAGGATATTTTGATAAGGGACTAACAACTACCCGAGCTATTTAGCCGTAGCTTTAGATCGCGTAATGGTGACGTTATGGTCGGCCTGCTATGTTTGTTTGTTGGTTAGCGTTGTTTTATTATTGTGACCTTTATACCTATATATTACATATGGACACATAACGCTTTAATACACGTAGACACTCAATGTTAGCGGACAGAGAGAACAATAAGCGTGCCGTTATTGAAAAATTCATTGATAGAACATATACGTCCTAAAATAACGGATTTGACATCGATGGGATGCAGCTTTAAATGTCCTCTTTCAAATACAATCTTTATAATTGTTTTAATCGTGCCGAAATGCAGAGCCGCCAAATTATGCTCTACCAATCATTAGGTTATTTGACCACTGAAACATCTTCATGATAAGTCTTACTATGGTCTATAAATAAACGGATTTAGGATGAATCCATTTCTTCATAGTCAACGGTGGCACATATGGAGGTCAGATCAGATGTGTGTTTCCTGCTGTTGTTGGTGATAGTTAGATCAAACTGTACAGTTTACTGCTTTTGGCATTTGACATTTATACTGCTGCACTTGGTTGTAGGTCGCTCTGGATGAGAGCGGATTAGACGTGAAGGGAGATGGAGCCTGTAAAAAGCTGAAGTAAGCATCCGGTCCCTCTGTGACAGATTGTTACTTGTGTGAAACGCTGCCGTGTCGTCGGTGTTTCGCAGCGCTACTATCTTGCGGCTGTGCTTACCTTTTTACACGTTTATAACGCGCAATAATCGGTCACCAACATTAAGTGGTGGGTTTCCGCATTGAGGTCTGGATTTTCTCCAGCGTATTGATAGATTTGAGTTTTTGTGGGCGCTGGCTTATTGTCATCTTGTGGTTTTTCCAGTTTGAAGGGAAATACGCTCGTGGGAGCACTCATCTCTCACTGTTCAATTTCCAGGCACAGAGCTGTCTGTCTGGTACGGTGTTAATCATGCAATGACTCAAGGGCGCTTGTCCCTGATCAGCCGTTTCATTTTAAATCGGGCAGCGGGGAGGTTGCCATGACAAATATGGAAAAAGATACTCATACTGAGCCATTCAGGATGATTAATACAAGCAATATCATATGTGAATGTTTCTATATTATTCCATTACCGATGAGATTTATGGGTCAGTTCGATATGATCTCCCAGGCCTCTAATGCCGAACGGCCCATTTGGACTGTAGCGTTGCACGCATGACGTTAATCTCCTTCATAGAACAAACAGTGACGGCTTCAATGTTACATAAGCACAGGATGGATGTTGCCCAAGGACTGTTTTTCCACAGACATGCCCACACACACACACACACACACACACACACGGACAGGAGATCAGTGATGCAGATGCTCTTGGGGATTCATGAACCTGCACGGTTATTAGAGTAGCTCTTAGTAAAAAATTAACAACAGCACGATAAAACTCTCTGTCTACTTAGAAGAACAAGTTTTATCCGATAAGATCGATTTATTACTCTGGGAAATGAGGTGTAAGGTATGGAGGAAATGAAAGATGCTGTAGAATTGCATTATGGGAAGTGTAGAATTCAGCGTTTTGGTCCAATCACTCGTACCAGGCGGGGAAGTCAGAATGTCTCCCTTCTGCGGTTTTGATTTTGTCTATTCTTTTTAAAGCCTATCTCTCACAAGCCTCCCAACGTGGAGAAGTGGGATGCTGAATTGTTGTAGTCGCTCTTTAATTAAGTTTTGAATGTTTCCATCAGCAATGAGTTATTTGGAACTAAATAAATGTGTGAAATGAAAACGAAAAAGTTACAGTACAGTACAAAATGAGAGAAAAAAGAATGTTCATCCTTGTCTGACCACTTTAAGGCCCAGATTATTCCCTACAGACACTCAACATCCTGTCAATGTGGAGTGTCTGTAGGGACCCCCCCCCCCCCTCCCCAACAACCCTCTGCATATCTGCTTCTCTGGGACTATTGCTGCTTTGACACTCCACTCTGCTCCCCTCAACTGAAGGTGTATGCGGGCACCACCGGTCAGTGCTTGGACAGGATGTGATGTCCCAGCGGCAGCGGCTCCCGGTCCAGCTTTGTGTTAGCGAGCGGGGACCGCCGCCTCCCTCCACCCCCTCCCCCCTCTCCCGCTCCACAGACATGTTTGAGGTCAAATCCCGGGCGGTGGAGAAGAAGGAGTCGAGCACGGAGACGGGTAGGGCGTCTGCAGTGTGTACTATGTGTACATTTTGAGTTCTAACCCCCCCGCTGCCCTGCAGTACAGTTTGCTGTGTCTTTGGGCTCGATGCTATAGTTATCGCCTCATCTCCCAGTAAACCACAAAGGACACACAATCACACACACTCACACACACATAAGCACTCTCGAAGGCTTCATCAGCCCACACTCGCTCTCAGGAAATCTCACCAGGGCTGCAACTTTTCTTACGAAATGAAAGCCTCTTTAATTTATGTTGTCATGGTAAAATTATTACTATTATAGCATATAAATATGGCAACCAGGCACTTGGTACAAGCTGTTAATATAATGCTGGTTATTAGTAATTCACATGAGCCAGACCTTTATTTTGGGGACTTGTATCCCCCCTTTTCTAATCCGCCCTCTGACCCACAGACGAGGGGCTCGGCAGCAGCGGTAAGCACTACGGCTCGTTGGGCTCCGGCTCGGCCGACTCCGGCTCCGTGTACCTGTCGGACAGCCAGGACTGGGCGGTCTCTCCCGGCTGCTCCCCGGACGAAGGCCACGCTCCACACAGCGCCATCTCCCCCGTGCTGGCCGAGGAGACCTTCCGCTACATGAGTACGTGTGGATCTCCCTGTGGCGTATATGTCCGGCGGCGGGACACTTAGGTCTTAAGGTCTCTCCGTCTGCCGTCATTTGATTGGTTAAGGCCTCTTGGGCGACATTGGCGAGCCGATGGCGTGCGTGAGGGACTTATTGGGCACACGGTTGTCGTTGTGCTTGTGGGTCTTTGCTGATGTGTGTGTGTGTGTGTGTGAGGGAGAGAGAGAGAGGCATCCAGTGATCAAGCCAGAGTTAAGTGCAGCCGGGGCCAGAGTCACGGGACGGGGAGGGAGGGAGGATGATAGAGGATGAAGAGAGGACAGTGGCGAGAGGAGTCGGATCATGCCGGTTTTAAACATTCACAATGAGGAGGTTTACGACGGCATCGCTATGGAAGGTGAGTGCAGCGTTAGCGCTGTGCTAAGTGCGTGTGTGTGTGTGAGAGACATGTGAGACAATCTGACTGCAGCTCCGCTCTGCAAGGTCAGGCGGAACATACGTGTGTGTGTGTGTTCCTTGAAAAGCAGGAAGTGGGCAAGTCTGAATGAATGCTCGTCTGTTTACATTCAAACTGGTTGCGGTATGCTGCGGTTTTATTTGTAATACATGCTGTACTTCCTGTGCCGCTTTTAACTGTTGAATTTGTGTGTTAACTGAACATGTGGGGGGGGGGGTACAGTAAGGGAGAGTCATATTCTTGCTCTCTGAAATACTTGCTCCACTTGTGCGCTTGCAAAATCAAAACGCGGCCTATTAATAGCCCCCGATGGCCTCAATAGGCACGCTGATGTCCGAGTGCCCCCTCCCTCCCCCAGGGTCGATTAGTAAATGTTTCTTTGAACCGCAGAAACTCTATTTTGATGCAGAAGTCAGAGTGGTGACAGATGGGCAGAATTCTTATTATAAAAAAAACTTGCTTTAATTCTTTCTAGTCGTTCACCCTTTGACCTCGCATGTGGGCTTTCTGCCGGGACCTAAATGAGACTTTCAAATTCGCATGAAGGCTGAATATCATACGTGCAGGGCGTGTTGTTAGTTTATTAGTGCCAGAGGTCTACAGTGTTTCATACGACACCGACCGCGTCTGCGTTCCAATGATCCATATCGAAATAAAAACACCGCTCTCGTTACTCATTGGACTTTGCAGTGATGTAGTTTATTGTGGCCAACGAGGCCAACAAGTAAAGAACGGCTTAGTGTGTGATTATATTTTATGTTTTTAATGTAGTGTTGAGCCGACAGACAGATAATTGATTTACTCGGTGAGCCGTACTTTTCCCAGCAGGTGAAACAATATATATGTATGTGTGTGTGTGTGAGTGAGAGAGACTCTTCTTGTCAATTGTACAGTAACAAGAGAGATTTTGTGCGTTGTGTGTTTATGTAACAAAAATATCTTCGCTGCGCCGCAGAGGTTATTTTTACCCGCCGAGATCCAAAGGTCACCGCGGGCCTCAGATTACCGCGTCGACGGGCTCTCCTCCCGATCGAGTGGCCGCCTCCGCTCTGCCGCGCCGCTCGTGCCGCCTGCTGAAACGCACACACGCTCCGACGGCGCGGTCGAGCCGCGGCGATGTGTTTTCGGTGATCTGGAGCTGCTACTTCTCTTTTGAACAGGTGCCAGGGGCGGCAGCGCGGCGCCGGCGACACCCACTCAGGTGCTTGGAGGCCGGACCGCACTAATGGCTGTGTAGACCGCCAACACACTAATACTTACCGAAAGAAGTCGATTCATGCGTTCTTCAGCTTTCGCCCTCAGCCGCTTTCCTTTCTGTCTCTCCGCCCCCTCAGTGTGAAAACAAGCAGACGGCTTGTGAGCCTTTTCTTGTAACTCTGTCCCCTTCTTGTATCTGTCTCTCACCGTAGCGTATCTTGCCTTGGAGCCCTCTTCCTATCCCCACCCCGGCTCTCAGAGCCTCTCCAAAGGTATCTTCCTCTCTCTCTGCCTGCTTCTTCATTTAGCTCCGGTGGGTCTCTGCTTCGCCGCATGTAGACGACAGCAGATGAAATGGACCTGTGGGGCGGGTGTGTGTGTGTGTGTTGTGGCGGCTCCACATTCAGACCACTAGCAACCACATCGCCATATGTTTCTGTAATAAGTGACACAATGTAGCCACACACAAGTGGGCGCTCACGTTGCTCGTGGTCGGAATGTTGTTATTAGGGAGCAAGTAAAGGGACGTGTGTGGTTTTGTTTAAATGCTGTTGTGTTTGCATGCAATATGTGCAAAACAAACTGCATGGATGTAGGTGTGTGTGTGTGTGTGTGTGTGTTTGCTCCAGTGTCTTCTGATAAAAATGTCCTCTTTCTGGCCAGTCCTCAGCGCAGATCGCATGGAGCAGATGACCAGGACTTACAATGACATTGAAGTGGTCTCGCACCTTTTGGCGGAGGTAGGTCGGCCCACTCCCCGGGACTCGCTCGGGACACGTGCTTCCACCTTTTTACGAGGCGGTTCTGATTGGTCGGTGCGCTGTGTGTCCTTTTTGGACAGCGGGACAGAGACTTGGAGCTGGCGGCTCGGATCGGTCAGTCCCTCCTGCAGAGGAACCACCTGCTGCAGGAACGCAACGAGGCCTTAGAGGAGCAGCTGGCGCAGGCTCTGGACCAGGTAGCTCACACGCCGAGTCTCACTACATGTAAAGGTACCCCTGTGGATACAAGCAACCCCCCACTGAGCACCACCTCACCCCCCTCAGGTTCACCAGGTGCAGCATGAGCTCGGAAAGAAGGAGGAACTTCTGCGCATGGTGGCCAGCGCCTCGGAAGAGAGCGAGACCGACTCCAGCGCGTCCACGCCGCTGCGGCAGCCCCGGCCGCCGGGGGGGGCGACGTCGGCCGCCGCCACGCTCGGCCAGCTGGAGTCCCTCCAGGTGAAGCTGCAGGAGCTGGAGGAGGAGAACCTGTCACTGAGGTCCGAGGTACGAGGGCGTGTGGAGGGCGTGTGGAGGGCGTGTGGAGCGCTTTGAACCGTGATCGCGCCACTAGACCTACGTTGTGCTGACTGGTTCCTCTCGTCTGCAGGCGTGTCAACTGAAATGCGACACCATCACCTACGAGGAGAAGGAGCAGCAGCTTGTAAACGACTGTGTCAAGGAGCTCCGTGAGTGTGACGAGGACGCGTTCACGTCGGAGAGACGTGATCTCTCCGTACTGGGGAACCCCACGATTTCTTTTTTTTTCTTACTTTGGTCCGTCTGTGTGCTGGTTCCAGGAGAGTCCAACAGCCAGATGGTTTCCCTGAGCGACGAGCTATCTGAGAAGAACGAGGAGCTGCTCAGGCACCAGGAGGAAATCTCTCAGTTGCTCTCCAAGATAGTAGAGCTGCAGCACAGAGTGAAGGAGGTGAGGAGACTGGTACCTGATACATGGAACTTGAAATTAAGACCAGAATTTGATGAGTAGGGACACGACGTGGCTCTTGCGGTCTCCATTTGGGTCTGGTGGTCTTGATTTAGGTGTGGACCTGGGTCTTGGTGGTCTGTCTAAAGGCTCATGTGGGTATCCGTGTGTTTGTACGCAGCTGGCCCTGGAGAAAGAGGAGCTGAGGATCCACCTGCAGGCGTCCAAAGAGTCTCAGCGACAGCTCACAGCAGAGGTACAATCGCACAGGGAGTTACAAACAACAACAAACTATATTATTTGAACTCAAACGAAAATAGGTTGTTACGGTTTGTAGCCTTAACATATAGCGAGTATGAAAAATACAATTTCCTCAAATTGTTATAGCTTAAAGCAGTTAATCCCTTAATAGATGTAAAATGCATTAAAGATAATTAAATTATCAAATCATACATTTAAAGTCTAATTTAAATATATATTTAACCGCTTCATACCAAGTAATTTGAATAACGTGTGCGTTGCAGCTGGACGAGTTGGCAGACAGGAATGCGGAGTGTGTGGAGATGCTACATGAATCCCAGGAGGAGATCAAGGAGCTTCGCAGTAAAAACACTCCCTCAGCTGGGATGCGGAGGCACCTCTCCTACGGCGTCTATCCCATGGTGAGAACCCATAGCTCACTAGGCGTTAAATAACTGCAAAATTAAGAAAGTTCTGCATATCCAACTCTCGTGTGTGTGTGTGTGTGTGTGTGAACAGGACTCATTGGCCGCCGAAATCGAGGGCACTATGAGGAGAGAAATGAGTGTAGAGGAGGAGACGGCCTCCCTGGACCAAAGGTCAGATTCTTCACGACTGAGGAACTCCGTTTTAAAGGACCCACCGTATGCCCCTTTTACCACAAGTTGCTATGGTTCCTTGGGGTCTTAATGAAATGTCTGTAATACCACAAGGATGATTTAAAACAGAGCCCTAAAGAGACAGCGTGGGGGGGTCTTCTCACTGTAAAAAGGATTCCTGCTCGTACGTCCTTTCGCCGCCGTGTTGCGAGAGCCACTGCACCCAAGACGCTACGGTATCTATAGTGAGTGTAGGAGAGGGGGGGTGGGGGGGGCCAAGGCCATGTAGAGAATCCCATTTCATAGTTTCATAGAGAGAATCATAAGGAAGCTCATTCTCAGTCACTCAAGCGTGACGTGCAAGAACCATAACAAATTGCGGGAGTTGTCTTTTGGGTTGGTAGACACGGCGGATATCCAAATTAACGTGTAGAAGCACAAAAAAAGTGGAATTTTCATTATATGTCCCCTTTAATGTGTTTACAGTTTCTGCTGCTGAACAATTAAATCCCACTTTGAAACAGACCCTTGATGTATTGAGTCAAAGCTCTGACCTCGTACCCTTTCTGCCTGCAGAGTATCCCAGAAGCGAGTCTTCCAAACGGTCCGCTCCATCAACGCCTCGTCGCCGCGGCCGGCTTTGGCCACGCCCCCCATCCCCGGCTCGGGTCAGAGCTCTCTAGTGATGACCGCACAGCCTTTCGCGTCCTCTCAGGGGTACGTCACAAGTATTCCCGCCTCGAGGTTTTGACCCCGAGGGCGACGTCCGCGGCCCTTGTTAATAGACCCGTGGTTTTACCCCCCCCCAGGGAGGAGGTGCGGATGGGCCAGCCCGGCTGCCCAGGAGGAAACGACCTGACCAAAGCCCTCCACCGGCTATCGCTGCGACGGCAGAACTTCCTCTGCGAGCGGCGGTTCTTCCAGGCGGAGCGCGAGAAGAAGCTGCAGGCCCTGGCGGGCGCGGAGGGGGGGGGCGGCGGCGGGAGCAGCGGCTGCAGCTCGCCGGTGGGCAGCGCGTGTTCCTCCTTCTCCAACCTGTCGGAGCTCTCTTTCGGCTCCAGCGTCTTCAAGACCTTCCTGCCGGAGAAGCTGCAGATCGTCAAGCCCATGGAAGGTAAAACGTGAGATCCAACAAGCACATTTTACAAAAGTTTTCACTGACTTGAGACTTGATGTAGGACTTAGTTGTCTTATACATCATGGATTTGGGACTAGAGGTGGGAATCTGTAGTCTTCACTACCACCAGTGGACTTTTATTTATATATTTATCAGTGGTCATAAGGACATTTCCTCCTGTGTTGATGCACCAAACAGGCTCACTGACGCTGCATCACTGGCAGCAGCTGGCTCAACCCCACCTGGCCACCATCCTGGACCCCCACCCTGGGGTGGTGACCAAAGGCTTCTGTCCACTGGTTCAGGACACCGTGTACCGGCTGTCTGACATGGAGGAGGACGAGGAGCATACGGGTGTCCTGGAGAAGGGGTCGGCGGAGCCGGGTAAGGAAGAGGACGAGGACGAAGAGGAAGGCGGGATCACCTTCAAGGCGCGCTTTACGTCCACGCCGGAGGACAGGAGGGACAGGACGCACTCGGCGTTGCCTCTCCCCGTCCGGCCTCGCTCCCCCACCCGGCCAGCATCACCCGTGGCACATCCGCCTTCCTCCACCGGGAGAGCGGACCTCTGTCTGACCCCTGCGCCCCAACGTGTCACCGAGCGATCCCCTCGGCCCATTCCGGGAGCCTGTACCACCGTGGTCCAATCACCGAGTCAGATGTTCATCTCCACGACAACGTCTTCCTCTGGTAAACGCTGCTGTGCTTCAATGAGGGGCTTTTAGGATATTCATTGCAGCTGTTGTGAGTGTGTCCTTACCTGATTTTGTTGTGTGTTCAGTCCAAAATCCAGGAAAGTGTCAGAGCTCCACCTTCTCCACCTACACCATCACCACGTGCAGCATCCTGCACCCCAGCGACATCACACAGGTCACCCACAGGTAGGACCTCTGCAAAGGACGCTGTGAACTTTTATTTTACACAGGAGGCCTCTCTTCTCACCTCATAGCCGCCTCTGCGTTTTTCAGCTCCCGGTCGTCCCTCGTGGCCAACACCCCGAGCTCCATGAGGACCGGTCCCAGCACCCCTGTGACCCCCTGCCGGCTGAGCCTGGGCGACTGCTTTCCCCCCCGACGCCCCCTGGTGGCCACCAGCGGCCTGGCCAAGCTGGTCCTGGAGAGGGGCATCTCCGCACAAGTCTCCGCCGACGGCCCGCCTCGTCCCCAAAGACGGCGTCCCGGCAGCCCCTCTTCCGCCTGCTACCCCGGCACGCCCCCCAACTCCCCCTCGCACTCGCGGGACCCCTCCCCGGTGCCCCCAGAGCCCCGCAAGCAACAGGCCGACAACTTCCTCGCCTCGCGGCCGGCCGAGCTCTTCCTCCAGGACGTCTACGGGCTGAACCTGGGCCGCGCCCCACACCCCGACCTGCCCAGCCCGTCCCAGGGAACTCCGGCCCACGTCCCGCCCCCCAAGCCCGGGCACGCCAAGCCCGACCTCGGCCTGGTGGAGAGGCTGCGGCGGCTGGGGTTCACCCGGGTGCTCCAGAGCGCAGAGTCTGAGGGGCCGTGCCAGGGCTCCGCCACGTTTGTGTCGGCAGGCGGGGGGAGCCTGCTGGACGGCCTGAGGCGCAACCAGAGCCTCCCGGCCATGATCGGTGCCCGGGCGGGGAAACTGTCCGGTAACCCAACGCCTCGTCCCCACCCGACCTCCCTGGCCCTCCAGCCGCCACCCTGGGGAAACCCCAAAGAGCGGCGGCGGCATCTTGCCTCCGTCCCCCGCGCCCCGCCAGGTTCAACAAAGCGCTGACGAGGTGGCTGGACACTTCAACCGCTCTTTCTGTCTCCCTCCTACTGCCCTTTGGGGGACGAGGGGGCGTCCAGCGGGAAGAACAGACCAACCCCTCCTTTTTTTTTTTAAACCTTCCTCTTTGAAGCACAATTGAACGAGCTGACTGTTTATAGTAGACAGTAACCAAGGCCCTTATCTCGCCTCCCCCCCTGGGGCTGCGCCCGGGGACCTTCTCAGTAAATAAAGTCCGCTTCTGTAGTTTTTGCAGCGAAGGTTCTGGATGCTCATGTGTAGGAGGGAAGAAAATGGCAACGCGTACGTGGACGAAGGATGTGGATGTGGATGAGGATGTGGATCATGAGATGGAGTTGTGAGGAAGGAATAAGTAGGTCAGAGGTCAGAGGGCAGAGTAAGTGGGAAGGTAAAGGAGACTGAGCATCCACTCTCGCGATTCCATGGGTTGTTCTGCGTGGGGGAGAGTCAAGTCAGCTTTAGTCTGTAATGAAATAGCATTATACTACAACCACAAGCATTATACAGCAAACGCTTTAAAGGCATGTCCCAATAAAACCAGAAGGGATTCAACATGCTTTTTGTAACTTGAGGACTTTGAGTGGCAGCTGGTTTAATAGCATACTGCCAGACCATTGTTGTAGTCAGACCACGCCATTGACATGCCAGTATTAATATTGTGAGGATTTTACTTGCAAGCCAATGCCTGAGAAGTCAGAGGCAAGCTTGGGGTTCCCAGCATGCACCTGTCGGGAGGCAGGCCAGACCAGAGCGAGACGGGGTCTGCCTTTGTCCTCGGGTCCTCGAATTTGATTCAATTTGCAGCCACCGTCCTCACCTGAAGGCCTTTTTCTCTCACGGGCAGTCTGGGAAGCCGGATAAATATTAACACATAATTTAGTTGCACATGACGATGTTTATGTGATTCACACACCAGGGAACTGGGGGGGTGTATTCCTTCAGGAGAGGATAATGAAAAGTGATCCTTTATTATTTGGTTGTATTTTATAAAATCATGCTTTTGATACAAGGATCAGAGGTGTGCGCTTGACCACCGCGGCCCCTTTAGCGCCGTCGTCCCCAGCAACCGTTGATCCGACCAGACCCCCCCCCCACTCGCCTATTGCACTTTGACTCTTTGTTTTAACCTTTGTTTTGGTGACACTACTATTTGAACTATGAATATTTTAACATATTAATGAAAACAGTGCAACGATTTTAATATGTCCAGCCATCTTTATTTTTCTTGCTTTCCCGCAGAGGGGAATTCAAATTAAGACAAAAGTGATGCTTTTATTTTTTAAGTAATTGAATAAATGTGTTTGTCATGCAATTTAGTGCTAAATTGCTGTGTTTTTTTGTACATTTGTTAGAGTTTAGAGCAGAGGAAAAAAGGCACCATCAGGCTTCTCATCCGTAGATTAGTTGTATTTGTCAAATCCCCTGTTTTTCCAGTAGGGCGGCAGGTTCAGGTGTGTCTTTTGTTGGCTACTATGTTATGTCGCTTCCTCGTGCCTCTCCTCTAAGATCATTATCCTCTAAACTACACATGGCTATTAATAAGCTGCCTCTTTTTTTTTTTTATAATAAAGCAATGGAAACAAAGCGTCTGACTCACCCACTGCTGTATTACTCATTCTCGGTGGAAGAACTAGTACAGAAACTCAAAGTAAAGTTGTTGAGTGTTTTCACTTATTATGCTGAAGTCAGCTGCTTTCCCGCAACCCAACCGGATAAGCAGTTTGTTCTGAAGGGAAGATCCTCCCCCTCCCTCGCCCCCCTCTCTCACATGGGACAGATCTTGATGCTGTCGGAGCTGGAACTGAACTGTCCGAGGGCAAAGTCCAGGCCCACCCCGACCCCGCTGCCCACCGCGAAGGCGGCGTAGAGCGGCTGCGTGAAGTTGGCGCGGAAGCTGTGCAGGTGCGTCATGCTCTCCGCCACGCTGTAGAAGGCCAGCGTCCCCGTGGACACGTCCAGGTAGAGGCCCAGGCGGGGCGAGTAGCTCACCGGGATATCCCGCTTCTCGTTGTCGTGCATCGCCGAGCAACAGTGTCCGACAGCTCCAGGGTCCACGACTGGGCGTTGTAGCCGAGGCCCGACCGGGCGTCCGAGCCCTTCCGGGCCATGGCGCCGTAGGCCACGCCCATGGAGGAGCCCCGGCCCCTCCACTCCACCTCCCAGTAGCAGCGCTGGGCGTACAGCGGGCTCGCGCACATCACCTGGGTCCAGCCGTCGAAGCGCCCGGCTGCGTTGGGGTAAGGCTGCGCCGCTGCCTGCAGGGTGGCTTTGGTGTTGCCCTCGGTGAGGGCCAGCCGCCGGTGGGCGGTGTCGGTGTCGAGGGTCAAGGTCACAGAGTCTAAGGGGGGGTTTTAAATTGGCAATTAGTCACACAGTCTGGAGAATTAAGTTCATTATTGTGTTGAGTCAAGTCTGAACTGTGAAAAGTCCTCTCACAGAGACCCGGCGATTTGGTTAGAAGCCGTGGAATTGGACCTTGAGTTGGGTTTTTATTAAAGAATATCAACTATGTCAGTGCACTTTCTGTTGTTTCCATCACAACTTCTGCAAGCGATATGTTTTAGGTTCTTTGGCGTAAACATTAACAGCAGCCGATCGTTCCACAGCCTCTGAAACGTATTGAAACGTAGCGACTCACACTGCAGGAACTCCTCTCTGGTCCTGGGCTCCGGGGCCTGGATGCTGTCCAGGTTGATCTCTCGCACTGGAAAAGCAAACGTTGCAACAACAACAACAAAAAAAAGAGGTTCCATATTCATTCTTGTCTGTTGCGTGTGTTGTTTTCACTCACGTCTTCTTGTCTGAAAATGAGGAGGATGAAATGTACTCACGCGCGGGAAAAGCAGGCGCGTGCATCACCGAGGTCGGGGTGGGCAGGTCCAAGAAGAGGCCGGGGTTAACTGTCCAACGAGGAAACCGCGTGCATTAACATCGGGTCCATGTTCAAGTTATGAGCCGAAAATAAATGAATCCAACATGTAAAGGCGGCCATCTTACTTTGCGTTGGTGATTCAGACGGAGCGGCCGTCGCCCCTGTTGGGTGTAAACGAGCCGCAGAGTCAACACGCTGTGTAACTACTGATATAGAGACATCTTCTCAGAATTTGGGTTAATTCAGTCCGAACATACAAATGAGTGGATTAAGAGCTACTTTTAGGTCTTACATGGGTTTCCTCCGGCTGGCAGTGTGTTACCGGCCGGGGTAGCCGGGGTGGTGCCGCGCCGATGGGAGCGGAACAGGCTGCTGATGGACGCCATCCGACCGAAACTGGACCCTGAATCCCGAGAGGAGGAGGAGGAGGAGGAGGAGGAGAAAGGCGGATTGATGAAGAGTCTGAGCATTTTGTTGTTGGCGGCAGCAAAGGGTTTTGTTTCGTCAAAACAAGGTTGGTTGTCTACCTCCGGTTGGTGCAGGTGCTGGAGCGGGAATCGGGGTGGCCGGGATTGGAGTCTGGGTCGGGGCGGCAGCCTGGTTCTGACTGGCCCTGCTCCAAAGAGACTGAGGGTTTGCGCGGCTGGGAGAGGGGCTGGGGACGGGGACGGGGCTCGGTCGGGGGTTGGTCTCCCTCACTGCTCGGAGGACACGTGACAAGTTCGATCGAGCACAGGTGTTATGGCCAGTCGATTAAAGCTTCTAAATCATAAGAACCGTATTGGTGCATGAGGAGAAATCAGACATTTTTAATAAAAAATAACTCACATTATGGTGCAAAGATTATTATTCATTATGGAAATATAATACAGAGATCCGATAAGATACATGTAAGTCCTTATAAATGATAGTAACTTTATAATGGGTTAATGATCACTGTCATCAGAACCCACCTGTCTCTCTCTGCTTGTCTCGGGGTCTGGGTGAGCTTGTGTTTCCTCCGTCTGTTACAGGGAAGAAGCATATTTTACACACACACACACCTCTCCATCCATGGTATTTTTTATTTTTCTGTCTTACCTCGCGGACCGTCTCTGCTCCTCACGTCTTGACTCTTGAGGCCGATACCTGAATGACACGATGCCAACATGGTGTTTAACAAGGAGCGCCCCCCCCCTTACCTCCCCCCCGTTCCCTGATATTGTCGCACGTCAGTTGGCATCACCTCTTCTGTCCGCGCTCCGCCCTCCCGACGCGATGCTGGGCACAGCGGCTGTGAGACGAGACGGAAATCACGTATGTGTGTCAGCCTCGTTGACGTGGACTCAGAGAGGCGGGACGTACCTGCTGGGCGGCTGCTGGTGTTGCGAGAGGACAGGCCAAACACTGTGGGGAGAAAAGGGGAAATGGGTTTTTACGGGAATAAAAGTCTTTCAGGAGTCCTCTGCTGCTTATTTAAAATCACAAACAAACTCACATTTTAGAATCCCTCCCTTCGCGCTCCGGTTGGCTGGGGAAGACAAAAAGGGAAGTTAAGCAACAAAGACTCGCTTCTGTTCTTTCATGTCGGTAAGAAAGAAATGCCTGGAACTCACAGTCCTTCAGCGTGAACAGCGTGGTGTCGTTGACTGGAAGAGAACAGACGAGATTAGATGAGGCACGAGAGCAGGTGAAAGAGAGGCGGGGGGTCGGAGCGAGGCGAGACTCGGTTGGGGACCTTGTTTGGTGATCTTGCTCAGCTCCTGGTTGCACAGGTCCTCCACGCGTTCCCGGAGGTTCAGGACGGCTTCCCGCACGGGCTCAAAGGAAGCGTCGAGGTTTGCGGCCACGACGGGCAGGTCCCCCGACTCCAGCGGGCTGCACACGGACTCGCAGGCCTGACGGGGAACAAGCATGTAGCACTTACTGCTCTTATTGATAGCAAGTTGTAAATCGGCTTATTTGATGAAATTGTACTTTCTTTCAGGTTTGTATCCTTATGGTTGAAGTAGTAGTCTAAATTAATGCGTTGTGGCGCAGGGGTTAGAGAAGGTGTGCTGGAAAGCACAAGGTTGTTGGTTTGATTCCAGGCTGCCCCATGTTCCATGTCGAAGTGTCCCTGAGCAATACACCTAACCCCTAATTGCTCCCCGGGCAAAAATGTGAAAAAAGCCATGGGTTTAAAGTGTAATGTAAGTCGCTTTGGATAAAAGCGTCTGCTAAATGACCTGTGATGTAATGTAATGCAAAATAATTTGAGAAATTTCTTTGACAGTTTTCAACAAGTTACCAAAATCAATGTTTCTAGCTTAAAAACAAATCATCCTTCGCCACCATAATATTATTGAAAATGTATTTCCGGTCTCAAGTTTAAATGAATTCCTTTTGAGCTTAAAATAGTGTGTGTTTGAGTATAAATCTGTAAGTAAGACACGATACAACTTGCAACAATAATCAAATATCTTAAATTTGATTAATGATGATATAAATGTAACATGTGTAGTTTAATATTAACACACAGAACAGGCAGAAGTTTTACAGGTTACAAGATAGTAATAATTCCACTCGATTTAATCCACATCTATTGTTTAAACTAAGATAATATAGCGTTATCTGTATTTGGTTGAATTTAGAAATATGCTCAAATCATCTGGCCCACACAGCGAAGTTTGGTCCCGCCTACCTCCAGGTAGTGGATGTGGTCCTCGCAGTGCACCAGGTCCCTCATCTCCGTCTCCCTCTTTTTCAGCTCCTTGATCTCGGCCTCCAGGTTATCGACGACCTCCTGGGCCTGTCCCATCTTCTCCATGCCGGCCTGGTCAAGCACCTCCTCCAGCAGCTCCTGCAGACGCTCCACCGACCGCTGCAGCTCCACCAGCACTTGCTCCGTGTCGCCGTGCACCCTGTCCGCGGAACGCTGCGAGAGAGGAGGCAGATTTAATTCATTTAATGAAAAATTCTTCTTTTGAGGTCACGAAAATCACTGCAAGCGGCCGACCTTCATCCCCTCCATCATCTTCTTCATGTCCTTCAGCTCCTGCTGGCGGTCTTTCAGCCTCTGCTGGTTTTCAGTCTGCATCTCTGCCAGCACTTTCTGCGGGAGGACCACATCGAGACGCAGGATGAGAACCACATTCATCCACCTCAAGGAAGAAAAAGAAGAAGAAAAAAAAACACGATACGAGGAAATGCCGTGTCTCACAGACAACGCGAGAGCGTGGGACGCTATGATTGGACAGGAATGCGGTAAGGAATGTTCTCAGCCCGGCTGGAGACACAAAAGGAGTGAGGACGACACCCTCGAAAGAGACAAAACCCATTGCGCAGAACAATGGACGGCAGGTGGGACGACGTACAGCGCATAGTACTACTGCAGAGTACTACCTATACTACTCGATTCCAGCTGCTGAGATACTTTAAACTGTGTTCCGCCAAATAAAACTGTTTGTATAGATGTTGTATGTATGTATATTTGTAAAGAACACACCACTTATTTTGAATAATTAAGAAAGACATTAGCGATCACAAACAAACAACGGTTCCCCCAGGGAACTGATCCCGGCGCAGCGCCCCCTCCTCTCACCTGTTTCTCCAGGCGCTCGGCTTTGGTGGAGACGCACTCGTGGCCCTTGTGTTGGTTGCTGGTGCACAGCCAGCAGATGAACATCTTGCACTGGCGGCAGTAGAACTCCTGCAGGTACTTGTGCTGGGTGCAGATCTTCTCCGCCAGGTTGGCCGTGGGCGCGATCAGCTCGTGCGCCTTCAGGGCCTTCTTGGTGGAGTGGGGCTTCAGGTGGGCGGCGCAGAACGAGGTCATGCACGACAGGCAGCTCTTGACCGCCGCTCGCCGCTCCCCTTTGCACATGTCGCACGGTACCGCCGAAGAGGAGGAGGAGGAAGAGGAGGAGGTCTTCCTTTTGGCCGAGGAACTGGCACTCCGCATGGACTCACGCACGTCGGCCTTGTGGGCCCCTTTGCGGAGCTGCTCTACCGCTTCGGCCAGCATGGTGTTCCTGGACAGGGAGGGCTTGGGGGAGAAGTTCTTCCGGCATTGGGGGCAGCTGTAGACCCCCTTGGGGTCGTCCTTGCTCCAGTAGTCCTTGATGCAGCCCATGCAGTAGCTGTGCCCGCAGGGGATTGTGACCGGATCATTGGGGAGGTCAAGACACACGGGGCAGTTGAACTGCTCCTCAGTCCACAGCTTGGCGCTCATGCCGGCGGAGAAGATAGAGAGAAAATCACAAGCGGAGCGGTGAAGGAGGAAAGGCTCGTCTGGACTGATCGGGAAACTGTTCTGTCTGTCGAGGGGAGAGCAGGGAGAGGTTGAAAGGGGCGGGGCCAGAGCCGCCGGGCAGGTCGAGCGGGGAAAACGGGTGTCGGTGGAAAACTGCTAAAGGTGTGCGAACGGGCCGATCGTTCGACAGTAGTGCATTCATTGTGGTACTTTACTTTAGAAACACACCACTACGAGTCTGTCAGAGCAACTTTTGCGATGCTCATTCTTATTAGTGAGATGATGAAATTGATTGTCAGTCGAAATGTGTGAAATTTATAATAATTAAAATTTGGCTTAACTATTAGACTTTAAACTGTAAATAAAGTCCTCTATTGAAAACAAATGTTGTGGAACGCCTCCTCTTCCACTTCCTTTTTGAGAAAGATCTCTGTATCAAAGTGAGATAAAAGTAGGTATTGCTCTGACTATGATAATAGTCTCTATAAAGTCCATAGTATTTTTTTTAAATCATGATGATGCTGCACGTTTTTATACCATGTATCTTGTGTGAACTAATAAAGCAATTTCGTGTCTTATAAAGTGACATACAATGGGCGCATCTTGTCACTATGTGGCAGTGTTACACCTCTGTTTGTTGGCAGAAGCCGGTGCTTTAAAACGTAATTATAGTCCATTATATGAATATATAACCAATTATAGAGGGGATGGCTTCAGGGAGGTCACGCTAAGGACGCGCTGTGTAGTCAAAGAGTGTTTAACCTGTCAAAGAAAACATCTTCTACGCAGGCAATTCAAATAACCAGCGAATAAGAAAGATTGATTTTGTAGCAATGTATAAAGCGGTATATTGTCGCCACCCTATAAGTCTGAAGAAATGACTAAATTAGGGTTCCAAAGTTAAACGTAAAAACAAGAGAGTCTAACCAACGATTTTTTTAAAGCGAAAACGGAAGTACTCAAAGTGAAACATCTTGCCGCTAGCTGCTCCTCCGTATAGCAACTAGCAACACAAAGCTAACTTTGTGTCGTTTCTGAGTCGAACCAATGTCAGATAAACCCGTGAAACGTCCAGGAGTTGGGGTCGGGGTGTTGGTGACGGACTCGGCCCACCCGGGCTGTGTTCTCGTGGGGAAACGGAAGAGCCCGATGGGCAACGGGACGTACCAGCTCCCCGGGGGGCACTTAGAGTTTGGGTACGTAGCCTGGGCAGCTAACGTTACAGCGGTTAGCTAATTTAGCAACGATTTAGCTTGTCCCCATTCATTAGTCTGAGACGACGTGGTGACGTAACATTAGATGTGTGACGTCGTCAAACACCCGTTGTTGTAGCAACACATACACTTTACGGCTTCAATAGGTTTCGTTTTTTTTTGGTACTAGAGTGATTTTTACAATTAAATAAAATTAAAATTAATTTTAGCCATTTATCGATGTGCCGAAATCCTTCAAGCTGTTCAGCGGAAATGACCACGTGGACATGCATTTTAGCACGTGTTTGCTCAATAAGTTTGCATGAATACTAACGTTAATTGGCAATTTTTTGAAGGCAGTTTGGTTTGACGTGGTGAGCCTTGGTTATCACTGGGAGATGTCTTTAAAGGGACTAAAAGTGATTTTAAGCAGATTGGGGTTATTTGAGTGGAGAGGCAGCAGTCCAAATGTGTTAAAAGCATGTTAATTCTGCTCAGCACTCAACTCATTAGCAAAGTTATGTTTTTTACTACTTACTTTTAATGTGCTATTCTGTAGCTTTGTATTGTGTTTTCACCACCTATAGTTGTTATTATGGCTTTCACGTGTACTGTTAGCGTGTTATTCTCGTTAAAAATGCAAATGATAAACAATATAATCTAGTCGAGCGCATCAAATGGTGACATTTATGTTTGAACTGTACATGATCCCTTTAAAATAAAAAATACATTTAAAAAATGCTTACTTTACAAGCATCGTAATGACAAACCTCGTTTCTGTTTCATTGAAAGAGAGACATGGGAGCAGTGTGCTCACAGAGAGGTGCTGGAGGAAGCTGGGGTGCGTTTGGTGGACGTCCGCTTCGCCTCGGTGGTGAACTCCATCAGACTGGAGGAGCAGTACCACTACGTCACCATAATCATGCAGGGAGAACTGGACCGGAAGCAGTCGGGAGAGCCCGAGAACCTGGAGCCGGAGAAGAACGAGGGTAAGAACGGATGTGGGACTACCGATGTTCACCAGTTTTAATTTGAGAATATGAAAGACCCCCCCACCTAAGTGGTGTCCGTGGTTCTGTCTCAGGTTGGACGTGGACGCTCTGGGACCGGTTCCCTCCAGAGGAGCAGCTCTTCTTGCCACTTGCTGGTCTGAGGCAGCAAGGCTTCCAGCCGTTCAGGAACACAGCGGCAAGCAGCTTTAAGGCAGATCCGTAACACTGTGAAGCATTTATCCTTCCCCAAAGGATCACACTGACAGACATAAGTGCTTTTTCCTCAAACATTGTGTCTTTTTCTTATGCTACATACTGTATTATTTGTCACATTATGTCAGATTTTAAGCAACAAATAAATAAAATGCAAATGTGTAAAAGTACAGACATCAACACAAGAGAGGGCACATATTTAAATATTTTAATTATTTTTTGTGACAACATATGCTTTAAATATTTTAGGATATTCAATGAAATAAAAATATTCTTGGGAATGATTTACAAACAGATGGTGAAATCTCAGCTTATTGAAAGACACTTCACAACAGTTTTATTATGGCTTGATTATTATCCACCAAAAGATACATTTACACACTGCTTCATCATATTCTATTGATAATCCTTCCCTAAAAATAAAAAAACAGAAGCAAACAGTTTCTTACAGTAACATAAAAACTGGATACTAGTGGCAGATACGCAGGATGGCTAGAACTGGAAGCACTACGGGTCAATTTGGCGTCCCTCACAGCAGGGAGTTGCCGGTGACACCCACTGCTAACAGCGTGATCGACAGGGTTGCGGCAGCGGTTGCCACGGCACCGCTAAAGGTCTTGTCGTGGGCGTAGGTGATGATGTGCAGTGCGCCGCTGTAGGCCTCCTCGCACGTCGGCCGGATCTGATCCTCGGGAAGCTCAAAGCCGAAGGCCCCCTTGTCCCTTAGCTCGAAGGTGAAGGAGAAGGGGATCTTCTGCATGTGAGCCCAGTCTCTCGACGAACCCGAGTTGGGGTCTGTGGGAATTAGAGTGCAATGTTTTACTGTCCCGCCCCAGTGGCCACGCTGCTCGAACAGGCGCGCGAGGACCGGCTTGACTTACACAGCACATCCGGTGAGCTTCCGACGGTGTAGTTCATTCCGTGGACCTTTCTGATGGCGTCTGCTGCGCCCAAACCCACCTCCATCTGAGGAACCAGATGTTTCCTTTCATCATACGCTCCGTGAAAGCATCTATGTACCTTTATGCTTTGGGTTTCTACTAGTATACAGGGCAGTGTATCCAGTCAAAGTGATGGAAAAAACCCTACTGACTACAGGGAGCAGTTTTACAAGGCACGATATTCAGATTTCCATTTTTTATTTCTGGTCTAAAGATAATGGGATTTTTGGTAACGAGTTTTTATTTTATTTTTTATCTGATATTTCACCCACTAACATAAAAGAAGCAGAAGATGTTCTGGCATCAATTAAAGTGTCTCACACTGGAAAACCTTGCCTCATCCGCCACAAGAGGCCGATGTGGCTCTGCAATGCATGATGCAATGCACCATTTGAATGTTCTGTACATAGGATATTTAACCCCAAACTGTAAGAGCTTGTCCCACTTTAACTGTTTTTTTTCCAGCTCAATTTCTATGGGAGCATGTACAGTATTCCCCTTCATTAATGTAGAAGCTTTCTTCTTTTTTGCATCCTGACTTGAAAGGTCAAATATTGCATGTGCATGCTCATAATGTGTCAAAACGTGCGTGGGTGGGCTAGGAGTACCAGCTCTTCGTAGTTGTAGGCGGTGAAGTTTGGGTGTCCGTATGGAACCAGGAGCAGCTGGCCGTAGGAGTGGATGGTGAGGAAACACAGGAACTCTTCCGGTCGGGTGCCCACAAAATAAGTGACGGCCTGGGCCTCGGGCTCAGACACCGGACGGCTCCCGTAGTAGATTTCGGAGCAGCAGTTGGACGACACCCCGATCGCTGTGAACGCAGCCGAAGAAGAAAGGGAAACCATCTCAATGCAGTAGTGACAAAGCTTCCTGCCGCTGTTTAAATCATAGAAATCCTCCAGAACATCAATTTATGAAGTGTTTTTTTCTCCCGTTAGTCTGATTTGCATTTGCAAAAATAGTTCAGTCTTCAGATCTTCAACAGATTTTTCAAGGTAAATATTTATCTGAGTGTTTAACTAGCTTGATGTATAATTTATGTCTGGGTCTGGCTACATAGCATCTTGTACATGGTGATGGTTATATCATCAAGCTAGAGATCGATGCTAACATGCTAACGACACCAGCATGCTGTCTAGGCCAGTGTTTAGAAGAAGAAAGAATCCTTTGCTAATCCCGGTGGGGAAATTGCATTTAGCCAACGCTGCCGTAAAGGAGACCAGCAGTTATGGGTTGGGTGTCATGCTCAGGGACACTTTGACAGGGGACACGTAGCAGGATAATCTTATCAAGAGACGTTTAATCTTGCACTGATAATATCAATTACTGGCAGATCATTTACACAGTTTAGACGATGCAACCAGGCTATGACAGTAGACGTCCATTTGATCAAAAAAACATTAAATATCCATTTCATTTAAAAGGCACATTATAAAAGTATTTGTTTGCCACTAGGCATTCAATAGTTAAAATACGTTTACTTTGTTGAATTGCAACGTGCATTTCAGTCTTTCTGTCCGTGAATGAAACCTGACATTTTACGGTTACATTCTGTGTTTCTTTTTCAGCTTTGTGTACATGATATAGCTCGAACCCGCAATCCAGAAAAATATTTTCTACATTTTAAATACAAAATATATATATTGTATTTTGTTACATTTTCTGGCACTAGTGTTTTGTATTTTTCTTTGATACATTTCTTTGAGGGGTATTTTCTATTTGGTATCAATATACGTTTTAACATATTTTTTCCCATCCTTATGTCTGCTTTGAGTCAAACATGTCTGTGCACATACTGAAATTCCCCTATGGCTGGATATTATATATATATTATATTATACAATGCAGTGCCCAGAAAATGAAAGGTCAAACAACATGTCATGGTGATGATATTGGGGTTAAGAACTACCAGAATGGAGCCACATTTTCTTTGAATTGAACTATTTGTTTTAGTCACTAATAATTTACACAGAACCACAATGTCAGGCAGCAAAATAGCGCAATAAAATATATTTTCTGAACTCATATTACAAGGAACAAGGATTGAGTTATGTCATGACAACGCGGAGGCTGAGTAGTTTCATCAAAGACGATAACTTGAAAGGAGTAATAACTCCTTTCAACCATGACAAAGACGGAGCAGAGCAACTCCGCTCCTTCCTTCACAGAAAAAGCCCTAGATGTTTATATATCATTTGCATGGAGATATTTCATATTTCCTTACCATTTATTTGTCACCCTATCCTCGAAAACACTTATCAGATAAATGAATGATTAAAGCAAAAGGATGCGTGAATGAGGAGATGGAAACAAACACAGTAAGACTTACTGCCCCAGTTGGCATCAAAGTTGCGGTTGAGATCGACGCCGGTGCAGTTGCAGCCAAAAGGTCCCGGTGACATGTTCTTCCTCCACAGACGCGTCTACGGGTAAAAAAAAGAGAGCAGTCGGTTACATCAGCTGGTTCTACTCCCTCTATCAATTTAGCGGGCCATGAAATGGCCACTCAAACATACTTTAGTGCGGCCTTGGATCGCTCTTTTTCAGACCATCTTATTTTGAAAATTAGATGATTTTCTACTTGGGTCACACTGAGCACCTGAAATCAATTTATTCCCTGATTGAATCGTGTCTCTTTAATAGAGCTTCATTCCTGCGTATCCTGCTCATCTGTGGCCCGAGAGCCGGAGCTCAGAGCAACCCTCCAAAAGAAATTGGATTAGAATGGTTTGAACGCGAGCACCGACCCCGTTGTTCTCCCAGGTGTACATGTAGCCGTCCATGTTGAGAACTGGGGTGACGTAGAAGTCCATGTTTTTTAGCATTTCCTGCATTTTCAGGTCCGTTTTGTGGGCTTTCAGGATCTGATTTGAGATGGGGAAACACAAAAGTTCCTCACTACCGCATAATAAAAACATTGTCTTTTGGGTGCAGTTATAATCGTCGTTTTTTTTCTTTTAATTATCACATCGCTCTTACCTGACTGACAAAGTACTGACAGAAGGCCGGGGCGATCCACTCCCTGGCATGAATACCACAGTCCATCCAGATAGCTTTCTTCTTCTCCCCGGTATCCAGGCCAATCTTAACGACACATTCGCGGAGCTTCTCATTAAACTGCCACACAACACATTTCCGATCTAATCGGAGCGCAAAGGTTGGCCGACCTTGAGCAAGCGGATGGTCCTCTTCTCGTACGTCTGTCCGTATTTCATCACGGTGACAACGTCAGGGTGATCCGTTGCAACCTGGTCCATCCATTGGGAGATCTGCATGGTGGAACGCAGGCATTACCCATCAGAAGTGAGGATGGGGATTCAGTCACAAGTGTGTGAGAGCAGCGGCCGAGGGGCCTCCTCACCTCCGGCATGGGATGGTACTTGAAGTAGTCGTACTCCGCTCTGTTTCGCACAGGGAAACATTATGTGAGAAGTAAGCGGTGGAAGCGCGTCCACCAACGCGAACAGCTGTAAACGTAAATTTCCTCAACCTTCCGTCAGTCGGCGACAACACACCAGCTGCTGCTGATACTTTCTGAGCGGGACTCACCTCTCTGTCACGGCGGCGCTCGTCGCCGAGAGCAGCGCCACAAGGCCGAGCAGCGCGGGCCAAAGCATCGTCTCTCTGTGAGCGTGAACTCCTCGCTTGAGAGTTCTGATCTCGGGGAAAGTAACATTTATAGCAGACGTCCATCAGATAAAGACATTCAAAGACCTTTGCCTGAGCCATAAATCGTCCCACAGTCTATCTGTGTTGGTGGTTACTGATTGACCTGAGCCTCGAATCTGTTTTTGCTCTGTTACTTACCAGTTGCTAAATATTATCCGAGGTCAGAAGGTCAGCAAATTCCTAAAGCAATATAGACAGAGACATTTTCCTTTACGTTCCCCTGTGACTTTGTGCGTTTCTCTACTGCTGACTTGTCATTGCGTTCACTGCAGCTCACTCCTTTCAGAGGTTTGAAGTCGGGGGAGTAAACAAATCAGAGCAGGTTGATGTTTAGTTTTGCCTGTCAACACCCAGCAACGCCGACCACTCATACGGAATAACAGATGAACTCACCTGATACTTTGTGGAGGTCATAAGCAAACGCTTCCTACTTCTTCTCTGGAAACCTGAAGTAATAAAACTAAAAGTAATCTACACCCTCTTTTGAGGATAATAGCCTTGTGTTCCGCATGTTTCCAAAACAAGAAAATAAGAGCGTGATTAGATAAGCTCCATTAATTCAACGACACGAAAGGAAAAAAGAACGAGGCTTGGCTGAAAGAGAGCAAAGGTCCACCAGTATTGCATCAGAAATATTGTAGCCTCAGTTTGGGTGGAAACTGTCAATATAAGGATATTAGTGATTGTCTTCTTTTGGGTATTTTAGTCATCATTAAATAAATTGTGAGTTTAAGTTTCATAACCAATTAGCTGTAATTTGTGTTGGGTTATAATGAACCATTAGCATGGTAACGTGCTAATGTAGACAGTAAACATTATACGTTAGACGGGGCTCTCAAGTTTTCAACATTTTGTCACTGGGATAACAATCTGTTTATAGTTCATCATTAATAACCACCACTGCGTCGTATCATGGTGGTAATATAAGATTATTATCTGGGGATGCAAAGTGTGATCTAGTTCCTCAATTCTTATTTCACCGCCTCAATCAGTCGCCACGCACTGACATATCAGCCAACGTGATTCAGAGCAATAATAGTTTATTTGGCATTTAATAACACACACAAACTTATCTATTGCATACTGGGGTCTGTGCTCAGGTGGACTGCGTGACATTTTATGGTCAGTCCATTCCAGATTCTCATTTTGAGAACCACAAGGACCAGTGGTCTCCCTGCACTGCCTGCTGAAGAGCTCTCGTTGGGGTCTTATCATCCTCCTTTTTGGTTTATTTCGGTGCTTAATTGCTTCGGTGTCTCTGCACCGCTGCTCCCAGAAAGATCTTGGATTTAGTTTGGATGCTCTTCTAATTGTTTTTTTTTTTCCGGCTGTGGTTGCTACTGCTGTTAAAGTAGACCGCCTACAGTTATTCTCCTGAATGTTGATACGCTTTCTGTTGCTGCCATTTTCCAATAAAGCCTTCAGACCTTTAGTAATAAGCACTAAAGCTTCCCCTGAGCCGGCTGGATTCTGGAAGTCGGGCATGCAATTTAATAAAAAATATCATATTCAGAATTCAGTCTGGGAAAAACAACAACCTTTCTGTCCTTAAAGACGCAGACACATTTGGCTGTAAAAAGAAACTTGCCATCGGTCTGCTTTAAAAATCGGTCCATCGAAGGATTCTTTCAAATATTTTCTCACCAGCAGATGTCAGTGCGATGCTGAGTTTAGGTCAATTCTAAAACTCTAAAACGCAGACGAGTCAATGTGAGAAAATAACCTTCAGTTCTCAGTAGGCAGCAAGTGCATGTTGTCAACCATTCAATTATGTTGCCCGTCAGTCTGGGCAAAGTTTGCCCTTTTGAGATGAACAAGTGTCAGAGTGCAGTCTTTACTTTGCTCAGAGCTCTGTCCGTCCCTCCGCCATCTCCGTGGTTACGTCCCTGACATGGTCACTGCGCCTCAGCAACTCCAGTCGTTGTTCCCACTCCTTTGCTGACATGTGCAAACTCGTCTATTTATGAACCACTCATGAGATGCGGTGACAAGACCTGCCTCAGCTTCGGGGCTGTGTGCACAAACTGGTAGGGAGAAGGGGGGGGGGGGGGGGGGTCTTCAAAGCGCACATCATGGGCATAATGATGGATGAAAGCGCTAATGCTTCAGGATGAAAGAGGCGCGGCCGCTCGGCTGCACTCAGACACAAGCTCACAGTGAGTCTTTAAGGCCGCCGATAGCACCTGGAATTTTGAATTGAGAGATGAGACGTTTCTCCCGGGGGGGAGGAGGGGTGGGGGGGCTGAATTTAGATATGGGTTTGCGACTTTATGTGCTCAACGGTTGCGCCTGACGTTGCATACTAATACACCCAAACTGCGGGTAGATTTTGTACTTCTGAAACATTAATGTGAAAGCAAAAGAGCCGATATGGAATAGTAGTATCTGTGGTGGACAGTGTGCAGACACTGGAGCCTACGCCAGCGTGGATATCCCACAATGCAATGCAGTAGTATCAAACACGCTCCCGACGATGGCAGTTAGTTCTGCAACGTCAGAAACGCTTAAATTTAAGAATAAACAGCTGCGTTTTACAGTTCACACTTCCTCCTTCCGTCACATAAGGTTGGCACTGGTTGCCATGGTTACGCGTCTCAAACCAGCAAGGAGCCTCCCGGGAGGTGACCTGTGATCGTGCAGTGCGTTCAACAATAAACGCACCGCTGCTGTGTGTTGTTCACACAAAAGCGCGTTGAATGAATAGGGAGTAGATTGTAACTTCAAACACAACTGTTCTCCTCTACTTACAATGTATGACTCATTGCATCACATGACTTCTTTTTTTTTTTTTAACAGATCACAGTTTATTTTAGCGCTGGTCTCAGTGTTTCACCAGGTGTAGTTGACTTGGGGAGCGCTTGCTGCAGGGGAAGAGCTGTGCAAACATCGATCCCGGGATCACCAGGAACCTGTTGTTTGGGGCGTGTGTCGCTGAGGGGTCATTTGGGTCCTCGCGGGGTCGGCGGGTTTCAAGCGAAGTGTCCGTTGATGCTGTGCTAACGTCTGAATGCAGTGTGTTTGTCACATCTTTGCAGCCTAAAGGCTGGCGCGTGCTTCTGTGTCTGCGTCCTTACGCACCGCTGCGTGACGCACTCGTTTCAATTCATGGTTCTAAAAGTCTTGTGTGTCTTGCAGAGCAATTCACCGCCAGAACAACAGGCGGAGTAACATGTTTTTATCGAAAACGACCTAGAGAGTCACGTCTTTTATTGCCCCGTGCATCGCCACTGCTGCTTTTCATCGCGGACACATTTGTCCCGTATTTTCCTCCACAACTTTGTTGGTTGTGGAGATCTCCCTCCGTGAATCAGAGGCCGTCCGCCAAAGTCTCTCAGGAATGTGACCGAAGGCCGTCCAGGGTGAGATAAGGATTCAACAAATGGAACCCATAAGGTGCCCTGACTGATCTTCAAAATTGTTATTGATTGACTGGGTCCCATTAAGGGAGGGTCACGCTGTCTCCCCTACGTCGTCTGGTACTTTTCCATACATTCCTCTTGATTGTGGCAAACACAATTTTATGACAGTTACAAGGAACCGGGGAAAACCGTGTAACTACAAGTACCAACAAGAAGTACAAGTACCAAGAAGCTCAGTAACGTCTGTGAGCTACCTGGGCTATAGATCCACACTTAAAGGAGAAACACATGGCTGTGTTTGGCCTTCTCAGTTAACTCTCAGCAAGAAATCAAATAAGTGCAGTCCTCAAAACCTTCGCTGAATCAACAGTGAGAAAGGACGGTAGGCTCAATCAGAAACGTAAAGATGACACTTGGAGTTAATTAGGCAGCTTTAAAAGTGCCGGTATGCAATCATTTTTAACCTTTGGACAGACCCAGGCGGCCTTTTCCCCCATGCTTCTCATACGTACGCCAATTACATCGGAGGATTAGGAAAATAGTTTCCTCGGCTGAACAAAGGAAGGATTTTTTATGTCAGAGACACACGACTAAGGTCAAGGACTCGGACTGAGGTGGTTTACTTTTGTCACATGGGAAAGTTCAACAACCCGTCTGTCGGCACTTGACGGGCCGGTGATAATGAGACGCCTGTTTACAATTGTGATTAGAGCGGCTTAATGGAACAGGAGGGTTTCAAATACTTTTACGGTTTAAGTAAATTATAGTTCTTAGATAGAAAATCTGAAATCGGCAGGTCAGGGTTTGAAAAATGACGGCTTCACTCTCACAGTCCACTGACACGCAGCCATCAGGAGTCCGGTGTCTTGGCCGAGAACACTTCGACATGGAGCGGAGGAGGCGGTGAACTATCGCTGCAAAAAGGTTTAAATTTCAACTGTAGTTACCGTACTACTAGTACTAAGAGCGACTAACAATGAGTGCATTCAGGTGCATATGCAACCTCACAGTACAACGTGATCTCCAAAACCCGTAAAAATGTATCCGAAAATCTTGAACATACAAATTCGTAACAATACATAGGAACTGGCGGTGGTTAACCACGCCCCTTGAGTGAACAACATGGCGGACCATGTTGGATTCTTGAGTGAACGTCTCTCCGCCATGTTGGATTTTTTGAGGGGGTTGGGGTTAGTATTGTATTCTTACAAGTTAACATTGATTTCTCGTTAAAAATGCAATCATAACACGTTTATTTTACATCGTTAGACTTCACAAAGTGTGTTTACGGGGCGCAGGTCCCCGTTCACTTGGAATAGGGTGACGTCATTAGTTGCAGTCCGTATTTATTTAGTATGTATCACTACAAATTTGTATCTTCAAGATTTTCGTATACATTTTTACGAACAGGTTTTGGGGATTGTCTTGAAATCCTTCTGAAGGTTAATTCAGTGGTTTTATGTTATTTCGGCGCAATGAGACTGAAACCTCGTCTGAACTACTGCCGTGTCCTTTGGGAGCCATTAAGAGGGCAATTCCACTCGTATTCAAAGTGCACATTTGTTATTAATGCGTCCACATAATCACGCACCATTCCGCTGCAAGTCGAGCCGTTTCTAGCTTGAGGAAAGTTTGGTTTAATCAGGAAACATTTATTACCAAAATATGTCAGACATAGAAGGAACTTGACTTGGCGGTTGGTGCGTAACAGCAGACAGTTAAGTTCATCAGTATTGAGGGGGCCGTCTTGGGGCACTGGAGACACTTTTTTTTTTAAATGGGCTCACCGACGTTCCCCTCTTATGCAAATCAGCAGCTTTGCTGCTCCGCCTGAGCTGCTTCTTTGCTCCAGCGGGCTTTTCCACAAAAATGTTCAGTTCCACCGGAAAATGGAAAACGCCAACGAATGCAGCAGGATGTTCAGAAAGCCGAGAACATCAGACATGCTGGTCGTGACCTGCTTGTAGACACGGTGAAAATCAATGTCCACCAACATCAGAGGCTCCAGAGAAAGCGAGAGAGAGAGCGACTTTTGGTTCGACATTCCTTTTTATAAGCTGTTATCCTGTTTTTAAGTGGAAGAAACACCAGCACATGTTGGCAATAGCTGAAGCAGCACACATGCATGCGGACACACAAAACGCACACGCCTCCCACACAATGAAAGCGGCAGCAACGCAGCGGTGTTCGCTTGTTATTCCATCAGCAGGACTGACAGCAACCATCGAGCAAATCCCAAACACAAATACCGGAGCCAGCCTCCCCCACAGTGCAAACTACCCCCCCCAAGCCTGCAGACATTCATCTTTTTTTAAGCATCAATATCTTTTTTCAAGTGGTGACACAGAGGCTAAACCCAGAGGCGCTCTGAAGATGTTCCCCCGTAAACAGGCCGTCGAGTTTGCTGTCGGCCGAAGGGAAGATCTAACGAGCTACAGAAAAATATATGAGCGACGCTCTGCGGATTGAAACAGAAGCCTTTTGAAAGATGAAGGTGTAAATCAGACAGTCACACTAAGAGGAGTGAGAAAAAAAAACAAATCAATATGCAATATCCTTTCTTTAGCCTTTGCTTTAAATCGCAAGATAATTTCAGAAAAACCTTCACTGAACCTTGAAGGATTGTGGGCCATTTGTCCCACTGATTACACCCCCCCCCGGTTGCCCAGAGGAATCGAAGACATTCATTCCTTGAGAGAAAGAGATTGCGGTCCTATCGATTCAGCGAAACGTTACGGAAAATTAAAACAATTCAAAACAATAGAGTGAGAGATGAGCTCTAACAACACCGTTAAATGAGGGAGAAGCTTTTTATGGCGCCCGAGAGGCCACCTTCTGCTCTGAGGAGTGAAGCCAATGCAGCAGCGCTTTGAAGCTGCATTCTTTCAGTGGAAGGCTCCTATCGACGCCGATGAGAAAACGACCACGTAAAACCTCGTAAACAAGTTTGTGATCCCAAGCTCTAGTTTCAAGTCTTCCTCTATCCAGCTCGATGGTCATTTGGTAAATTGTGGTCCCATTTAGAGTCGAATGGACCGTAAAGCTGGGCGTGCTTTAGGGCGGGGGACCAGCTGCAGGTGCAGAACGGCAGTTAACATATCAATGGGAGATGTCATGGTGAAGGTCCACTTTTAGTCTATGACGGGTCCCCAGGTGAGTCTTTATAATTTGATAAATAATAAAAGCGTTTCTCTTGCCCAGTCTCAGCTTCTCTCCATTATGCTCAAATGTTTTAGTTTGTATCCTCCCAACCAAACATGTAATAAACGAGTCACCGAAAAACAGGTTGTTTTTTTTCACAGCTCTTTAGTAGTAAGTGGTTTAGAATTTACAATCTCTCTTAACTCCATCGCCCCCTCCACCCACACACTAAAATATAACTATACTTACAATTCCTAACTAATGCTGGACTTTGTGTGCATGATTCCAACGAGCTGATCCCGAGTCTTTTGGTAGCGTCCTCAGGAACTAGTACAGGTGTCTGTCACACGCCTGCAGGGAACTTGAGCAGGTTCCTACGTCTTAAAAGAACCAACAGAATGGCGTACTGGGCAAAGTAACTCATTTCAGGAACATTTCCCCTGCAATGTTCATGAAACCTGCATGTACACACTCGCTTTGGTAAGTGAGTTTGTCCAACTGTCCGTCTGCAGTTGGATTCAAGCAGAGACGAGAGATGACCAAAGGACAAAGACGTGTTTGCCTTTGACACAGTTCATATTTCACTTCAAAAGTAAATAGCAATTCTTCAGATTCATATTCATACATTTAAGAAGCCTCGCTCCAGTAGCTGTGACTGAATTGTACAGTGACAGTCGTGCGCTGAATGGAGAGAGGGAGGCAGAGGGAGGCGGGTGGAGGGTGGTGGTGGTGGGAGGGGGTCTGTGTGTGTGAAAGAGAGATAGAGAAGCAGAGACAGAGAGCTCCTCAGTTGCCTTAGCAGCGCAGCTTCATTCCCTCACAGTCCGGTGCTGTGCGCGTCGCGCTTTACTTCACTTCACCGGGTGTTCCCTTCTTCTTCTCCTCCTCCTCCTTCTTCTTCTTCTCCTTCTTCCCACGGTCAGCCTCGTTCTCCCGTCCCTGCGAGGTGGCGTCGGGGGCTGGTTATTTATCGAGATTAGTAAAAGTCCACTTTTGCCTCCCCTAAGTCTCCCCCACGCGAAGGAAAGGATGGCTCTGGCTCTGCGGGCGGCGAACGAGAGCGCGGCGGAGGTGGTGTCGGCGGGATGCGCCGAGCAGCGGAACCTCAGCGGGGAAGTCGGCGACTATAACATCAGCTGCCAGAACGTCTCCGTCCCCAGAGCAGCCAGAGTCAGAGGTAAGGGTTCTCCTCCTCCGGGCTGTCCCTCGTCAATCAAGCTGAGCTGTCAAACTGTAATGCAACAATAACCAAACTGTGTCTTATTTATTGTCAACATTATGTTAACAAATAATTGTTTTTTTCTTCTCATAGAAATCAAGTGCAAAAAAGAGCCACGCGCTTTCATTTCAAGATATGATAAGGCTTCTAAGTGCTAAGACTGATTGCCTGCTTAAAAATGTAATCAGCAGACAGTCCTTTCATCATGAAGGATTACATTTGCAACACAAAAAAAATAGCAAAAAAAATATTTTGTTCTCCCCCCGTGACAGATCCTGTTAAATTCCCCGACCCGTCTGTGCTGTAAGATAAAAGGAATAAAAGGGTTACGTTCAGGAGTTGTGTTTGAATCAAGTTTCTCAACCTCCTTTCGTGCAATCCATCACGCGCCGACCAATTATACTGGTGCATCAATACCGCCACAAATTGCGTGTGTGTGTGCGTGCGTGTGTGTGCAGTGCGAGAGGCTGTTTTAATCCTGAATGTTGTTTTTTCTTGTGTCTTTCAAACTGCTGAGTGCACACTGAGGAAGATAAGGCCCTTCGCCTGCTTCCAAGCGCCATGTGGGAAATAAGGGTCGATTACGGTATAAACATTGGGCAGAGTGATTTTTTCCTTTTCTTTCCCCCACGCCGCTGCAGCAATATTTAAAACCCCGCCCCACCCACCCGCCCACACTAAATTATTCACAATCTTTATGTGCAGCATTGCTTATTGAGCTTTTACAGCAGCGGCACAAACCCCAATAGTTAATATTTTTGGAGAAACATGGACACTTTCTTCTACTAAAAGACCCTTAAAAAAACCCTCAAACAGAACGCGACAGGTGACTCCTGCATTCTCTTCTTGAAAGCTCCAGGGGACAAACAGGCACTTCATAAAGACTGGCACGAGGCGAAGGCACTGAGGCCAGCGCATATAAAGGTCCGGACCAATAATTTGGTCATATTTGCATCCCGAAAGAAACGAGTCATCACTCAAACACATTCTTTCTTGCAGTTTCCCCCCCGAGGACGGCCTCATCTGGCGTGTCCCCGCCTGGTAATCACAGAGGAGAAGCTCCTTGTTACCTCCAGAGTTTACAGCCGGGACTTATCTGGTAACCTGGTATCTTATTCTGCTAGCTCTTAAATATAACGGCAATATGCAAACAACAAACCAAAACACGCGTGACGTCCTCCTGAAATGCCAATGCGTTATATCATGATAGACACAGACTGTGTTTGCTGCTGCGGCATTAAAACAAACAACCCAGCCGGAGCTTCGGGGCTTTGGGTGGGAATTTAAAAAAAAGAAGAGAGGGAGGCATGTTGGTGCAGAGAGGGCATGCAATGTGTGCACAGTAATAGCGGAGGGACGCCACAGGAGTTTTCTAATATCGCCGCCTGTTTCACCTCGTAGATTATCTCTGACCCCCCGAGCGTGTGCGCGCTGAGGCCGTCTGTCAAAGCGTGATCGTGGGAATGAGATCATATAATTGGAGACATCGGAGGGGTGATGTTGACGCAGACACAGCGCACACACACACACACACACACACACACACACACGTTTCCTCCCTCCTTCCTTCCTTATGGATTTAATAAAGCAAATCAATACAGTGTTATGGCTTTAATCCGTAATAATATCATCCGTTCACTCGAGTAAAAACAGTGGAGTTATCGCAGATCATGAGGGTGTGTGGTTGTGATGTCTGTGGAGTAGATCGCACAGACACTCAAGATGCCCTCAACTGTATAATAGTTGCAGCGCTGCAGTTTTATGAGGTAATTGATCACACTCGGGTCACGTGACTTGAGTTTCCATCGTGTCCAAGTCACGTGACTCCAGTCTGACTCCTGTCAAGTCATGTGACACCTGTGCAACTGCAAACAACTTTAAAGGTCCGGAAAATATACGAGCCGTAACTTGATTTGCACTGTACGGTGCTTGGAAACAGACGCGATGCCTCAACGCTTGCTTCGCTAACAAAGTGATTTATGGGAATTAAATAGCTACCGCCTCGATTGATTGATTGTTTAATTCCATAAAAGAAATTCCCCCGGGACACGCCTCCAGTAATATCCAGCGATGAGGTGCAAATGAGACCATATTGAGGCAAATTAGAGAACCCGGTTAATCAATTTTTAACACGTTTAGGGTCGGAGTATTTCATTTCCTTCAATTGGTACTGTAGTGGGGATTAGGACACCTGGGAAGACAGACTTCTCAATTAATCACATTATCAAGGATGGATGAAGTTTGCCTTTTTCAACTTTTGCGTCTAACCTCGTGTCGCCCTGTTTGGAGAGACAGCAGAGTGCAGGGGGCTTTAGTGGATCGGTCCTCCCCTCCCCCTGCTCGGGAGCGACTGCATTGCAGTATCGCTGCTAAATGCTCGACTTTAAACAAACATGAGCTCACACCTACCGCCACACCCCCGAGTTCCCCCACTCTGCTTTTTGACTTGAATATATTCTCTTTGGCATTTGACAATATGGTAATGAGGGCGGATATTGGCGGGACGAACGGCGTTAAACGACAAAGCGCGCATCCACCGAGGCCCTGGTGGGTAAATTCAAAATGTGCTGAGCTCGTTCGCTTGGAGCGCTACAAATGAGCTCCTTCCCCGTGCGTGGGTCAAGTCGTGGAAGGGTCGATTTTCTCCTCTCGTGGGACGGCTGGGGAAAAGACTAATCTAGTTTGGTTGTGCCGAGTGTCAAAGCAGCTCGCCTCATTAGAGCGACGGAATACGACACGGAGGCTTGGCGCTCGATTGCTTTCTTCAGTCGCTTCGCCACTTTTTAAAAAGATCCAGTAATGTGCGTTCAGGGCGCCTTGAAGAAGACCAATGGGTCATAAAGCTGGAGGGCCAGAAACCATAAGGTTTTAGTCCTAAAAGAGATCTTCCTCGATTGGGAGGGGGGGGGGGGGGGGGGCATTCACAAGTATGTCTGTGAGTATTTGCGCTGTTTACTTCTTCAGAATGAAAACGCTCCAAAAACACAACCATTCATGGTTAGAAGGAAACAGATGTTTACCCGTAATTATAAGCAGCTCCTTGTGCTGGGAAAGCACATCAGGAGGAAAAAAGAATTCAAATTTCAAAACACTCAAGGTTGATTTTATGGCTCTTTTCTTTTGGGATGAGTTGTTTGGTGGATGAAAATTGTAAAAGGGAAAAGTGCATGGACAAGTTTTGTATTTGTCAGCCAAATTTACAGAGTTGATTTATTTTTATTTACATCCTTACTTACTTTCCCAAGAGGCATTGCCTTAAGCAAATATAAAAAGGCAATAAAAGTGACTGTATTGAAGGTTTTATATGATCATCTCATCTTCACTTCACTTTACTGCCATTTCTCTGCTGTCACTGGGATATTATTTTGTCTGTGATTTGAGTAAATGCATGAGGCTACAGAAAACGTCAGCAGGTGATGGATTTGTTTGTCTTTTGACTCGAGGACCCCCCCCTCCCTCTTTCGCCTTCACAGAAAAATGTATTTGTCTCTCTGGCTTTCCAAAAGAGACTCTAATAAGAATAAAAATGTAATTTGACTATGTTTATTGCTTACGGAAAAATGTGAAACGGAATTGCGCTCCAGAAAATGTCATTAAGTTGGAGTGATTTCTGTAATAATCTGGCAGAATTCAGAATTCATATTCATATCTGTAATTCAAAGGGACTGTTTTTTTGTCCTTCGTGCAGCAAACAGAAAACTTGTGCTGAAATCATTGCTATAAGAAACACATTAATACAGGTTTGAAATGAAATTAAACGACTCCCACAGGATCAGGGCTCATCGTACGTCACTTCCAGAGGGGCTTTCCGCTCGCTTGTTATAATTAGGAGGAACCTCGGATCTGCATGGAGCCGATTGTCGTCATCTCACAGGGCCTCGGCTACGAAATGGCCCCTCGCGGCGAGGCCTTGATTAAAATGGGAGTTCGGAGTCGTGGCTTCTCGCTCGCAGCGCCTCCGAAGTTATAACTGTTTGTTATCACAATAACGTCAGGCCGCATGTCGTCGTGGAAACAACCGTTGTGCCGGCAAGTGGCAGTCGACTTTTCCTGGTGTTTGTTTCTCCCCTGAGGAGTAGATTGCTGACGGTCCATCGCCAATAAAAGACACGTAACTTCGCCCCCCAAGTCACGACTATAATGTTCCGCTTTGAAAATCTTTGAGTCCATTTTTTCGTATTCACATATAGGAACCGGAATGAATTGTCCCGGAGCCGTCGGGCTCAGGGGAGCCGCGCGTACCGCTCAATGAATTGATGATCCCGTCTTCACTTGGCTTGGTCGCTACCGATCTAAAACAGTAAAAGCGGGGCCCCCCCCCGCCGGCCGTGTTTGTGTTTCTCACAAGTGAGCGCCGCTTGAGCAGATCTCGTCAAAACTCGCTTTCCATTCACGCTGCGCCGATCCACGACGGAATAAACTGCTCTCTGAGTCGCCAGAGGATTTTCCAATCAAAGGAATAATTCATATTTGCGGCGCTGGGGTGACCAAGTCCCTCGCATGGCGGAGATGATTAAACATGCAACAGCGACTATGGGTTCAAATCCCTCAACTATTTTAGCCTTGCCGTGATTTTCTCTGCAGATTGTCCGACAAATGTGACTAGAAATTAGCTACAGTTACATTCCTCAACTTCTTTTATGATTTCAAAACAAATAGAAGGGAAATAGCGGATCAGATGATGTCTAGACCTTTGGCCTCCGCTCCAAAAATGGCACACCTATGAAAAAAAGTGGAATAACTCTGTAACTACTTTGTCTATCTGGAACCCCTGTGAGTGTATTCTGATGTGTCAAAATGTATTTACGTTACTGGTGAACTGCTAGGCTAAGCTAGCTGCTAGGCTACTTCCATTTCAACATCTAGCCTGCGCGGCACACCGTCTGCAGAGGACCACCTGTTCCCCAAGAGACAGTGGTTTTGGTAAACGCCCATCGGGTCCTGGCTGAATGTCGGTGGGAAGCGTTCATATGTTTGTTCATGATGAGCTCACAGACCAGGTTAGCACAGCGTACGGTTTTACTAGAGAAAGTGGGCTTTAGTCACACAGAGTCAACATCCCTATCGATGGGCCCGTGGTAGTTAGCTGGCTCATCGACAAACCGATGAGGATGCAAAAAAACACAAATTAGATGCAAACCCTTTATTGTAAAATTAATAAAATTGTAAAAGAATGTGCAAATTTGGATACTTTAAGAGTAAAGTGATGTCATATCCTTGCCTTCACCCGATGGAGTGATTATGTCCACTAGTTCACTCATTGTGTGAATATTTTTGGAAAAAAAGGAACAAATGCGTCAGGTTAGAATTATTGTGGGATCTGGCTTTTCCCCGTATCCCCGGCGCTCGGCTGTAGCGGCTGGACTCAGGACCTTTTCATTCTCTGTCTTGTGCGTCAGTTCTGCACGGGAAATGCTCTGCGTCGATCCGTTTTTTAAATCAATCATTTCCCATTTTTATTCAACACTAACAGAGAGAGATGTTGCCGACTCATATGCTGTTTTCAGTTTCATCTTGTTCTTGCAGTCGGAGTTACCAAGCTTTCGTCTTCTAAGCACACACAATGCGGTTTGTCTTTTTCTCCCGGTGATATTGAATCAAATTAGAATTTGGCTGACAGGGGGCATATTCACAATTTAAGATGTTGGTTTGCCAAGTTATTCTTTCTTGTGATAGACTTTGGTGTTATCTTAACGCGCCCGGATTCTCATTTCCCACGTGAACGTTCTCAATACAGCCTGTTCCCTGAGTGTACCCAGGCCATCTCTTGTCCTATTCATACGACGTCTCCTTATTTTGTCATTGCTCATGTGATTTCATGCTTCAGCGATGAAGGAATAAAAAGCACCGACATCTGCATGAGGATGAGAAAAAGGAAAAAGAACAAAGTTTGTTTTGGTGAATCCAGCATAAGCCTCTTCACAATCAGGAAATGTTATTTATTCACGTTCATCACAGTTGCCTGTTCAATGACACATTTTTGTTGTTGTCTCACGACACAGATTAGGTTGAAAATGTTTCATGTTTTATTTTTTTTTCCAGAGATGGACTCGTTCCGCATCCTGCTCTACTCCCTCATCTTCCTGCTAAGCGTCTTCGGCAACCTGCTCATCATCGTGGTGCTGGTGCTGAACAAGCGCATGCGGACCGTCACCAACTCCTTCCTGCTGTCGCTGGCGGTCAGCGACCTCATGATGGCTGTCTTCTGCATACCCTTCACCTTCATCCCCAACATCCTGGAGGACTTCATCTTTGGGGGCGCCATGTGCAAGACCGTCTCCTACTTCATGGGTGAGGATAGAGGGGCAAGTGTGGGGGCGGGGGGGGAGGCGGAAGGAGGTTGACTTTCCTGCCAAGAGCTTGCTGAATATGAAGGAAAGGACAGCAGTTGTTTGGGGGGGGGGCACTGGACAAGAGCTTTCGGAGGGGCTTCCTCTTTCCGCTTGTCAGAGCCGCCCGTCTTACAGGAGCGTGACGGAGTGATGAGCTGGCGATGAGCTGGCTCCTGGCGCGCCTCGAGGCAAGGTCCCGTGTAAGGTGCCTGAGTCACGTGGCGAGGTCCCCAGCCACCCAGTTCCCATATGGTCTTCTTTGTCCACAATCCTATTATCGCCACTCTAAGGAGAGGCCGGCCGAATCTCCTTTTCAATCACCGCCATTCAGCTCTCCTGAATGGCGGTGCGGCCTTTGACTGCAGAAATAACCCTTTTGTTCTGCGGCCACCTGGTCTGATATTTCCTACGTCCGTTCGTCTGTACAGTAAGACACTAAGGGTCAAGCTGACAAATAGCCGTGGTTAAATGATGAATCACTCGACCACCTGAACGGCTTTATGAAATTGGGATTAACGACCTGGACCTCCTTCTCTGCAGCTGAGACGGATGTTACTTCCTGAATGAAAGCACAACAACGTTTAGTTCTGCAACGGTGAACGTGGTAATTAGGAATTTCATCAGTCAAGGTTTGACTCATTGCCTCCAGAAGGATCGATGAGCCCCCGTGACCTAAAAAGGTCCAGTTAATCAATAGACATAAAATACAGGGCTGCGGAAGCTGGGTCTCGGGGGGGCGGTTGATGGAGCTTGTGAGCTAACCGCTAACAGCTGGTGAATGACCGTTGCTTGCCGAGCTTCTTCAGCGTGTTGTGTGCAATTACTTCTCAAGACATCATTCCTTTCAATTGAAAGTTACTGAAGGAGAAAAAAAAAAGTTCTTACAGCTGATTAGACAAGCAGGCGGCCAGTCCCAGGATCGCCTTTTGGAGCAGTTACGTGCTGGAATTTCCTCTGGAGGAGTCTTAACAATGATGCAGCTTCCTATGCGTTATTCTGCCTATAATTTTCCAGTCAGCGCTTTGCGAGTTTTTTTCTCATTCATCGTATCGTCGAGTATTATCCTTTTTACTTTGTAACACTGTTTGCAGCAAGCCAAGTGGTTCCGGGGCAACAATTCCGGCCTTTGCACCCTTGGTGGATTCCCCCCCGATGTGTACACTTCAAATAACAACAATAATAGTAAAAGGTGTTGTAGTGCAAAGGCCGCAGATCTGCACCTCAACCACAGCTCCTCCAATAAGCAATCACACCCCGACAAGAAGACTTGAAGTGCAAATCTGGCAAAATATCTTAGAACTGCTGGTTTAAAAAGTTTGGCAAAAGCACTCAAACACCCTCATCCATCTTAACCCTATAACCCCCAATCGGAGTCTCCTATGAGCAGGGCCCTCGATCATCCAAAACTGATCGATACTCCGGATCATTGAGATCCTCACCCATTGATCATGAGGCAAACTCATCCGCCCTTTGCACACTCATCTGTTAGCTCGCGCCAATGAGACACGCGATACGCCATCCGTCCTCCTGTCCACCCGCTGCCCCCCGTGCGTCCATCTGTTCGCTTGTCGCTCGATAGCCACGCGAGGCCGTCATGAGATCGATGTTGCACTAATCCGGGTGTAGGCAGCCTTCGATGCTGCCACGTGTACGCGTCCATGTTTGGCGTTGCCGGTGATGTTACCCTCCGTAACCCCTCCCCATTATGTCGTTTTTTTCCCGTAACATTTATTCCAATCGGGATTTTTTTTTAGCAATTTTCTGCAGAGAGAATTAGGTGTGAGCTGACAATGAACATATTTTCTGATGAAGGAATGCAAATCCTTTCCTCCTCGGGGGAAGGTGTGCACTTCAAATCAGATTCAGAGCTTCACGGCCCTCTGATTTTGAGTGTTCGCCCACAACTCGTATTTAATGAACAAGAAAAGGGGATTACAGCTCCCTCGCTCAGAAAACAGGATACGAAACAAGCTGCGGAGCGAAGGGAGGAAAAAAGTGGGAGCGTTTGGCCGCTTCCTCGGCTGGTAATTAACTGGGCTGCACCTGGTCCAGAATCTCCTCTCCTGCAACATCACACCCTCTCGATTCCGCTTTGATCCGAAGAAATCCTCCCGACTTCACGGACTTAGAGGCAATGACCGCGATTAATATTGAGGAGCCGACTGGGTTTTATTTGTTGATATTGGGGGACCACACGTGAAACATGATATACGCTGGTGTTCTAGATGCGCATACGGCATTAATATGAGATGAGCACTAAGCAGTTGCCGCAGTCCGTTTTATAGTTGCTAAGCATTTCCTATGTCATAACTCTTCCTGGACGGCTGGACAAATTGATCCATCAATGCTGCTGATGTCAAATCAGCAATTACTTGCTCAACCCCCCACATCCTCCTTTTGCCGGTAATAAAAACAGATGGTCGAGCGGACTGAAACGTTGAAAGGACAAAAAAAAGAAAAGCCCTCAGACAAGATGCGTCTTTGAGCGCTCTGCGTACCGTCAGCTGTGTCATCAATTGTTATTACCGGGGGGGTGTTGGCGCCATGCATCACCTGGAAGTCTACTTCCTTCCAGCGCGAATGTGCACAACCTCTCAGCGATCGGTCTTTATGAGTGTGCGGTGTGAGAGGTCAGTGGCTCTCCCCTCTGCGGGGTCTCATCCTCAACGCTTTGCCTGTGAATGCAAAGGATGAGCTGGTAATATCAAATGAAACACAATATATAATACCTGATGGTGGTTGGACTCACTTCTCTCTTCATAAAACCTTTTGTCTATAAATCCTGCTGCGTGTCGGTTTGATTTGTAGAGGACTTAACGAAAGTGCTCTTTAAGTGTTGTATTTTTCATTTCATTCTATTCGGTATTCGTATTGTTACTTTGAAAAGCAGTGTTTCACGCTTTCGACAATCAGCGTGAGCTGCCGCTGCGACGGGCATGACCGCCCTCGAGCGTCAACAAAAGACCCCCCTCCCGCGTGTGTGATTTGGTCGGTGCCTCGGCTTTGCACTTGAAAGAGAACTTGTGGGTGTGAGAGACTTATTGTGCGGTGGGGGGGGGTGTAAAGATCTGCATCGCTCGACAGTGCCACCCACCTTCTTCTGTTTAGCCCCCCAGCAGGAGGTGTTCACCGGGCGACTGTCAAAACGGGCCGTGAACGGACCGACAGCGACGGCTCTCTGACAGAAATAAAATGTGTAACGCTAGTTGTGTGTTGCAGCGGGAGCCAGTTATGGAGCCCCTTCCTGACTCTCTGAGCATGTGAACACGTTTTACGCACATCTTTCTGGTGGATAATTCATGCAGAGTTTGAGGAAACAGGACGTTAGACATGTTCCAATTACAACTTTTCACAAAAACATGATTATTATTTAACAGCGGTATACTCCTAACCCATTGTGGATGTGATATAAAACGCAGCTCAGGTTAAACCCTATGAAACAAACACATGCAAAGCTGAACCATATACGTCGACCGTTGCCATGGTACCCAATCAGTAATTAAGTGCATTGCTATTTTTAAAAATATATACACAAACAGGGGAAATTCTGACTGCCCGTGACATAAATGATGAGATGTGTAGAGTGTGTGTGTGTGTGTTTGCATGTCAGTGAGGCGCTGTCCAGGGTGCTGAGAACATAGACGGACAAACAGGTCTATCTATTTTTCATCATTATTGGACCTTTTTGTTCTTTATTTTGTCAACACGAAGTACATCATGAGTAAATAATGGTCGCCGGTGCGACCCAGGCCTCAAGCCAATAAACCCAGAAGGTTTTTTTGTTTGATGTTGTACACTGTCAGGTTTCATGTCGGTGTCCCAACAATCACAGAAAAATGACCCTGCTCTCGACAAGCCAAAATGCGTTTAATAATGCACGGCCCCTCCGACTGGCCCAGCATGAAAGGCCTTCCGACGTCTTTCTGAAATAATGGTGTTCCCTTTGTTCCTGAGTAGCACAACCAGTCAGCTCCTTTGTTCTGTCACAGGCAGAACGACTATCCGACTGCGCATCAGACCCCCACAACCAAACGTCTCTTCACATCTCTGCGGTTACCTTTTAGCTTAACAGAGCTGATCACGATAGAATGGATCGTATTTTAGTGGCTGTCGGAAGACACAATGGAAACAGTCCAACACTCACGATACCCACAGCAATGTGGTTCCTGATGGCGGCATAATATAGACTTCCTCCCTGGAATGATAACAGCACACTGCGGCTTAGTCAGGACGCTCTCCTCCGTGGCGGGGATTAAAATGTTGTTGCTTCTCGTAGTGACAAGAGGATCAGCGTGGTGAATAGATTCCCGGAGGGGGGAAGGAGGGGGCCCGCCTGTGACAGGCAGGCAGGGGTCCTCAATGCTTGTTACAGCAACCTGTCTCACCCTCGGATCGCAGGAGATATGCACATGCTTAGCTCGCGCTCGTCCCAGAAGGAGTTAGACTTGTGTCACAGATATACAGTTGTGTGAAAAAGTGTTTGCCCCCAGTCTTGATTTCTTATTTTTGTTGCATGTTTGACACACTTAAATGTTTCAGATCATCAAACAAATTTAACAAGTAAACACAAAATTCAGTTTTTAAATTAAGGGGAGAAGAAAATTGAAACAAATGAGAAACAAAGTAATTGAGATCCTTCAGTCTGGAAAAGGTTACAAAGCCATTTCTAAAGCTTTGGGACTCCAGCAACCACAGTGAGCCATTATCCACAAATGGCAAAAACAGTGAACCTTCCTAGGAGCGGTTGGCCGGCCAAAATTACCCCAAGAGTGCAGCGACGACTCATCCAAGAGGTCACACAAGCCCACAGAACAACATCCAAAGAAATGCAGGCCTCACTTGCCGCAATTAAGGTCAGTGTTTATGACTTCACCATGAGAAAGAGACGTGGCACAAATGGCCTGCGTGGCAGAGTTCCAAGACGAAAACCACTGCTGAGCAAAAAGAACATAAAGGCTCGTCTCACTTTCCCCAAAAAACATCTTGATGATCCCCAAGACTTTTGGGAAAATACTTTGTGGACTGACGAGACAAGTTGAACTTTTTGGAAGGTGTATGTGCCATTGGATCTGGCGTAAAAGTAACAGCATTTTAGAAAAGGAACATCATACCAACAGTAAAATATGGTGGTGGTAGTCTGATGGTCTGGGGCTGTTTTGCTGCTTCAGGACCTGGCAGACTTGCTGTGGTAAATGGAACCATGAATTCTGCTGTCTACCAAAAATCCTGAAGGAGAATGTCCGGCCATGTGTTCGTGACCTCAAGCTGTAGCGCAATTGGGTTCTGCAGCAGGACAATGATCCAAAACACCGCAGCAAGTCCATCTCTGAATGGCTTAAGAAAAACAAAATGAAGACTTTGGAGTGCCCTAGTCAAAGTCCCGACCTGAATCCGATTGAGATGCTGTGGCATGACCTTAAAAAGGCGGTTCATGCTTGAAAACCCTCCAATGTGGCTGAATTACAACAATTCTGCAAAGATGAGTGAGCCAAAATTCCCCCACAGCGCTGTAAAAAACTCAGTTATCGCAAACGCTTGATCGCAGTTGTTGCTGATAAGGACGGCCCAACCAGTTATTACGTTTAGGAGGGAATAACTTTTTCACACAGGGCCATGTAGGTTTGTGGTTACTTGCGTTATATTTGTCTAATATTTAAATTTGTTTAATGATCAGAAACATTTAAGTGTGACAAAATAAGAAATCAGGAAGGGGGCAAACATTTTCACACAACTGTACACTATGAACAGAAATGTTATCCAGCACACTGAGAGCTTCTTGTATTGTGAGGCTTTCTTTACTTATCAACCTTTCGAGCGCTGACCTGTAATCGGCTAGTGGCCTGTTTCTTTACCCAAATTTTATTATAATACATGATAATCCATTAATCAATGTTTAAACTGGGTGAATGTTTCAGTAGCTAATCAACTATTAGATTTGCGATTTTATGATGGTTATTGGTGAAGATTACAGTGGTGGTGCAGATGCACCGATGTGTTGAAAGGTGCTCTTTACACGATTTGGAGCTTTTCTATTTCCTCTCAAAATGGCGACTAATGGTACTAAAAGCGCAAACAAAATTGCTGACAAAGCTATACAGTGTTTACTTGAGGGGGGAACCGGGCTGTGTGTGCAGATATGGCTCTTCCAGTCTTTATGCTTAGACATTCGCCACACGGCTGCAGCTTTGTAGACGGGAAAGCACTATTGATCTTCTCATCCAGCTCTGCAAGAAAGCAAACAAGCATCTTGCCCGGTGACTAGAGTTTTCTCGTGGTCCTTTTAAAAAAAATCGTATTCTCTCCTGCAGGGATCTCCGTCAGCATCTCCACCTTCAGCCTCGTGGCGATCGCCATCGAGCGGTACAGCGCCATCTGTAATCCGCTGAAGTCTCGCGCGTGGCAGACTCGGTCCCACGCCTACCGCGTCATCGCCGCCACCTGGCTGGTGTCGCTGCTCCTCATGGTGCCGTACCCGGTGTTCAGCCTGCTCAAGTCCTTCCCCAAGGCCAACGGCACCGTCACCCACACGTGCCGCATGGACTGGCCCAGCGGGCAAGCGGAGCAGACCTGGTGAGTACTGGTGGGTCGCTGGCCCAGGGGATGCATGTTGAAATACCACAAAAGGCGTGCGCGGGCAATAATTTGTTGGGCGGGCCTTGGTGACGACGGATCCAGAGATGAATAGATGGAGTCACTTGGTGAACTGAATAAAATCTGCATGGCTTCGTGTTCCAGTGTTGCGGCGACGCTCTGATTTACATGCGATATAATTGTGTAATCTATATGCATTATGGAGCAGAAAGTCGCTTTCAGCTCTCTGAGACCGTGCAATCGAATCACCTCCGCTGATTGCTGGTGGTTGGAAAATGTGCATGCTGATTTGGTCGTTATGGTAATCTAGCCTTACATTTCATACGCGGAAGGCGTGAAGGCTTCCAGTGTTCTCTTTGCAGTAAATAAAAAAGAAATGGTGTCTGCAATATTGTAGTCTTTAGTTGTGTTGTGGATCCACTTGCTTCCAGACGCTTCATGAAAAGCAGTTCAAACTTAACAAAAAGTACACGATTTGGTGCTTTGTTGCTAAAAAAAAAAAGCAGCCCAAGCTCATCAATACGCTGCCGAGGAAATGAAGACGTGTTAAAGCCGCCACAGGACGCTCGTGGTCGTCCATCGATTGGTCCGCAGACAGCTTCCGGTCCCGCAGCACGGCGCCGTTAAAATTAAGAAGGAGAAGCCGAACATGGCAGAGGTCTCCCTACCTTGACAGCGCTTTGTGGTTGAAAGCGCTTCTTCTCGTCCCGTCTGTCAAACCGTAAAGCTTCTCAGGGAAAAGACGCGGCAGTGGGAGAACAGTTAATTAGTCTGCTCGGTGAGGAGGAGGAGGAGGAGGGAGGAGGGAGGAAGAGGGTCGAGGGGCTCTGATGTCAAAAGTCCAGACGTGTCACTAAGTACGCAGACCGTTCAAGTTTTAATTTGCGGCTTGGCCTTCGCCCCGTCGGGACGTTGTTTGAAAAGTACACCAGGGTTAGAGGGTTCAGACTCCGACTGAAAGCAGATATCACCTTTTCCCGTCTTCTCACCTTTCATTCTAGCGCCTAACGAAGCGGCGCAGAGAGTGAATGAAGTTTCAATCTTTTTAGTCTGAGCGGATGAGCCAATCGGTTTCCAAACAACTTAAAGAGGCATGAGCCGGTTTGTGAACTGATCCTGTCAAGTCAAAGACTAAAAGGTAATTTTTGATAATTGTAATTATTATTTTGCTTGGTGGGCGTTTTATGCGCAGACAAGTCTAAATTTAAAAAAAAAGTTACCGACAGAGAATTATTCATTAAAGTAAATTATCAAAACCATTTTAACAGACCAGAAGATGTTTTGCATTATAGACAAACCTGATTATCTGCACGAGTCTAACAAAGATGTGAGTGGAGGATGTGGAGTGGAGAAAATAAACAGGAATAGGGATGCTCTAAAACGGTTTTCCTCTAACACTAAAACACAGAAACAGAAATTGTAGAGGGAATAATAACCTCTCTAGTAAGAGAACATCACAAAACCAGTAAGGTCGGCCTCTGTGGCGCCGGCGTGTCAGGAGCTCACTAAAGTCAGTAGGGTTCATCCTTTGAGGGCCATGAATGCCGGTGCAAAACGAACTCGCAACCCATGTAATTGCTGGATAATCTGGACTGACTGACATTGGGAAACTCTACTTGTGGCTTTGCAGGAATCTGCAAAAGTAGACAATGATCTAAACGCCACATGGAGTCTTGGTCGGGTTTTGGAGCACAAAAGATGTAACACGTGCATGTGGTTTTCCCGAGATAAGGAGCACAAATTACGCGCAGCTTTCCTGGATGTTAACCGTGTAGCTTTCCGGTGACGTTTGATCTGTCCACAAGGACGCTACATTTATTCATCGTACCGCCCATCCGGGTTTCGCTCTCGAGGCAAAACAAGCACAGATACCACCAGATTTATGATTTTCTTTTTTCTGTAGTGTTTCCCGACACCGACATTGTCACTTGTCACCGACAGATTTTCCAAAGTATCGAACAGCCAGCTGATGAGAGGCGGAGAAACCTTCTTTTCTCTTTTAAAATGAGAGCTTTTAAATGAGAGTGGCCACGCAGCGCTCAGACTGCTGCCTGGGAAGACATTAGAATATCAGAGAGCGAATGAGACTTCCTCCGTGCCGTCACTTTCATGTGCTGACTGATGTGCGCCGCGTGGCGAGGAAGGTTATCCTGGGATCGCGACCAATCAAAAGGGAGACGTGTCCACAGACGATAAAGATTCATTGCAATCAAAGTGACACCTGCAGTTACTTTATCTCGTTTATTCATGGGTTGCCCTTTCTAGTTTCACTTGTGAAAAGGGTTTGAATCATTTGATCTTTTTATAGTTTATTTCTATAAACCCCAACTCATTCATCATACTTAACTGCACATTTGAACAAAGCAGAACTGTGTTGCAGGTCTTTTAATGTTGTACATCGTTGATAAATGACACATTTCCCCTCAGAATTCTTTACAATTTACTCAGTTCACTGCTTTTCCTTTGAGGTGTCATCTATCCGTGCACGTCAAGAGAGCGACGATCATCATTCTTTTGTGCCACAAAAGCTGAAGCTTATGATTATAATACCGGGTACACAGCGTCTGAGAAAATGACTCCAATTCTCTCTTGATTTATTCTCCCCATAATCATTGTGAAGATGAGTTCGTGGTCTCCATCGCTAGTTTCAACTTTTTCAATGAATGGTTGATTTAAAACAGAATATACAGCAGGGAATGCTGTAGAGCCGGGCTAGGTTGTGACCGGCAGGCCGCTACAATGATATTGTTTCACCAAAGTGAATTTTAACATTTTGGTCACCTAAAAGCGTCCCTTTCAACATTCAGTTGTACTTGGCTTCGCCCTCTCCTGTCAAAATAAAGGAAGATGCAGGCAGCCAAAAAAGCCAGACGCAAGGTTTCAAAATGTCCACAAACACAGTGCCGTATAGCCACGTGTACGGTCCATAGCACGACGCTACTGTGCACACTGTCAATACGTCAAGACAGTTTGACTAGGTCCTGAAATATGAACCACCTGCAGAGCCTCCAGCACAACACAAGAGTGGAGGTGTATGGAGAAAAGGGGAAAGCAAGCAATATCTTCACGATCCCTCTCTCTTTACTAACCAGCATCGTGCGACTCCTCTGGTTGCAAAAAGAAAGCCAGGTTGTATGAAAGTGTATGAAAATATGATTAATCCTCACTTGATTTATTACCTCGGTAAACATGAGTTCATGGTCTCAAGGTCTATAAAAGCGGTACGCTTTAGAGTGATTGGTGCACATAAAATATGTGCACTTTATTTATTATTACGTGCATTATTAACTATTTGCCACCATATCATGGTACCCTGTGTTATACTTCTTTTGCCTTCAGCTATAAAATGTGATGTGCTCGGTTGGTTCTGAGCACTGACTGAACTCCTTCTCCCTCTCTGGTGTTTTGTTTCCACTCTGGCTGTTTTTCAGGTATGTGCTGCTGCTGTTCACTCTGTTCTTCATCCCGGGAGTGGTGATGATTGTAGCCTACGGTCTGATCTCCAGAGAGCTCTTCCGAGGCATGCAGTTTGAGCTGGGCCAGAGCAGAGAGACCACCGGTGAGATCCGCCACAAATCCACTCCAAACTGCAACACACTAACTTCCCCCCCCCCGTATTTTTAACAGCACGGATGAAAAACAATCCATCATACTTTTTACAGACTGGTGTGTGGAATGCGTGAGAAAGAGGCTGCAGCGGGATTTCTAAAAAGCCCGGTCGAACAGAGCGACAGCCAGTGACGGCAGCTTGAGGGCAGATGGAGGGTAGAAGAGTGGACCACGGAGGGAGATTTGTTTGTGTCGCCTCAAGCAGAGGATGACATATTTCGTCGCTACCTGCACCTGTCGCGTGCAGAAACAGACGTACACACGCGCGGTATAGCTGTTACAGAACAAACAGAAAAACAATCTCGCCGTGCTCCTTATAGGTGAAGAATAGCGGCTGCCGTTACCGTGAGCATGAGACGCTCCTGTTTCCATGCAGTCTTGTGTGTGACTCTTCTGCAATCACCCCTCCATCCTTTAGTGCCTTTACAGCAGTAAACCTTCTGATCCCGCCCCCCTTTCCCTCCCGCAGGCCAGAAGAACGGCGTGGGACGGGCCGCCGCGGGGTCCAGTAACGACGACGACGACGGCTGCTACATCCAGGTGTCCAGAAGCCCCCCACGCCGTGGAGCTGCCCACCCTCTCGGCCGCGTCCAGCGCCGCCCGGGCCAAGGCCGAGCGCGCCCGCAGCAACACCTCGGAGGCCAAGCTGCAGGCCAAGAAGCGGGTCATCCGCATGCTGATGGTCATCGTGGCGCTCTTCTTCGTCTGCTGGATGCCGCTGTACTCGGCCAACACGTGGAAGGCCTTCGACCCGAAGTCGGCCTACGCGGCGCTGTCCGGAGCGCCCATCTCCTTCATCCACCTGCTGTCCTACACCTCGGCGTGCGTCAACCCCATCATCTACTGCTTCATGAACTTGCGCTTCCGCAAAGCCCTGCTGTCCACCTTCGCCTGCTGCTGCCGCGGCCGCCTCTGCCGCTGGTGGTGCCAGAGGAAGGAGGGGGGCGGCGAGGACGGCATCGGCGCCACGTCCATGGCCACTTCCATGGCCACGTCCATGTCCAAGTTCAGCTACACCACCGTCAGCACCGCCGGCACCTGCTAGGCTCCGGGCGGAGCAGCCGCTTTTTTATTTCAAGCTTCGGTTTTTCACTCTCATTTTAGCTTTTATGCTATTCACGTACCACGTAATGTTCCTGCCCTCGTTCCTTAAAATCCTGTGTGCATGATTGCAGAATGGGAGGCGGGTTCGGTGGACATCAAGTGCCTGTGCTCTTCGTGTGGGTTTGTTTGTTCTCTGGCCGAGAGAAATTTCATTCATATAATAGGGAGAAATACCTTTATGTTCTTACCGGCCAAAAAGGTTCTGATAGAGACATACTGAGAGAGACAATGAGGACGGATTACATCAGTGAAGGATTGGAGCTCCTTGTGTTTAGCGTGGTTTTATCTTCACTCATCCAGGGCGTCTTTCTCAGTTGGAAGAATGAAGGCTACACGTGGCAACGTTAATATGATATTGTTGAGTTCCCGATAACTGCAGGAAGTCTTTCTATTGACACCAAAAAGTACTGACGGGAACCGTTGGGGTGAGGGACAACATGCTTAGCTCTGACTTAATGTTTCACTCTTTTTGAGTTACGTTTCATCATTTCCTGATATTCCTGCATATTTAGCACCAAAAATGGCGCTCTGTGATTCAGGCAGACGCAGGCGTTAACATCGGGACGAGATGAAGTGCAGTCAGTCTCCGTTAGAGGCTGATTGCAGCTGCTGGTTGCTCTCCACAAAAGTGCTTCAGTCAAACACACCTTTTCTGCTCAATTATCTCTGTGGCGTCTTTGATTTTCCTCTTTCTCTCTCAAGCAGCTGCAGTGCGCCGCAATTACTCTGAGAAGTACCTGAGCACAAAGACCCTCACTTTCTCAGGCTCAGACTAACGAGGTGTTCCCGGGGAACCCGCTCGTGGCTTTTGCCCGTAGAGCCGCTGACAGATTATCCGAGAGCACTTCATTGTCATTTATTAATGACAACGATGATCTGGAGTTAAATAGCATCCTTCTACTCTCCGGATTGTGACCGACGTTCGCTACGATGAAGTACAGAGGGATCGTAAGAAAAGATGAAATTAGGGTAAGAATGGACTAGTGAACAGAATTATGTAATTCTGCTTATATATTATATTAAGACACATATATTTATGATAATAAAAACATTATAAGTGTATCATATTTAAATGTAATGTTATGAATAGTATCTCAAATAAGCGTATTAGGGTTTATACAACATTTACATAGACATTTTGTGCTGGTGCCCTTGGGTTTGGGTTTAAATTCCATGTTTTGGATTTAGACACCAAATCTTGTCAAAACTGGATTTTCAATACAGCCTCTAAATGAGGGACATGATGCATTTTCACTTGAAGATCGCAGACAGACAAGAATTCATTTGATTATGCGAGAACATTGATGCCACTCGCATGCGCTAAATGTGAAGCTTGTGTTAGCTTAGCATAAAGACCTGTATCTCGTTCACTTAAATTAAGCATTTGTGAGAGTGAACATTGAAATCATGATTAGCTAATTCACTGAAATGCTTCTAACGAGCGACAAGCCGGCTAACCAAGCTAGCAGTATAGCAGGACAGTCCTCTCTGGCTGAAGATAACCGGCCGTTTGTTAGTGTTGCCCCAGAAGTAGCGAGCTTTTTACTGAAACTTTACAAAAAAAATCTAATTGATGACAATGAGATGAAGCCGGATAAATGCACAAATCTCCCTTCAAATGTTTGTTGCCTCACACAACATTTAGAAGGGTGAGAGAGTTAAATTGGACCTGTTAGATTCATGATCTAGCGGTAAGTAGCATTGATTTCCCGATGTGGAAATGATCCATGACACTGTTCATGAACTCAGTCAATTTGGCCGGTGGGACGCTTTTGTCCTGCAAGCGGTGACATGTCAACAGCTTCGTGCAGTCATTTCCTCCACCACTTTCAAGTTTCCTCTTTCCACGTCTCTGCAGCCACCGACACTCCACCCGCCCCCCACCGCTCACCTCGTTTTTATCTTGCTTTTCCAGCGCAGAGGAGCATGAATACATGAATGGCAATAGAGTGGGGGTGACAGCTGAGATTTGCCGGCACAAGCGGCGATCCTGAGAGAGGTTTACAAAGCGGTGGCAAGTGGGCGGGTTTGCTTTGACAGACAGACTGACAATTGGCACTCACACTCCCGGAAACACATCGTCTGGCGGTCGCCACTGCAGTACGTTTTTGTAATTAAGCCAGAACGGCGAGTGATTTCCATAACTTTGCCGCCATGCGGTGCGCAGCAGAACCTGCCGGTTTTAGTACGGATTTATTTCCCCCTTCCACTTAAATTTGTATTTATTTGCATGTTTTGTTGCGTCACACGTCTGGAGGTTCATGAACTGCAAACAGTTAAAAGTATGTTAAACCTTCGTTAGTTAGTAATAATGACGGTAAGCCTCTTAAAGCGGGTATTAAATCACGTCCTGTAGCTTTACAATCACCGCTTAATGATTGTGCATTATGAATAGACAGGGTAAATAGTCGCTACGGTAAAAAGGGATCTTCATTGAATCAGTTTCTTCACCTGACCAGGCCAGCAAGTTCAGGTATGCATTATTAAAATTAGCATCCTCAGTCTCTTTTTTTCATATTTGTACTTTTAAAGTCAAGCTAGTTGCGAGTGCAATATATTTCGTCACTGCGAGATATGCTAATGAGTAAGAAACGGAACCCAGTTCTGTGGTAAAGTTAGACGTCATGTCTACACACTAAATATGAAGCTACAGCCGACGGGCAGTTAGCTTAGCATAGAATAGCTTAGCATAGAATAGGAAGGCTGGGAAAAAACAGCTAGCCTGGCTCTTTCCAAAGCATCTCTCAATTAACAAAAGAAAATTTGGAAAAAATGTAATTGGAAAAATGTGTAGTTTATAGAGAGACGTAGGCAAATATATTTAAAAAAATCTTTTAACTGTCAAAATAACTGGATCCTGCCTCCTATGGTCAAGCTGAGCTAACAAGCTGCAGATGTAAACAATGAGAGTCGTTCACTACAAAAAGCAGTAGTATTGCTTTTTAATGTGTACACACACACACACACACACACACACACACACACACACACACACACACACACACACACACACACACACACACACACACATTCTGCATATAAATGTTTTCCTTGAAATTGTGCGTTCGAACAGGTAACCGGGCATGACTAATAGATGTAAATAGCAAGACTTTCATCCAGGTATGAAAGCAGAGGCCAGATGTGATGTGACCTTTGAACTTAACTTCTGATATTTTGATTATTTTTGTTGAAACTAAACGGTTTTGTCGACTAAATCCTGCGTGCTAGGGAATGGCTTTAACTTCATAATGAGGAGTTTATCGGTATCAATGTTCTTGTCTAACTCTCAAGAAAGAGGATAATTATTCCTTTAAGTGTCACCACTACAAGCCTCAACTCAGTGAATGTCTCCTGAAGAATGGATTTTCACCGGGACAAAAAAAAGTTTACAGACTCCTTACCCCAAAAAAAAACAACGGGTACAAATGTGCCTGCAGGGGTGAGAAATCGAATTCTTACCCGTCTCCCAGAACAGAAGCTGATGCAAATTAAAACTGAAACGAGACTGAGACATGGGACCGCGCGCACGGACGGTTCTGCTCTTATCAACGCCTCCCTCCAACAAGAATCCCATCAGGCGCTCCGGTCGGCACAGAAGGAGAGAAGAAAAATAAACAAAACCTCTTCAGTTCCGCAGACGACGCTTGACCCTCTCGGGACGAGAGAAAGGCAGCGACAGCACAAAATATAGACCGCGCTGTCATATTTTATAGGCGTCAGCAACCCTCTTTGTATATGTGATGATTCCTGGGGAATGTAATTTGTGCTCTTTGAGCGGCTCATTAGGATTTTTGCTTTTACTTAACCTTTAATTTGGAGAATTTTTTGCGAGGGGGGGGGATTTAACTGCAGCTGAAGGGATTACGCGCTTTGGAGGAATCTCTCTTTTTTAGTTCCTCAAGATTCTGAATCATTGCCTGCTCGGCAGCAAACACTAACAAAAGCTCATAAGTAAAGTTGTACCGCAATTATTCATAACGGCTTCCTGGGGGGAGAGTTCGTAATTTTGCTCTTTGGTAGAATAAGTCATAATTGCAAGGATACCTTTTCTCACCTAAGGGTCGGAAAGAAATATTGTGTTTTGTTTTGGCCCCCAGCTCCGTGCAGATGAGCAACGTGCTTAACGGGAAAGGTCTGGCGCGTTTCGTCCCCTCGTTCGTGTCGGTTCGTGAAAAAAGGCTTTTCTCTCCTCCTTCTCAAACGCCTCGCTCCTTCCCACTTCGTTGTAGGTGTCGACGTGGAAGTGGAGTGAGTAAACAACCAGAGAAACGCTGAGGCGAGATGATGAAATGTTATATTCAGCTCTTAATCGATGGAGGTCCCTCCCTCATGGAGGGGGGCGGTAGCCGTGTCCGCTCGCGTGTCCATTCACTCCATGTTTACCGAAGTTTTAAGAGCCTGCCAGATTAATATTAGCTGCATTTTCTTTTGCGTGTGTTGACTTTATCGCCACATCCGGTGCCGCCTCGTGCTGCAGTGTGAAACGTGTAACTTGTCCCGTCAGCCGAAACGGGAGCTTGCGCCTGAGCGGGTTCCCCAATGTGAGGTTATCGATGTTTGTGATGTTTGACTTTCAATGTATCTTGATGATGTTCATGTTCCCGTCATGGTTGCTGGTGTTTTCATGCCAAATGTTCATTATTTATTTAACAAAGAATAAACATTAGGAGAAAAGGAAAAAAACTGGATTACTTGTTGATGTTTGTGTGATTATATCAATAAAAAGATTTTTGGTATAAACTCTGCCAGATGGTGTTTTCCGGCTCGCGAGCTACTTTTCAACTAACCAGGTCATGACGGGACCGACCATAGTAGCGGTGATGCGCTCCAACAGCGAGTCGATATGAAGAAAACAACGAGCCTCTCATCTGTCAGCAGGAGGAAACAGTCACAAGCGTCCCGCACGTTCTTGGTCATTACCTTACTGGAGTCAGCCTGGGTCACTTTGGAATGAAATTAAATGCGTCCGTTAGTAAGTAACGATCGCTAATTAGCATTAGCATTAGTTTCGGTCATCTCCCGCGGGAGACCGTGCAGCGTGACGTCACGATCGATCGGCGCTCCCTTTGTAAACAACTGGTCAATGGCGATCGATGTATTGAGCACCCCTGATATATATGGTTTCTGCCTTTTGGAAAACATCACAAAAAAACAGGTGAATTACTAAATAAACAATAGCATGTCAGCATCCACACAGAATACTTAAATTAAAGTCTTAGTGGGGGGGGGAGAAGGCCGTGAATGCCGATGGAGTCATCGCCACATTGCGTGGGAAGCAGGAGGAGGAGTTTCCGGGAAACAAAAAGGACTTTAATAGTCATCAACTCCAACACAAAATGGCCAAGGGGCAAAAACGCATACAAGTACCAGGGGGGAAAAAGGCAGGCAGGAACCAGAGACATCCAGGACGAAAGACAATGACGCGACGAGAGACACACACGGCTTAAATACACTAGGGAGGTGCAGGTGATTGGACACAGGTGGAAACAATCAGACCATCACAGGGGACGACAGGACAAGGCAGGAAGTGAAGTTACCCAGGGAGACAAGAGGCAGAAAACTACACAATAAGACAGGAAATAAAACCACACCGTGACACACATCAACGCTCACACAACTTTAATCGGTCATCTTGTTCCAAAGAAAAACCCAAAGCTGTGAAAATGCCTTTTCCCTTTCAAGACATCCTTCAGAGACGTGGATCTTGACTCGTGTGAAAACAGAAGCCTTTTTCTTTTAATTTCTCGGGCGCTTGCAGAAGCCCACGAGGCGGTTTAAATATTTTACAGAGTCGGAGTGCGTGGTGAAACATGCCATGTTCTCTGAATATTAATGACACCGGTGCTGTTGTAATGGATATCAGTTATATGCTGCTCTGATTTACTTTACTGTTTTTGGTATTAATTAGTTGGTGATTTTGAAACCTCCACCTACTGACAATGGTTTTAAAGCTGCTATATTGAATAGTTACATATTAATGATGTGGGATGTGAAAGAGGTTGCTCGTTTAGACAATCCCACAGAGAACCATCGCGGTTCTGTCGGTCCTTCCCCTCAGCCACATTCACAGTTTGAGCATCTTTTACGGTTTCGGTTTTACTGCACGCATCTTCACTATTTAAGTTGGCTTTCATCCTTCTCATTTTCAGCGTAAATGAACCCTGTAATGAAGCAAAATCGCTTGGTGCCAGTTTCACTTAATAATCAAAAAAGGAAGCTGCAGTTGGCAACATGGAAACCCTTTTCCTCTCGCTCATTTTAACATGTTTCTTGATTTCAAAATAAGAGCGACAATTTGACCGACGCAAGAGAATGCGAGATTGTATAAATCCGAAAATGACTTCTTTCTCTCTTCATTTATTTCCTTAGTAAACATCGTAAAGATTATTATCATTGGCTCAATGGCTCTACTTTTGGTAAAATATCAAACTGCAGTCAATTGATGACCACTTTCTTTCCAAGACGACCAAAATGGCTCAATCGCTGTCCACTGGGTTTTATACAGTCTATGGTAATTTTGCAGAAACAAAACTTTTAACTTCATCTGTATACCCAAGATGGACCACGGACGTATGAAGAGAACCGTATACACGTTCATTCTAATAGAATAGCCACTCGATGGCACATGGGATACAACCACTTGGAGCACATTTGCCTCGGGCCTCCCAGCTGCTCGGTCTCAGGCTTATTCACACAAAAGGCAGCTCTTAGTGCATTTTCACAACTTTTGGGACCCGAGAAGTCTCTCTTCTGGGAAATTAACTTACCAAAAAAAATACGTCAAAATGATGAACACACATCCCACCTGTGGCGCATTCCGAACAGGTTTCTGGTGTTCCTCGCCCTGGAAGAGGGCAGGTGCCCCCGCTCCACTATACTGTGAAGTCATCAGTAATCCTAGCCGGCGACAGGTTGCCGTCCTCCTGCGAGCTGCAGGTGCCCCCGCGCTGCGCCGAGCACGCTATTACCCCGCCATTTGTCAAAGCTGCCTTCTACCGCAGGGCTCAGTAATGAAAGGCAACAGTGCAGCGTCAGGGGGACGGACACGACTTCTCTGTTGTAACCCCTCCACAGCAAAGCACCACGGACAGCTCATTTATCTTCTTTCCAACCCAAGATGTTCCTAAAAGCATTTATACCCATCTCCCGTCCCGCTGTGTAAAACTGGCTTTTGTTCCGTTACATAGTCATGACCCCGCGGTTAAAAGCTATGGTATGACCTTCTGCTTTTATGTCTGAGGGTCTGTAGAAAAGTACACGGTTTCACAGAGTAGCCAGAACACACCCCCCCCCCCCCGTGTGCCAACAGCTGGAGGGGATTTCAAATAGATATCCCGGATTGTACAATAAATGCATGTGTTGGTACCGACGCTGCGGCATAGCTGAATCAGCGCTGCACTAAAGTAATGGTTCCCGGTTGCGAAGCCCCTGCCGCGGTTACACAGAGAGCACTTTTGTTGCGAGTTATGAAAAGCTTGAGGCCCCGCATTAATATTTTCACACACACACACCACACTTTGTGGAAGGGTGGTCTACAGCGCACTGGCGCCCAGGGAGGCTCATTCACATATTATACTAAGAAGGTTACCACCTGTAGTGATATAGATCCCAGAGGAGGAAGGATGCTTTGGGAAGGGTCACCTGTGAGAGAAGGAAAGCGGGAAAGGATGGAGCCGCCAACCCAGAAATACGAAGATATCGACCGGGGGCAGTCGCTGCCTTTCTCTGCAGTTCATTGTGTCTTTATACTCGGATTAGAGAGCCCAACGTAATGCTGCGGTCGTTACAGATTATATATATATATATATATATATATACATACTACCTATTTAACAACTTGCTGCGGTCATTACATTAAACAGGCTCAATAAAAATACTCCCTAAATATAAGGTGGTTTCGGAGGAACTCTAGAAAACTCCCCATCTAGCTGCTGAATGAAAGACAATCTTTTGGCTAGTTTTCTAGGCTAGTTCCAAAATGTCTTAATGTGCTTTTTT